CTCTGGGTTGATGCTCTAGTACATGGTTAAGTGCACTGGATGCCGTTGAATTTACTCATGATTTCTACATGTAAATCTCCTCCAACCTGGTAAGTAAGATGGAAATATATCGACACATGTTACTGGTCTCAATGCCACCCCACTTGGTCCTACTCCCAAGCCATTGCCATACTGCTTCATCATCGTCTAGATCAATCTCCTGCCCATCTGCCTCTAGAAGCTCTCCCATGATAGCAGTTGCCTGCCCTGGTATGAACTGGAGCCCGGCGGCATATGCTTCTGCAACCAGCTCTGGGCATAAGCAGTCTTGTGCCTTTACCTCTTGGAACTGCTCCCCTTCACCTCCGATAAACCTCCATCGCCCACATATCTCCTGCGGCAGTCCACATCGGAAGCAACCGCTGAACCTTTCCATCTTCTTCCCCTGGAAGTACTCCTTCTTCACCGATCTGATCCATTCTCGGAGACTGGCCCCTTGCTCGCTCTCTAGTAAACCGCACACCCTGACACTGTGATCATTCCCCCCGCATAGGAAGCATCGGTCCATCCACTCTACTAGCTGCCGCCGGAAATACTCTGCCTCCTCTGCATCCTTCCTGACGTGCTCGGCCCTGAGCCGCATAGCTGATGCACTCTGCTGCTGCTGCTGCTGCCTGAACATCCCTCGTGTGCTTGGGGTCCCCTCTTCCTCTCCATCACCTGACCCTGGCCCTTTTGATTGCTTGGCACTGGCACATGCATCGCATGCTGCCTCGCCTGCCTCGCATGGCCCCGGCCCTGACCCGTCCATCACCTCATCTAGCAGAAGACGTCGGCAGCTGGATCCTTGCGTAAACGCCAGCATGCCCGTGTCCACACCCTTCTGTGCTGCTCCTCCTGACCCTCCGCCCTCCATTACATCTCTTGGGCTAAGGAGAATGGCCTGGCTTGGCTGCCCATCCCGCCCCGCTCGCCCGCTCTCCTGCACATAGTCCCGGAGCTGTCGCGGGGGCCCCATGTGCAGCACTACCCGCACAAACGGCACGTCGATCCCCAATCCTAGCGCATTTGTTGCTGCAATCAGCCCGCCCTGCTTCTTCCACTGCTGCATCTTCTCCATCTTTGCCTCCTGCGTCCCTATCTTACTGTGGAAGATCTCACATCCAAGCGCTGCCCCGACCCTCTCCACGGCTGCAATCGTCTGCGCGTAGATGATCATACGACCTGGGTTCGCCTGTGCCTCCCACTGTGCTACCATGCTCCTGGCCTGGTCGAGCCCGGGCATGTCGCCATCACCTTCTTCCTTGCCGCTCCTGCCGCCCTGGTGCGTTTCTAGCCCTACTACCGAGTATGCAATGTTCTTCCGCCGCGTTGGGCCGCGGTATATGTACGCCTGGCGCCTCGTGATCTGCGCTCTGTGGAGGAACATATTCTCATCCCTCGGCGGGAGTGTCGCCGTCAGAAACACCAGCTGCACCCCCCATGACTGCAGGATCCCCCCTAGTGCTGCCAACGCTGGCCGGAACCGCCCGACTCCGTCCAGGACCACGTGGCACTCGTCCAAGACCACCCGGTCCAGCAGCTGCCGTACCTGTAGCCGCCGGATGAAGTCCTGGAACCCCTTCGTGATCGCCGACTCGGGCGTCACGAACACCAGACTGGCGATCCGGCTCGGCCCCTGGCTCTGCCATATGTGCGTCGAGATCCCGGCTTCTTCGCACCGCTCGTACATGTCTGTACGCAGTGTAACAAGCGGTATAACCACCACCGTTACCCCATCCGGCGAGCAGTGTGCCGGCAGCATAAACGTCAGGCTCTTGCCCCCGCCCGTGCCTGTAATATACACCACCGGGCTGGCCCCTGCCATGATCGTTCGGATTACCTTCTCCTGCTGGCCCCGGAACGCCGCATCTGGCCCTAGCATCGCCCGGAGCTGCCCGTGTACAGATACCTGCTGTAGCCGGTGGAAGCGCTGGTACCGACCGCTCTCCTGCTGTAGCTCCGCTGCCTCCAGCGTCCGCTTCATCTCTCCGGCCACTGCCCGTCCTCTCTCGTGCGTGTCGAACCCCAGTAACCGATGCCACCGCTGGCTGATCCGCTGGAACCTGATCTGCTGCTGCGCTGTCCCGAATGTCGGCTGCTGGAGCTCTCGCGCATATATCATACCGGCGATGTGGCTCCCGTGCCCTGCCTGGATGTCTAGTATATGGTCTGATGTGGTACCGTTAACATCGTCCTCCTCCTCATCCTCTACACTTCCAGTATCCTCTTCTATACGGAAAGCCTCGTTTAGATAGCGGTTGGCGATAGCAATGGCGATATGCCGCCAGCTGATGATGGTGAGCGTGGTCCCCATGCACCGTTCGCTCTGCCGCTGGAGAATCCGCCGCATATGATCCGGTGACCATACTGACTCGGGCTCTGGTGCCGCCTGTGCGGATCCGTCCGTGTTGGCCGCCCTCTTTATCACCTCGTCCGCCCAGAGAAATACACTGGGTCCACCACTGCGCTGCCAGATGATACCCTGTACCTTCCGCCAGAACGGTAGAACCAACCACATATACCATACCAGCAGAGAACCAACTGCGCGTGGTAGATAGCGGTAGATCACCTTGTTGCGACCGCTGATCCTGATGTTCTTATGGTATGCCGTTACGAAGAATACCATGCCCTGGTTGCAGAAGATGTTGCGTAGCCCGCCATTGGCTGTGTTCCACATCCGCACCCCAGCAATCTCCGTTGCACGCGCCGGCATCGACAGCATGTGCATCAGCAAGAATATCCGCTCCCGGAACTGTAATAATGTATCGGTATACTGGTGAATGGCGCTTTGTTTGAGTGGGTGCTCTTTGTTACTAGCGCTTGTGCTGATCCATGTCTTCTGGAGTGATGTGGACTGCACGAGCTGTTTGAACACCCAGCCATCCCCCGCCTGCAGCCATGTGTTACGCTGGTCATCCTCGAACTGCTCCCATCTGATCTCTGGGAGTCCGTCTACCGTACCTGGGGGGTTTAGCGTTAGTGCCCCGAGCAGCTTCTCCGCCTCTTGCACGAGCGTGTGTAGCATCTCCGCCAGCTGCGGCACCCGGAACCGGATTGTCTGGTAGCTCACGCGATCATCTAACCACTCGATGCTGCCGCTGCCCGGTGTGTTATATCGGATGTTCATCCCGTATGCTCGTGCCTCGAAGATCCAGTCTAGTGGTGTCGGCTCGGCCGTGGGCCCCCCGTGCACCCGTACCATGAACCGTGCCATCTTGCCGCGCAGTATGCGGAACACGCTCTCCGCTTCCTCATAGGCATCATGTGCCTCCATCGCCTGCGAGTGCTGGATCACCTGCGCCTCCCGCTCACAGTATGACTGATATAGCACGAGCATCCGTGCTACCTTGATCACGGCTGAGTAGATCGATGTGTAGTTAAGCACGGACTCCCACCCTCCATCTTGCCGGATGCCCATGACGGCCAAGCAGCTCACCAGCACGTTTCGGTATGCATCCCCCTTCAGTGCATGATCAAACCAGCTGATTAGTAGGGTTAGGCATAGATCCTGTTCATCCTGGCTGGGTTGATCACCCTGCTGCCTATCCTCGCTAGACATAGCCTCGATGAATGTATCCCAATGATCGCCTTGTGCTGTTGTGAAGATGAATGGCGGTCGCTCATCATCAGCCATCTCATCTACACGATAGATGATGCATAGTATCTGTCGGAACACATCCCTATACCGCTTCCAAGTATCCTCCTCCATTCTACTGTTAAATGGCCGATTAGGCTTCCCTTCTAGAGCGGTTCGGGCCACCTCGAATAATGCAGCCTTGCCCACCTTGGCGGCTGTCGCAGTTGCCCGTGCCTGGTTGAGCACATACTCCATCACTTTCCATGCTGACTGCAGTGCTGTCTCCTCCTCCCGGATATCCTGCCTTGTACTGTAGAGCTTGGTAACAGATAGCCCCTGGAGATGCGTTGCCCAGCCAACAAACTCGAGCCATCCGTTGGATTCAAGCCGGTCATCACCAACCTGGATGATCATTCGTGTCTCCTGCGCCTCCTTCGCTGCCTCCTCCCTAAATAGCTCCTGAACTCTTTCAATCGCTGCTTCTGTTTGGCCGGTATGGTCAGGGCTAGCAGTCTCTCCACCTGAGCCAACACGGAACCAGCTGCTCGCAGCCCTTCGGATAAAGAACCGCTGGCAATGCACACCGCTTATCCATGGCTGATCGCGAGCCTCTGCTGCTTTTTTCCTGATGTTACCACCCTTCTTCCAATTACTGATCCATTGGTGTGCTTTCCTGCAATGGTCTCGTATCCCAACCTCTGTACAAGCAATATATGGGCACTGCTTGCATTGCTTCCCATCTGTTCTTGGCGGGGAGATATATGGTACTGGCTCTGCGATATATATTGGTAATGGATATCTACGTAGTTCTTCTTGATCCTGTAGAAGCCCATCTATGGCTTGGATAGCTGCCTTGATTTCTCTTCTCTGGGATATTGTGAATAATGGGTGTTGAGCTTGGAGATGTGTTTCCACTTCCTTGGTAACGCATGCATAACTGCACTGCTTGCAGATAATAAATGGATATTGTATAAGATGGATAAATGGCTCCATTATGTTCAGTATAATACTATAGATTATAAGGTATTAAGGTTGAATATGTTAATAAAGCAGGTTTCGAAGGTAGTAGATAGTGCGGCTGAGGATCTCGATGAGGCCTGGTTTAACTAGGCGTTTGGTTGAGGCCTCACCGACATACCGGGTGAATGATATTCCTGGCGGGAATATCGGAAATATCGGTTAAATACTGGGTAAATAGCTATCTTTTGTGGGTCCCTGATAATTATTGACCAATTAATCAACACATCCTACTCAACACATCCTACCCCCTACTTTTTAGTAGCGCGAAAATTCACCCACCAAATTTCAACACATCCTAGTAGGATGTGTCGTGGAATTACTGTTAGATAGAGCGTTTGGCTTGAGCATATACAACAATTTATCAGTAAAACTTGACCGTAAAATGTCGTGGCTGTATGTCGCACCTGACTCCCAATTCTCTTTAGCAAACGTCCCCTTTGGTATAATTTCAGACAACGAAAACTCGACTCCCCGTCCTGCCATTACCATTGGAGAATTCGTTCTTGATCTTGCCGGTTTCAGTTCTGGTGGTGGCTTTGATCAACTGCCAACTTTTTCTCGATCTAATCTTGGTGTTTTCAAGGAACCCACCTTGAACTCCTTTGCTGCCCTGGGAAGACCTGCTCACCGGTCGGTACGTGAATGTCTGCGACAGATCTTTACAAGAGACACCCCATTTCCAAGCGTGCTGAAGAAAAAATGCTCCGTTGAAGTAGGCCGCACTCCTCCCCGTTGCGAATGTCATCAATCACTTGCCTCTAAAGATAGGGGACTACACGGATTTCTACGCTGGACGAAATCATGCGTACAATATGGGAGCGCTTTTCCGCGGACCGGACAACGCGTTGGATGTAGAGCGGAGGCTAGTTTTTCAATGGCATGACCCATGAGGAAAGAAATTCTACAGGAGCAGCTGATGCCTCCTGGCAAAGTTGACCTCCATGTTGAGCTGCAAGGTGTTTCTGATTTTATTTATGGGTGAGCCTACTTAAGAATAATGTGCCATGTTGGAATTGATCCACCTTACAGCCCCTATTCTATACAAGTTGATTCGGATCAGCAGTGATTGCGACTTCTCGACTGCTTGCCTGCGCGCCCCCCTCGGAAATAGCCAGAATAATCTCTTGAAAAATACTTTTGTTTTGCTTTTACATGGAGTATTTGAACCGTTGTGCCATAATTTATTGGGTTGCGCCTAACAGTAGCTGTCCTCACCATAATACTCAAGCTGTATAACTTGAGGCACTCTTGATAGGCAACATTGCCTGCTCAGAAATAGGATTAGTGGAAATAGGCTTTTGCAAAAGGTCTGCCCCCTTCAGTCGAATTTGTCTTGCTTTTCCACTAGGACGGATTAGAATATCATTATAAAAAAAGGCTGGACGAACTTACGAGGTCTTCCAAGTGTATTGGTTACCTGGGTTGCGAGGCGCCAAGGGTAGTCAAATGGACTGAAAAACAGCTCAACCAACTAAAGGAATTGATGTTAGCTACACGAATACATATCATTCTTTAAAGCCTGCTTACGCATATGCGTTCACAATTTGCGAGCGACTTGTTCTCAAGAACATCCTCAAGTTCCTCCACTGTATGGCACTGGGTGCTAAAGCTTGAGACCCCGGTATCAGGCCTAGCTCCAAACAGGCTCAAAAGCTGTTGATGGTCCCAGCTGGAGTTGATATCGTTGTAGCTGAGCTCGGCGCCGCGGATGGCTCTTTCGATCGAGTAACCATTGTTGTTCACAAGGAATATGATGGGCTTAAATCCGAATCGAATATAAGTCCCAATCTCCTGAACAGCAATTTGCAACGAACCATCGCCAACAACAAGTATGACTCGACCGGGGTGCTCCATTTCGCGGGCAGCAACACATGCTCCGAGGCATGCACCAATCGAGAAACCAATGGCAGACCAGAATGTTGATGTGATGGCCCGAGCCTGGGGGGGAATGTGGCATCGAACATGCCAAACTGGCCTGTGCCACAGTCTGTGACGATTACATCATTTGGTTGCAGAGAACGCCCGATCCTCTGCCAGACAAAATCTTGTATCAGCGGCCCTGTACGGTCGGACCGCAGTTGCGGAGGCTATCAAGTTTTCTATCAGTAACTAGTCTCTCCAGACCCGAAAGAGGAAAGGGAGTAACCAACTATAAGTTTGTGACTTGGTGCTGGGGCCGGGAGACCATAGCGGGAAGCCTTGCTCCTAAGCTCCTTGACAAGTCGACGCAAGATCGGAAGGAAGTGCATGTTGGGGAACTTTTCACCGAGCACAACACAGCTGTCGTGCTCAAGCAGAATAAGCCGTTCCACGGGAATGTTTCGGGTAAAGCCGCCAGTATTAGAATCGGTTTGCAAAGTGCCCGTGTTGATGATTAAGTCAGAGCTTTCGAGAGCTTCTCGCACGCCAGGAAATGAAACTATGCTGAGTTAGCATGATATTTTCCATTTCTGAATATAAGGATTGCAGTTTACCTTTTCCGCTATATACTCCCATATAATAGGGTTTATCCTCGTCAATAATTCCCTTGGACAGTGGGCAGGAGTATGTCGGGAATTGAGTCAAGTCAGCAAGCTCCCGTACGAGGTCTCTCCCACCATGGCGAATTGTAAGGACGTCGGCAAGAATAGCTGGGTTTTTGGCTTTCTCGAGGGCGTGAAGTACCTTGTCTAGAATCTTCGACTCGGTACCCACATTATTCACGACGTCCAACTCCAATTTCTTGTCGAGAGCCGAAGCAGGGACTAGAATCGACGGGACATCCATCGGAATGAAAATGTATACTGGAAGGCGGCTCTTTACGCATTCCTCGATTGCTCGATCGATGTCAGCCGTCAACGTCTCTTCGTTGACTAGGAGAGCATGTGTCTTCCTGACAGGAGCACTCATTTGCATATAGATGGTATGATCCATGTTTGGTTCAAAGGTATGATGGATCAATGGTCTCTTCTGTTGGACTAGTCTATGTAAGTAAACCTTGCATCCAGAAAGTCCATACCCAACTCACCTTGTCTACTAGTCATGCCAACGATGTGAATCATTCCAGCATGCTCAGCGTAAGCTCCAGCAACCCCATTAATAGCTGAAAGCTCGCCTACTCCGTAAGTCGTGAGTAGGACTCCGGGAAGCTCCCGGATACGAGTATACCCATCTGCAGCGTATGCAGCATTGAGTTCATTGCAGCAGCCCAGCCACGTCAATTCAGGCACAGAATAAATGTGATCAAGAATTGTGACTGGAGAACAACGTTAATTAGTCTGCATGCTCGGATTTGGTGTCTTGAGGTTCCTCACGGTTGAAATCGCCAGGCACACCAAAAATGTGCTTTATGCCAAGTGAGGCAATGCGGCGAAACAAGTATTCGCCCACGGGGATTTGAGATTCACTCATGGCGCCTAACGTTCACGGAGAGGGGTAATTCAGATGGAACAATTAGCGACCTCTTGTGCGTTTGAGTTCGGTTAAATGGTTTCACAACACGGTGCTGGCTAATTGTGCATTTGCCATCAGTTTTCCGCGCAGGAACTTCATTTCCGCGGTACAGTCATGTCACGAAACATGCCTAACAACATATTCCGCAATTCCGACATTCCGCTTCCTCGCAGTTTTTACGGCCAACTTATTCACGGCGATAGACGGTTTTGATCAATAAGTTGGGGAATGGTCGCACCAAATCCATCTAGCGGTTTGTCGATTTCCTGATTCTTAGTGCTACATGATTGATACCACGTCAATAACTTGCGCCTAAAATGCCAACCCTCCATATTGACAGTTTTCGAGAACTAACCCCGTCCTGGGTCGATGCAATTCCGAGCATTCTCGCCGACGAAATCTTCTCTCTGGCTGGAGAATGTCGCCTTGTTGAAAGCAAAAACAAGGTTGATCTCCTCATAGGGGCATATCGCTCAGACGATGGTGATCCATGGCCACTGCCTTCTGTACTTGAGGCAGAGCGCCGCTTACAGCATCAAGGCGATGCGGCCAAGCACGAGTATCTTCCCATCGAAGGCGATCCCGTCTATCTGAGACAAGCTCAGAAGCTCCTGTTGGGCTTGGATGATCAGTCTAAGCTCTTTCAGCGACTAGTTTCGGTACAGACTATTTCAGGGTCTGGTGCTATCCACATCGGCGCTGCTTTCTTATCCCGCCTTCTCAAACCAGGATGCGTCTGGGTGTCCGATCCAACTTGGGCACCTCACATTCTCATGTTTGAGAGGGTGGGCGTGCATTGCAAGAAATATCCTTATTACGATCCAGCGACGCGACTCCTCAATTTCCAGGGGATGATGGACACTCTCGAATCTTAAGCTCAGGCTGGAGATGTAATAATCCTCCAAGTCTGCGCCCACAACCCAACCGGTCTTGACCTCACCCAAGAGCAATGGAAAAAAGTTGCGGAGATTTGTGCACGCAAAGGCATCTTTCCCTTCTTGGACAACGCATATCAAGGGTTTGCCACGGGAAATCCAGAAAGGGACGCCTGGCCCCTCAGATACTTTGCCAACATGGCAAACCCTATTCGATTCGGTGTTGCACAATCCTTCTCCAAAAACTTTGGCCTCTATGGTCAAAGAGCCGGAGCCTTTCATCTGGTGTTGAAAGAACAAGATCGCGCCATTCAGGGAAACATCCTTCAGCAGCTTCAATTCATCATTCGCACGGAATATTCTGCTCCGCCACGAACAGGTAGCACCATTGTGAAAACAATCCTCGGTGATGCGGACCTCAAGGCTCAGTGGTTGACCGAGGTTTCTGCCATGAGCCAAAGACTGGGCTCGGTCCGATCAGCACTCCACAACGGCCTAAGAGGTTCCCAGTTGAACAGTGATTTTGATCACATTATCCAACAGGTAATGGAACCCGAGCCTCGCATCATCAGCGCGCCTTTGAACTAATCACATCCCAGAGTGGCATGTTTTCATACACGGGCCTTAGTACCAAAGAGGTGCTTCGTTTACGACAAGAGTTTCACATTTACTTATCGTCATCTGGGAGGATATCCATGGCAGGATGTAAGTAGAACAATCACACCGTGGAATGTCCGAATACTGACTATCCAAGTGAACAACAAGAATCTAGATTATGTTACGCGTGCGATCAGAGAAGTACAGCAAGATCCATCTAGCAAATGATTTGAGTAGTATATGTTGTCTCCTCGCGCCAGACATTGTAAACAATCACCAGCAATAAAGACGGGCCAATAAACGCAATTCTGCAAGCCGAACTGAAGAATGGCAGCTCTCTGATATGTAAATAAAAAACTTCATCGTAAATACCTTCAAGTTTATGAGAGCCTTTATTAGTAAGATTTAAAATCAGAAGAAACATGGAGACAGCGTCAAAGCATCAAGTCCATTATCTACTCCAAATTGCTACTGCTCTGGAATGTCGACCCTTAGACTTTGACTGCTCCTATCCTACTCTTCGACATTACACAATCTCCTAGTGACGTGTTCCAGAGGTGCGCTTTTTTCTGTTGAGATACCGCATTATAAGATAATTATTCATCAACCGGTCAATCATCTTTTGTCCAGTCGTCACCGATGTTGAGATCCACGTCTTGCTTATTGATTGACTTACCTGCTACAGAGTTTGCATGAAGACAGTTTAACTATTCAAGCAGGCTGGGTGTGTTGACCAGAGGCCTCTTGGGTCAGCGCCTAGTTCTCCCAAGGCTCTGCATAAGCTATAAATGTTTGGCTCATTGATCTTCCTTTTCAGATATTATTGCGAATGGAAGTCTAGTTATTCTCGATTTTACACCAATCTTCGCTTGGAGTATTGATATGAGAATGGCACAGGGATTGCTATTCAATTGACCCGGCTGTCCGCTATCACGATGAGCAATCGTTGTGTGGTTGACCTGGCTGTCCGCCGTCGCGATAATTGATCGCTGCATCGCCGACCCGGCTGTCATCCGTTGAGACACGGGATCGCCTCATCGCTGACCCGGCTGCCTTTCGTCGAGACGATTGATCGCTGCGGGCATGACCGGGCTGTCTCGACGAGAGACACGGGGAGGGCATTTGGAACGGATCCGTATGAAAGGGCCCGCACCCGCGGGATCTAGTTGCTAATATAACTAACTTCATCTGGGACATAATCTCGAATTGAGAAGTTAATACCTAATATCTTTCCAGTATTTTCCTCCTCCTCCTTCTTAAACATACCACACAAGACTAATATATTGACTTATCTCCTCAGCCTACCTAAAATCACGCCGCTTAGTGCAGTAGAGACGTTGTCGGTTTTCAGTCTGAAATTGACCCGTCACCATGCAATCCCTCCTTGGAAAGGGCACGAACTCGCCATTAGTGCTAAGTCCAGGGAGGGGCTTACTTCCCGTTACATAAATATAGATACCCTGACTATCTGCTGCCTTCATAGTTTTAAGAAAGCGGAGACTGTAACCAAATAAATAAGATACCTGATTCTGAATATCTTGTAGAAAAACAGCCTTAAGGTTCTTATAATACCTCGATGTGATCATTACTTCGACCGCGTCATCTAGATATTCTAAGTCAGACTCATTAATCTCCTCCCCCTGTAAGAAAATAGGGTCATCACTTTCAAACTGGCTGAATGTAATGACTTCCATTGTAGCCGGCAGACCACGTCGGAACACCTCGAAAAGCTGACCAAGAAGCTCGGATCGGGATCGGGATCGGACGTCTTTGGTAAGGTCTAGGTTGGCCTCTATTGCCTTCCAGCTCACGTTGGCTACGCGAAGGTCCCCAAACGACTTGAGCTGGCCTGGGGTCCTCCAGTTTATGTCCGCCGGTGTGTCATCTTGTCGGTCATCGTGTATGCATAGCCGCTGGAGAGATAAGCTTTGGTGTTTAGCAAGCTTGAGGATCAACCTCTCGGCACTTTCCGGAGAATCATTTTCGTGGTTGTTGTTGTCGTCGAAACGGATAGCTAAATTTTTAAGTCGGCGCGGGGTGCTACTAATAAAGTCTATTAGTTTGTCGCTGAGCTCGTATTCTAGCATATCAAGAATAATTGTCTGGACCGACGATGTTGCCAGTGAGGGTTGGATGTCCTCTGGGAAAAGACGAGTCTTCCTCCGCAGTGGAAGTCCTCCATCCAGATGAGAAAAATAAATTTCAGCGAGGTTTGGTAAGCATAATAAGGCGCAGAACTCATCAGCATTCCTCCTTAAGTATCCCGGGGGGTCGACTCCGGCTCGGTCCAGGCCTATAGCGACAGCAACTCCTTCCAGTGAATTTAGCCCAGGCAGCCAGATCCCTGCAGACTTGCACCAGTAAATAAAACCGCACAGCATGCTGAGGCTGTCATGCGGGCGCTCGTCGTCAAACTGGGCATAGCGCAGAGTCTGGATGCGTGGCAGATAGGCTAGGACCAGGGCTTTAATAGAGCTATCTCGGCCTGCTTCAAGCTGTTCCCGGACCTCTTGATTAAGATCCCTATTCTCGCCATAAAAATACGGCAGCTTCAGCATCTTAGAACAGAAATAGTCAATCTCGTGGCTAGAGAGCGACCTAGGCTTCACGTCCTCCTGTAGAATCCTCTTGCCAGTGTCGGCATTCACTCCCCAGGATTGGTATTCTTCTCTCTCGACCCAGACCTCAAACTCTCTGACGTGCCATGCCTCGATAGAAGCGGCGCCATCACTGAAGATACTCCACAAGAGTTTAGAGATAGTCCAGGGATCAAAATCAGAAGTTATTCGATACTCTTGGTATGCCTTGCGATGGCGGCCGAGGATTGGGAGTGAGTTGAGGTATATATGTTTGCACGTCCGCGCAAGAGGCCAGTGGGCTGAAGCGTGTGTATGCTCAATGATGAGCTGTAGGATCTCCGGGGCGAGAGTACTAAGATGCGAGGTGAAGCACATAACTGATAGAACTTATGAGATAAACATCTGAAAATGTGTACGAACCGAATATCGTTAGCAGTTAGGGACAGCAGTACAATCCAGCAGAGTGCACTTCGGTGAGAGAGGGAGGGCTCGGCTATTTATCGGCAGCCACACTTAAGAAAGAAATCTATAATTAGCACGGAACTTAAACAATAACCCATGCGGACTGTGAAGAATGTGTATCCATTTGTAACGCGATTTACTGGATATCACTGTAGTGCGATTAACGCTCTGGTCTATTGGTTTTACACCAGTTAGTACGTTTCCAGACGGGTTATCCCCATCACATTGCAATACAGTTGGCCTGCCAAGAAAGGCACTTCTCAGTACAGCGTTCAATAAGTGAAGCCGACCTACGCGTCTGCCGTCAAGACGAGCAATCGCTGTAGCCCCGACTGACCTGTCTTCCAATACGACAAGCGATTGCTGCGACCCCGACCTGTCTGTCCGCTATCTATAGCGCTAGCCTCCATATCCTTTGTCCAGATGCCAAGTGTTCGTCGAGCCCCAGCTACTCTCCCAATTTGCAGTAGCGGACTAGCAAGTTTACGCGAAAATGCATAGACAGGGTGTGTTATCCATCCGTCAAACTCATGCGAAAAATTGGTATCCCCTTCCAGGTCAGCAATAGAGACAGCAGAGTCTCCTAGAGGTAAGTATAACCCGCTATCTATAGAGCAGAATGTACAAATTTCTGTCCAAGTCAAAAAGGCCATCCATGTTCGGTGCCGCGTGTCATAGTGGTGACAGCCCGCGTCAGCAGCTTGAATACATACCAGACAACGGGTCATTTTGCTGAGGCCCACGGTCGGCCGCTATGTCAGTGTTCAAGCAGGAGGTAAATTACCTTTTAATCCTTTACGCCAGGTCCACTAAGTTGTAATCTTATTAATACTGAAAAAGCAGAAATATTTTCCTACCAGTTTCAATGAAATATTGCCAAATTAAAAGCCGTTCCGGAGACGTTTACAAGTCAACTGGCATGGCAGGTTTGAGAGAGATTCAGGAACGGAAAAAGGCTCCAAGCATGTATTGGATGTCGCCAGCATCTCGCACGGCTCTGGTGGGAGCTTACCGTCGGAGAACAGGGCTTCAGCGGCCAAGCGACAAAGCTCTTCAAACGTCGTATTATCATCCTCAATGTCGGAGCGCGCCTACAATACAGATGTAGCCTCTGGTGACGTACGAAGACCTTTGTCTTTGGCTGAATTGGTCTGGGCTCGGACGGGCTCATCCGAGTTCCTGTATCTCAGAACTTTCCAGGGTCTGTCGTCCTGCATCTTGCAAACCTTTCTAGTCTGGATACAACGCGAGCATCGCGGCATTCGTTGGTCGCGCTAATGATGCGTCATAGCTTCGCCTTGTTGCAAAATGCAAATTGCTGCGCAAAGTGTAGGGAAACGGAGAGAATAGCAGTATACGGAAGTGAGAAGATAGAGAAGTCAAGGAAGGGAAATGCAGAATGCACCTAAAAGAAGGACCTTGTCACCTTAACCTAGTAAGTCCATTCAGGCAAGCTGAATTTGCCCTCGCTAGATAGCTTACCTAGGATTTAGCTCGTAATAGTGCTAATAATCCTTCTATATTTATATTTATTATAATGGAAAGTAAGACAGCTTTTAGGAAGTACTTTTAGAATATTTAGTCTATTATTATTACGGGGGCCGTATAGCTTCCGTAAGAATAGTAAAAAAAAAGACTCGCTACATTTGCTATGAAATTAAGGTTTCATATAGGTTAGGCACTTATAAAACTATTTAAAGAAACTCGATATGGGTTCTAAACAAAACATCCTTATAGTTACGACGGCAAGTTCCAGTCGAAACTCAAGGTCGAAGAAGAGCGATTCTCAATTGCTAGCTACCTACTTGTACTGGATCAGGGGCAGCACTATGCTGCTCCGGTGAGTGGACCCAGTATAGATGGTATGAATCCCCTTGTTTAAGTTCTTCAGACTCCTGAATAACGGAGGATATTCGGGGAGGATTGGGTCATGACCCTTAACCTCCAACCTAAGCGACTCTCCAGCTTCAAACACTATCCCACCAGGCCAAATGGCAATGTCGAGCTCTACTACCTCACCCGGTACTACCTTTTTAGAATTATAGTGAGGGTACCAGAGCTCCGTTGGGTCCTGCTTGGCCCTCATCTCATCCGTCAAGTTTGGATCATGACCCGTTTCTCGCTGTGATGCTCGTAGTCTGCCGCTGGGTCCCACATACTTGTAGATATTTTCATCAGGGATATCTTCAGGATTGGTTCCCGGCTTTTGGTTCAGGAAGGGAATGTTGTAGTTGAGAAGTGCGTTTCCATTTCGGTCAAGCTTCCGAATAATGACATAGACGTCCATGTCATCCAGATCCTTGCATGACATGAACAGCTTGACTTTAGAAAACCCGCAAAGCTCGGTGTATTGGTCAAATCTCAGTGAGAAATGAGCGCCATCGTCGTCCCACGAGTCGGACTTGTATGAAACGGCTCCTTCCCTCGAGGGCTGCGTTTGTAAAGCTTTGTCATCAGAATTGAGGTAGAATATTTCATACTTGGTACGGCTCGGTGGATAATTATCCTCTGCCCTAAAAGAAATTGGCGGAGCATTGTATCGGAGTAGTGACAGTCTGATCTTTGGCGTATTCTCCCATCCGTTATCGTCATCTAGAAGATAGTGATCGAGAAATCTCTGCAAGTCGTCGTTTGCCTCTGGGGTATAGATATCGAACCATTCTTGAGTCGGGTGGATTCTCAGCCTTGCGCAACAACGAGTTAGTACTCGATAAGTATTAGCTGTTGGTCCAGAGATAACAAACCATTTCTCCCGAGAGCTGGCGTATTTCCATCCACGGATAGATCCTTCCGTGTGTAAGCCGGTAGAGTAGCTAGCAAGCACATACATTGGAATGTCAATATTCTGCAGTTTGGGCTTCTTATCTTCCCAGTACTGGTTCATCAGTGGGTAGTCTTCAATCATCTGCGCCACGTCTTCTCTCTCGTTTTTACCGTTGAATTCTTGCATCAGCAAGTCCCAGAACTTGTAATTGGGAATTCCGCCACGGCAGATGCTCTCTCGATAAAAGTCACCGATGCCTTCCCAGGGAGCAATGGCTTTCAGATGAGGTGGTCGCTCGGCGGCAATGAACCTAGTTCAGATGGGTTAGCCGTTTGAGGGTTGGATGGGGAGGTAAACCATACCACTGTGTGATGGCGAGCCACGAGTTTCCTACCAGTGCCACCTTTCCATTGCACCATTCCTGCTCAGCAATCCATTCTATGGTGTCATAGCCATCTCTCCCTTCCTGTATCCTCGTCGAAAATTAGAAGATCAGAAGAACTGGAAGCCTGCTTATGTCAAGGCAGCCCTTACCTGCGTGCCAAAGATGGCGATATTGCCCTCGGAATTATAGCATCCGCGGGCATCAGGCTGTACAATCACGTAGCCTCGAGGGCACCACTCAGCTGGGTCAGGGGCCTCGAACTTTTCCAATCCGCTTAACGAGCTTTTCGGAACACCAAGCCATGTGAAATCGGTGGTTTGATGGTGGCCTACAATGCGATGATTAGCATCTCGAGCAAGTGAACGGAAAACTAATACATACCCGAACCTGTTTTCCCATACGGCGACCATGGTAGCAATGCAGGTAGCTTCTTCCCATCAAGTTTGGCGGGTCGGAATATGTCTGCACGAAGTTTGATACCATCACGAAGGGGAATTTCGACGTCCTTTTCCCAGATCAAGTCTTCCTTCAACTCCAATCTATCAGGATCACGTTGCCAGCCTTGAGGCAGGGTGCGGGTCGAGGGGTCTAGATCAATCCACCAATGGTGAAAGTTTGGGTTGGCTTTGGTGAAGGCCACCTTGATATTGTCTACTTTTTGTGCCATACTAGCAAGTCTGGTATAATGTTGCGAGATCCAAGGTCGATGTTGTGAGTTATACGGCGCCTGGAAGGACGCATGGCAATGACTATATAGTCTACACCGATCATCAAGATATTTCATGCCACTAATACGCTAAGCTAGCATTGCCAGAAACAGTCAATCCGTGTACAGCGTCCGTTGACAGTACATCCGAAACAAAGAGGCGAATGGCCGATTCAATGCAAGCATTGAGCGCCGAGGCGGTTATCATGAGCCGAACGGCAGGGTGCGGAGTAAGAACTCACATCCGAATGTGTAAGGACTCACATCCGAGTGGGTAAGGACTCACATCCGAATGGGTAAGAACTCACGTCCGGATGGGTGTGGGAGGTACGGAATTGATGCTTTCTACCGGAAAGATATGTAGAGAATGCCCAGAATTGTTCTGCCTTTAAGTGAGTAGCAGCCCGTCCTATAGAAACTGTGATTCTTTGGTTGTTGATGTGGAACCAAGCTACATAATCCTGGCCAGCATTCATTCTCTGAGCCCAGATCAAGGCCCTCGCTCAGAACTGTTTTTCTTCGTTTGCGTACGATTCAAAGGGTAGATATGGACATTGTTAGCCTTCTGAAGCAATTCCGAAGTGCTGACTCTGGTCAGAAACCAGAGTCCGCACAATGGTATATTGTTGCGGTAAGCCCAGCTTCACCACCCTTTGAATTAGCACGTCACTTACCGTGGGAGGCGGCTCTTTAGGCATCGGCAATGGCTGCAGCCAGTGCCGGACCTGACGTCTGCAAACTATACGAGCTTGCAGTAGAGGGCCTGCCTTTTATGGAGAAGAAACTGGTTCAGCGTCGCTTGAAAGAAGCCATACTCAAGACTAGCTGCCTCTATGGAGTGCCTCGGTCTCTTCAGGCTCTACTGCCTCTTTTTGCCATGATCCCGGACGACGAGATAGACCATTATGGCCCACGGTTCGTTGTGTCATTTGTTTCGTGCATTCTTACCGAATTTGACCTATTAAACCCTGGCTAGTTATGAGTCCAGAGATTCGGATGATGCTCAGAAAGCGCGACAAGAAAAGGGTATGCGGTATTTCGACACGATTTGGGGCGAAGAAGCAGCACAGTTCCACCGTGACCGCAATTTCAAATACCAGCCGGATCTGTGTGAGTAGATCCACCCTCTTCCCACTCTCTAAGCTGATTCTGGAAGATCTCCTCAACCTTGAAATGATATATCAGTGGCACTTCAGCGAGGATACTATACTCAATGCCATTGAGACGCAAATGTGCAACGTAGCGGCTCTGATATGCTCAAGCTGTCCCGTCCAAGCCACATGGCACACTAGGGGCTTACTTAGGCACGGAGGAAGCGCGGAAGAAGCAAAGATGTCACAGAAGATCGGAATTGCGGTGGCGCGTGTATATGGGGCGCGAATTGATAATATCACACCGGTGGATGAAATAGATGTGAACTCGAAGACTACTGGGTAAACCTGTTCTTGTAACCACAGTAGTTGAATCGAACGAAACAACCAAAAAAACCAACTATAAGATGACGCAGAAAAACATTCATTTGGGTGACCCGATGTTAGCTCTCGTTATAAACTGTTGTAGTCGTTTGGACTCTCAAGCTCCACGAGGTAAGAGACACTGCCTAGGGAGAGATTCGCCCGGCAAAGGACGACCGACCATCACCAGAGCTACGTGAAAAGATGCATGGTTGACATACAGTAGCTTAACCTCGGACCGAAATTTTGCCTGTTACCCGCAATCCGACACACTCGCTTGTTCCGAGAATACAAATCATTACCTGTCGTCTGCCCCCTCCTGTACTCGAGCATATTTCCGAGACACCTTGTTCGTATGATAGGGCAGTGAATGTTATAAGAGAGTGGAAATCCACTCTGTAGCATCTCCTCTAGGCAAATATTTGTCCCACCCAATTCGATCCAACTCTATTGTCACTCGGACCCTTGAGAAGATGTCATCACCGCACCCTGATCAGCCACTCCCTTCGACGCGTCGACTAGTCACTCAGCACAACGATGACGGCAAGGCGATTATTGGCCGCCATGGCTTGATACATGGCAAACACACTCCCCATGGCCCTTGGATCCAGCTTCTCTGGTCCAGCGAGTCTCTCCCTCCGACCCTCAGCTCCGACGACGACTTTGGTCTCGTCGATACGGGAATGTCTAATAATGGCACCATTGTACGCATTGTCGACTTCCCCCCCAGATCCAAGGGGCTTGTTCACCGCTCCATCACACTTGATTACATTTTCGTCCTAAAAGGGTCTGTACAGCTGGTTCTGGATGATGGGTCGCGCACAAAGGTCAGTGAAGGAGAGGCGGTCATCCAGCAAGCCACGATGCACAGCTGGGATAATGAAACTGACGAATGGGCGAGATTGTTTTGTGTACTCGTCGCGTCTGAGAAGCCCGTGGCTGGTGGTAGGATACTTGAGAAACATGTTCTGTTCAACATTTAGAAAAGCAGATATTCCGATCAGGCATGCTGTCAATTATTACATGATTAAAATATAATAAAACGTGCAGGCATCTATACATACGCCAAGTCCCCCAAATCTTGGACCAAACCAGACAGTTGCTCTAATAGAGGCGGCAATGGGTGTGATTTCGAAGGGAAATTACTTCGGAAAACACTAGATAGGATTGAAGAGATGGTGCCCGGGTTCTCAAACTCTTCTACCCGGCCATTCACTCGTACGCACGGGCACCCGTACCCAGTTTGAAGAAACAGTTGCACATCTTCTCCACCCTCACCATCAAGAAAGATCCGTGGCATGCCATTATCACTCGACTCTAAATTCTGGGATTTATTTGTTTGCGCTTCAGGAGACGCTGATACGGGTGGTGTGCCCGGGCCCAAGATGTGATCGGCTTGCTGACCCCTTGCCGAGTGATTTGATTTCTGTGAAAACGCGGTAGATTGTATAGTTGAGTCTGATACTCGTCGTTTGAGTACAATGTAGACCCACAAACAAAGGCACGCATGATATACTGCGATGCCGTGAAAACCAGTCAGTTGAGTCGGTGCGAAAGATCGAGCCGCTTTGATGACCTGTCCAGCATGCCAAAGCGCTGCGTTCCTGTCATCGCTTGCCATCCATTCTCGAAGACGCGGCAAGGCCTGCGAAACTTCATCCGTTCCATAACGGCCGGCGAATCGTTGAATCTCGTCTGTACGGGAATGTAGTGATAAGAGAAGGATCTCGCAGACAAGCCGTCCCTCGGGCGATAGTGCTTGTAACCACTTGAGCTTCGCAATTGTTGTTTGGATATGCTTAAGGAGCTCTTGACGCTGCGCTTCAACCCAAAGACTAGTAGAATGTTGGCCAAAAGACGACCCGGAGTTTGCGGTATAGGCCATGGAGTCGAGATACGACCACACACGGCCCCAGAGCGCGTACACAACGGCAGTGGCCGAAAAGGCCGTGTCAATATTTTCTCTCTCCTCCTTTATGCAGGAAATATCGCGAACTGCATCGAAGAAGGTGACCGAACTTGGCTCCCTAGCTTTCGACAGATATCTCGATCTCCATTCTCCGGCACTTCGCGCATCCCACAAGTCTCGTGATGCGGGCAAGCAAAACGTAACTTCATGATTGGAAAAGACAGGTGCCCGAACGAAGGCGATCGAGCTTCGCATCTCAGTCACCAAAAGGCGCAAGACCAATCTACAGATTATTGTCAGCAAAATGATGGGAAAAGAACCAAAGGATGAAACTGGTCCACGCAACCTTTTAAAAGACTCTTGCTCAACCCATTTCAGCCATTTCCGATTCAGTGTTTTCTCGTCATCTTGCATTGAAGGAGCAATCGTAGGCGTATAGAAGCTCGACCTGAAAGCGCCAGCTCTGCGCAGCATCTTCGACGTGCAACTGTTAGATTGGGCGGTGAAGAACAGGATATGCAAAAAGAGTGATGATCAACTCACTGTAGGGAGATTGTGGGCGAACCCCTCGCCAATCTCCATCTTACGCCGGAAACCGCTCCACAAGCCGAGATCGATCCAAAGCAGAAAGGTCTGATTTGTCTGAAGGTTGCGAATATTGCGGTTGTCACTGTCCACGGAGCTACAAACAGCGAGCCTCACGATCTCCTGCAACGCCAATCCCATCTTCCACACATTCGAGACAGCAAACAAGGCGGAGCCGGTTGCCACGATGCCAGCTAGCTGCTCGCTCTTGCATGTGTTGGGATTGAATGTGCCGACGTGGATCCAAGAATCAATGCAGTCATTCTGTCGCACGAAGAAGGCCTGCATCAGGGTGTTGAGGAGGTTAAGCGATGGAAAAGATCTGGTCTTGAAGTTGGAGGTGGAAAACTTGAGAACCATTGAGAGCATATCATCCCGAGCGCCATGTTCGGTCAGCACAGATGCTTGGAAGGATGCCTGTTTCGAGTACGTGAAATTGGACGACTGCGTGACCTGCGCCTCGTCCAGTGATAGCTGGGTGCTCTCAGCATATGCATGGTCCTGATTGGCAGGCGTCCAAAGCCACGGTGATCGCTTGAAAGCTTCATACCCTTCGGTCGGGGCATGGGAGTTCTTACGTTGAGGTCCGGCTGTAGCTGCAGGTACGGGTGATTGGTTGGGATGGCTTTCATGGAGAATAGACGGCCGGCGTGCCTGAGATGCGTCATCCAAAACAGTCGCCGCTATGTGCATGTCGGAATTCAAGCTCTGGAAAGTGTCATCGAAATCGAATTCGGTATCCATGAGCACAGAAAACAGGTCGAACGGGACGGAAAGGTCGGCAAAATCAGTTGTTGACATGATCCCGTTGGATACTTGGCCGACAGCAGAACCATCCATGGCATTGAAATCAATGTATGGAGGCATGCTGATAGATTGGCTGGGGCTGAAATGTTGTGTAAGAGACGTACCTTCAGGCAATGGATCGGGACGAGCCACAATCTCTCCAACTTGCAGATTTGCATTGCACATCTCTGCCTCTGGAGCAATCTGACTTGGTGCAAGTGTATTGTCAAAGCCGGAATTAATAATTTGGTCAGCGTTGTCTCCATCTTTGCTATCGTGGTCATTCAGGCCATGATGATTGTGATCAGCTCTCCTTGCCAGATTTGTTTCCGAACGTGAAGAAGATCTAGAACGGGAGTTGAGGAAGCCTCTGGCTCGTCCCCGTCGCCGAGGATGCTCATCGTCGACACAAGGCGTGCCACGAGCCACGCAACGGTCGCAAGGACGTCGGTTACTGCACTTTGTCTTTGAAGCGATGCAGCTGCCACAGGCCTGGGAAGCGCGCCTTGAGCTACGAGATCTACGGCCTCCTTTATCCTGGCCAGCATGAATGACCAAATGGCGGTTCAGAAGGTCTCTAAACATTGATGAGTGGGAATAACGTTTGTGGTGCTGACGTGGTGACTATACCTGCGGTTGAATCGCATGGGACAATATGGACATGCGTGATTACGAGGGTTCTGATCTATTGGTGCCAAGGGTCAGTCAGTTGCTTTGACAATTACGAGTATTGGCAGCTTTGGCAAATACGTACGAGAGAGTTCGTGCCTCCTCAAGTGATCCAGTCGATCATATTTCCCGAAACAGACCGAGCACTCATACGGCGGGCGGGTGGCTGCTGGACTGGGGCCATCATGGGGTGACATGAATGCCTGGCCGGTTGAGGCTGAAGGACTCGCCGTGCTCATCTTCTCTAGGCCTAGTAGATTAGTCGACACGTCTGGGGACATTAACGGAACATTAGAGAGATTCTAAGAATGCGAGGTCCGGTGGATGTTGATGGTGAAGGAGGCGTCAATGACAATCAATGAGGACATGGACTCGGGTTTTTGTTGTTTCCGGAGGGGGTGGAGACTCGGAAAAGGGCCGGCAGGCAAGCGGGGGTGGCGCTCTTCCCCAGACCACCCCCAGATATCAGATACATCGGATCAAATCTCTAAGCCACACATGGAACACAATGAGCACGTCTAGGTACTAGCCGCCGTATTTAGGGGCCTATGCCATGTTTCTCATTCTCAGCCAAATATGTTCTTAGGTCCTCGGACATCATACTAGCCGATTGCGCCCGATTATAACATTTCTTTGGAATTAAACCCATCTTGCGCTCGGTACATTGAGGGAACCATGGCCAAGTCTATCCAAAGTCCCCCAGGCCTAAGTCCTGTTCACTTCTTCTCCCATGGGTCAACGGCCATGCTAGGCGAGGAATCACGATCAGCAGACTACTGGAGAAGGTGCGGCGACGCTGCCCTAGCAAATGGCATCAAACATGTAGTCATTATGGTAAGGAAATAGCATCATGACCCGTCTCCGTACTGAATCTTCGCATTGGCAACTAATCAACCGCCTGGACCATACTACGTAGGGCGCACATTGGGCTGCTATCAATGACGAGATCCATGTTGCGACAAACCCGGCTCCAACCAAAGCCCCAATAGGAGGTGTTCATCCACGCAAATACATCGATTACAAGCTCAACCCAGATATTCTCATGGCCGAGCGAGTCATATACATCTTGAAGGACCAAGGTTTCAACTGCAAAGCAGACCCAAACTTCATTTGGATCCACGACGTCTACCTAATCTTGATTCGCACATTCCCCCATGGATGTCCTCCAACGACCATCATTAGCATGAATGCTCGTTTCGATCCTCATTATCACATGCGCGTGGGGTCGTCGTTGCGCCATCTCCGACGGGAAAAGGACGTGCTCTTTATAGGCTCTGGCGGGGCAGTCCACAACCTCTATCGTAACATCTGGACGCCTCTCCTCAGGCACGCTGATAACTTCGCCATGGAAACGCCACCTGGTCATTGGGCATTGGACTTCCGGCAGGAGTTTGAGGATGCTATAATGAGGAACACAGGGCCCGCCTTGCGAAAGGCCATGGCCATGTTGATGAAGCTGCCAATGTATCGAGATGCACACGCGACGGACGACCACATCATGCCTGCAATGTTTGTTGCGGGGCTGGTTGGAGCTGTCCAAGATGTCAGGACACTGGTCGAGCTGGGCGCTGAGGACTGGGAATTGACAAATATGTGTAACTCCCAGTATACGCTCGGGTCGTGGGATGCCATTAAGTCAATCTAGCTAAGAAAGCAACGATTCAAACGGGAGTAAAAACTGATAAGAAAAACAAAGGGAGAGTTTCTGCCAGCTATGTATCCCCGCGATTACCGTAATCAGCTAGTCAAGATCGTCTTATGCTTACCATGTTTGAACCGTGTTGAACATAGCCTTCACCTTCATCTACCTATATCAGCTATACATTTCTAGTTGGTGAACGAAACTTTGCTGTTGATTAACGCTACTCATGCTATGACACGTAAGAAGTAAGGCAATGCACTGCTTCCGCATGTAAAAAACTTCGTCTTATTGTTGGCAACACTGCTCCCTCAATAGTTCTAACGCCTGCTATGTTATCTTAACCAAAAGCTCCTGCGCATGTCGAAAAGCATCGTGGCCAAAGTTCTTGGACGCGAACTCCAAGGGGTCCATGCTGAATCCACCAATCTTGTCCTCGTTGCTTGTCTGGAACGCCATCTGTCGCGAAAAGTTCTGGACCATCGTGGCACGCTCGTACCTTGCCTCCATATACAGCTTCAGACGCTCAGGGACTTGCGACGAAGTGGTGCCAAGGGGGAAGAGTGCACCCAGAGCTACGCCGTCCTCGATGGCTTGCGCACCGCCTTGGCCTTGGTGAGGCAGGAAAGGATGTGCAGCGTCCCCAAGGAGAGCTGTGGGGCCCTGAACCCAAGTCTTGAGCGCGTGGTGGTCCCAGAGTCTCCAGAGTTTGATGGTCTCGGGATCAGCCATACCCAGGACCGTCCTGATCGACTCACAGTACTCTCTAAAAGTCTTTAGGACGTGTTCAATGGTGGTAGAGTTGTTCCAACCTTGCTATATGTTAGCCTGGTGTCTTTGCTTTTACTAGACATGGCATTTTACCTTCCGAGCTTGTCTCATTTTCGGTATCAGGGTGGAGGCAGACAAAGTTCAGCTGCGTGTTATTGCTAAACAGAAAGTAAGCTGATCTGCAGCACTGAAATGTAAAAGAACGAACGTGACTTACCGACACGGATAGACAACGAGGCGACGATTCTTGCCTTCCCAAATTTGAAAGTCGCCACTCTTTTGAACCAATGGAGCAGTCAGAGGATTCGCCCTGACCTTTTCTATTGGGACGAGAAACCGGAACGCGCAGCCACCAGATGGAAACGCCGGGATATTCTCCCCACTGACGAGCGGGCGGAGAGTCGACTGCACAGTTATGGTTCAGCAAGCCACTCATTCAAGTAGTGAAGGTACGTCGAGGTTCTCACTCACATGGACACCGTCAGCAGCAATAACCAGGTCTCCTGCACGCGATCCTCCATTTTCGAATATAATGCTACCATTTTGCGGCTCACAGCTGAGAATCCTACTGCTCAAATGAAGCTTGGCCGGAATGCCTACGAGGTCCGGCGAAGTCGCGGCCATCTTCAGGGCTTCGTGGAGGTCCACGCGATGACTGAGTTGCCATGGCTGTCAAACTTTTAGTGAGAACTCGTGAATCTATTGCAGTAGGTATAATCACATGGTGGTATTCGTCTTCAACGCTTGATACGTCCTTCTGGCTAATGACATTGCCTTGCGAATCAAAGACGGATACCTGTCGCACATGTAGGTTAATTGTAATATTTCAAACAAAGTTCGGACGAAGCACTCACCCATTCCGTCTTGTTGGCACCCCATGTCTCTGGCTTGAGGCCGTACCGTCGCAAAACACCATTGACATTGGGCGGAAGGTGGATAGCTGCACCAAGCTCGGCCGCGAAACGACTCGATTCAAATATCTGAAAAGCACCTTATCAGCTTCAGTTCCGTACTCAAGGTCCAGTGCTAACCAACCTCCACCTCGTGCCCGGCGGCACGCAGAGCTATGGCGGCAGATAGACCCCCGATACCAGCGCCCACGATAAGGACTTTGAGGGGCTGAGCTACTGGACGGTTCATTTTTCCAAACTGGGTGTAATAAGGGTAAGGGTTTCAAATGGACGCAATTTCAAAGTGATATTCCTGCTGATCAACCGTTTCATCTGCACAACGTTCTAGTTGGGACACATCACCAAGCCAGCTGTCTCTCATATGAATGCTGGGACACTTTTGTTTGACAACATGACAGCCAATCATCGTGGCTCGGTTTTTGGATGACACCCCAAAACCGAGGGGAAAAAAGGAGTTTCGGCTGTTGTTTGTTTTCCGAAAGTGCCACCAAAAGATTCGGAAAGCAAACAGCATTCCCCCGCACAACTGTTCGGAACTTGCGGGGTAAATCATAAGCCGAGAAATCACATCATGCCGTGAGGAGTCGCCATCGTCGTCTGACCCATATGGTTCGTAAGATACAAAAGTCTACCGCACATGTAAATATGATGGTCTTTTAGGTTAACTGAAAATCCCTGCAATTATAGTTCGCCCAGGATGGGGCTTTAGCTCATTTTCAGTATCATGCCATCTTCTACCTAGTTTTGTACTTCATGCTTTATTTCTCATTAACCCTCCCTGCCGAACGTCCATAGAAACTGTAAAGGGAAAATAATTTAAAACTACGTTGCTGTAGCACTTTGTCAACAGCCGCGTAATAGCCTTATAATTTGGGCGGAGTTTGATCGTGATCGAATGGTTGGCCTTGGAGGGTTGGTGAAGTTCGGCCAGAGTACGCACCACGTAGACAACGCGTTCAAGGAACATCTTCATACTGTACTCCCCTACCGTCTCATGGCTTGCAATTTTTAATAAATGTTTATCACATATGAGTCCCAGGTTCCTCTTCAAGGATACGTAATTCACTGCGTTTCTTATAAGGGAAACTATTTGCTACTGCTTATTGAGCAAATATTGCGATAGCCTGTCCGCCCACAAATTGGGACCACCATCGCAAAACATACACACGTGCGCCCCCTGCTTCATGATAAAACCCCTGTTGAATCTCCATCTTTTAGATTCTAAGCAAGATATATCTTTCCTAGAACCACAAAGGACAGGCCTAAACATGAGCAGTTAGCTCCGACTTGGGCTTGTCCGTGGCCCACGGCTCGGTCCACTGCCGGATCCGTTTTCCAAAGAAGAACACGGCAATCCCAATTGCGGAAAGAACACCAAGAATAATGGCGCAAATATTGAAAGCACCATCGTGGCCAACCTTGTGGACAAAGTCCAATGCTCCGTACGAGACGCCAAATGAGATGACGCCCCGCGCGAAGCACAGCACGACCAAGATGGCATCAGTGCGGCCTGGGTAGCTGTCCATGGCATAAGTGAAAGATGCCACCACTATCCCGACAAATCCAAAGAACTCGGCGTTGAACGTGACTACAATGGCAGACCATGGCCACTCGTACGGGTATTGGCAGGCTTGGCCGAAGATGACGGTGCTGATGATGCCCACAACGAACGGTAGAGCCAGCGGGACTAGTCGGTATTCCGGCTGAGAATAGTTAGACAGAGCGACCAAATCACTTTGAAGGAAATGTTATTGGTTTTTCGTTCATACCCGAGCTATGCCGCTGTTTCGCCTGCTCAAGAGCTTGACCACATAGTCGCTCAGATAGCCTTGAGCAGGAACGACTACCATGGACACGACCACCTGCCCAGAAAAGACGAATCCTAAATACTCCGGCTTGAAATTGTACGGCGGATGGAGCAGGACGCTTGCAAAAACGGCGCCAAAGATGACGAAGATGCCAAGAAACATGCCACTGCAGAAAACGAGCCACAGGATATCAGGAAAGAGAATGACTTGGACCATCTGCTTCCAGCAATTGATAGCGTCCTGCCACCGGGGCCTGTGGTGAAAGAGGGCAACATCGTAGGAAAAGGTCCGGGAGGGGTAGTTTTCGTAATCGATTGGGGGGCGTTTGCGAGCTGTGACGGCTGGGGGCTCGTTATCTCCTGGCTTCCCACTGGCGTCATCTGGGTTGACTGTCGACCACCTCATCAGCGATTACGGCTATTATGGGGTCATCAAAGATTCCGAAAAGTTTCGGCTTACTGAGAGATGCCTTTAAGCGATGAAACCGGGTTTCTGGCACAGCAAAAGCGGCCATCAATAGGCATGCTCCGTTGATGATGGCGAAGATACCATACCACCAGCGCCATCCAAGATTGGATGCCAAGTAGGAACTAGCTACCGTGAGCGTAGCCGTTCCAAGAACTTGAGCAGCGCAGAACCAGGCAATTTTAGACCCTCTCTCGTGCAAGTAGTAGACCTCCTAAAAAGCAAGAGGTTTAAGATGCATGCTCAAACTCGTGGCCTTGAAATCGGTGGTATTGAACGACTCACCTGCACCATGATCGGGCAAAGAGCCTCGGCCTGCCCTGCGGCCAGACTCATGATGTTACGGCCGGCAATGTGAGAAGTCAAGCTCTTGCTGAAAGCGCACCAGATGCAGCCGGCAACCAGCAGGATGAGTGAGAAGAGATAGATGGGGCGGCGGCCAACGGCATGGGCAATCGGAACGAAGATGAAGTTGCCCAAGCCGATGAAGAGGGCAGGGTAGGTTACCAGGTCATTGGTTCGTGAGTCCCCAGGGTAACTTTGCTGGACAGTAGGGAGGATGGCACCAAAAGAGGAAGCCATGAGGGTGGCAGTAGCGGCGAAGACTGACACGTTGGCGACGAGCATGATCTTACGCCATGACGGGAGGTTGAGCGGGTCGCGGGGGTCAGTGGTCGGGGTTGGAATGAGAATCACATCGCCATCGTCCTCGAACAGCTTGACATCGCCGGGAGCCGTGCGATTCTGATGCGAGGTGGCGGGAGGCGCATGCTCAATGTGGACGGCTCCAGTTGGTTTATCAGCGTCCATGGTGGTGTAGGGTCTTGGTAATTTTCAAATGATGATGCCTCTCTAGAGAGTGAAACAGTGACGATCAAGGTCTGTCAGACCAACCTCTTTTATGGCTCTTGAGCAGGGAGAGACACGAGGTTGTGAAGGCCAGACGTCATGTTGTCGTTCGGCAACGCATCACCATAGGCCGTAGTAAAACGGTCCTGGGCTTTGAGATCCGAGAGGAGGCACATCAGGGTTTTTCCCGGATGAGCGGTATAAGGTAGCTAATTGCCAGTTGAGTGCAGGAATGGATAGAATTGCTCAACCCCACGGGGCACCCAAAGTGAGCGGCGGTACTGCGTGCGGGGAAGCACACCTAATCTCACCAACCCACCAATCAACTAGAGACTATTAACAGGGTGTGCAAGTCTAAAGAAACCATCTTTACCTAGGTAACAATAAGCCTGTCAACTGTTTTCCGCTCCGCACTTCCTCCCACGACGAAAATCCGAGCATCCCGCAAAATCACGGGAAAGATATTGGTCTGGTATCCCCCCCCCTCCCCCGTGGCCATCCTAAGGATAAGACTGGGAGCATACATAGTATTGGCCTAAGTGGTTCGCGCGGTGCTATGGACCACCCGGAATCCGCCCTCGGTAAGCGTCGAAACCGTGCTTGTGACGAGTGCGCCCGGCGAAAGATTCGCTGTGAGTCGGGGCGTCCTTGCAAACCATGTCTCCAGCGTGGAATCGGCCGTTACTGTAGCGTTCCATCATTCTCCAACTTTGGGTGTGTCTCAGTCCAAGTAGCTGAGTAGCTGGTGGTCATCTAACTTAGCTGACGTGGGAATCTAGACATTCTCATCACCAAACGAGTCCAGGGACTACCGTTCGTGAGCCACTGCGTGTGTTTCGAGGTGATAGCGAGCCTCCTGCGGACGCGAATGTGGCACTTCTTCATGAGCATATTGCGCATTTGGAGGAGCAGCTGGCCAGGCTGACCAAGGACTCCTCAGCGCTCCCGATCGAACCGCCGGTTGCTCCGACCGCCGGTGTCACTTTTGACATCGAGGAGCTTGATTACTCCATGGAACACCTAAATATTGGCCTGACCAAAGATAACCTGGACGAATACCATAATGAGGCCGCATCTACGCTGACACACGCTTGCAGTTTGAGTCGGTTCATCTTGCCGTCACGACATACAAGTACGGGGATTGTTCGTTTTGTTCTCGACCACCTTGGATGGCTTCACTGCGCTCTCCTGGCCTCAGACTTTGAGGCGGCACATGAACGATTCTGGGACTCTCTTGATGATCCGTCAACGTATCAACAGCCCGACCTTGCGTTCAACTCCGTGTACCTCGCCATCCTTTCCGTAAGCTCTCCTTTTTGGTGACCATTCCTTCCTCCAACTACAGTTCCATGCGCTGATTTATTCATTTCTAAAAGGTTGGCTGCTTTTACATGGACACATCTCACGAAGCTGTCCAAGGCTTCACATTCTACAGCCAACGGCCGCCGCCCCCCGGCATTCCCAAGACCGATGAAGAGCTCTCTGCACTCTCTTGCTGTTGGTATTGGGCCGCTCTGCAGGAGCTCGAAGACAGCGACTTTATCGGCAAGCCGAGACTTTCAACAGTGCAGACGATAGCCATCCTAACTCTAGTAAATTCGAGTTTTGGTCAGAATGATCGGGAATGGATGCTAATTGGCATCGCCGTAAACATCGGCCGAATCTTGAATATGCATCGATTAGCAAGCGAATCGACATTGTCGCCTCGAATAGCGGCACTCACGCAGTGGCGCAGTCTGGAGCAACGCAATCTTGGGCGCCGGTTGTGGTGGACTTTGGTCATATGTGACTGGTGAGCAAGCCCTCTCTTCAATTATTCGACGCAAACCTGACTCATACCTCGAGGATGGGCGTCATGAGCCATCGTCCAACAATCCCTCAACATAGCTTTGATACAATCCTCGATGTCGAGCAAGGCGGCCATGATGTTGTCACTACCCCAACAGCTAGTCCGTGGCCGACCAATGGCACTGCCGTTTCAACCCTTCACTACCACCGATTAATGGCAGACCTATCAGGGGTCATTCGTACCTACGTCAAGTTCGGTCGCAGCTACGCTCCCCAAAATCTCATCGCAGCAATGCACGAGATCGAAAAGCTAGAAAGAGAAGCACCCAGCCACCTCAGACGTAGTTCGACGACACCAGACTCCAACCTCGATCAAGAGCTCCGTCCTTGGATACCGCTTCAGCGATACTTTGCTCAGCATGCAATCCATTTCATGCGACTGACCGTAGCTCGTTTTTTCTTCACGAGGTGGATGAAGCGGCAACCTGATCCTGAAGGCCTACATCTAAAAGCTTGTGAGGCTGCTGAGATTATCGTTGCTCAGAAATCCCAGCCTTTGCCTTCAGTCTATCGTAGAAGTTGGCAAGTTTAACCTCCTTTAGCTACATAACCTGGTCGAGACAACATGCTAATGCTCTACTATTTTTAGGCTTATTTGTGCGGCGACTGTGGCCGCTGGTGTCTTTCTTTGTTTGGATCTCCTCTTCTTTAGCACTGGCGAGGACATCAACAAGACACGATATCGAAGGAGTTCGGTGCGAGCCTGCATACAATCTCTGCAGGAGATGGGGTCCACTAACGCTGTATCGTCCCGAGGTTCTGTTGTTCTTGAAACCTTGATGAGTATTCATTCGACTTGGCCTCACGCGGCAGTTCCAGACCACGACGCCCTCAGGAGCGTCATTGAACAAGTGCGCCGGGCACAATCATCCATAAAGGAAGCCAGGCACAAGTGGGATCGCCCCGCCAAGTCATTCGGCTTCCAGGCGCCATTGAATGATATTCCCGGCTTCCCGGCAGTTGATGTGGACCAGACTTTCTTTGAACAGGCCGCGTCAACGGCTGATGCCTTGCAAAGTGACAGACCAGCAGATATGCAAAGCTCGGACTCTGAAATTCAGCACAACTGGGAATACTTGATGAGCATAACAAGCCCGCAGGCTAACGTACATCAAAGTGAAGATGAAATGGAGGATTTCGAAAATCCGTTTCAGTTCAACGATGTTGCGCATAACATGAGATACTAGGCAGTCGACTAGGTCTCGTCACGAGTTAATCATCATCCTTGGCGAGTAGTTTACTACCGTTAGTCTTTGTAGCGACCTCACTCGTTGTCATATGAGGAAACACAGTATAGATGTCTATGGGTACTATGTGATTGATATTATTAGCAGAGTAAGACTGTATAAAATCATTACAAATAGCAATGACAACATAAAGCATTGTCCTACGTACTAAATTTCTTTGATATACCAAGCCGTGTCTTTCCAACCGAATTTTACATGCCTTGTACTGACTTGACGATTTGCCTAACCAAATACAATAGCACATTTTCACCCGTTCGTAGATACACAATAAGTTACAATGGACTTTATTTTTGAATCTCAGATTTAGACTCAAAATTCCTCAATGAGTGTGTGATCATAAAAACTAGAAAGATAACACTCCCTGTTCTGTGTGATAAAATGAGTGGCTTGGTTGACAAAGTTCCTGACTAAATGAATATAACAATGACGGTCCTAACTAGTATTTCTCCACAGAAGCAAGTTTCAAGAGTTGAGGTGTCAGCTCTGGCTTCTCCAACGGTTCATCACGCTCAGAAGGGTCCACCTTGCCATCAATCATTGCCTTTCCGTGGGCGTGGATGTTGCAATGGGGCCAGTGTGTCGTCGTTTGCCACTTCTTGAAAATCTCCGCCTTCTTCAGCCGATCCTCCTCGGTCATAAAGGCCGCAGGCGTGTAGCAGGCGTAGATGATGGTGCGGATCTCGTCGCCTTCGGGGAAGCGGGCAAAGTGCATTGTGCGACTATCCCACAGGATGAGGTCACCCGGCTCGGCGCAGACCTTGATGACTTCGCAGCCCCGTTCCTCGAACCAGGACAGTTGGTGCTCCTTGAAAGGGTAAAAGTCGTAGTGCTTTGCCCCGATACCCTGGCTGCGGTCCGGGGGGTTGAGCGCGAAGAATTCGTCAAAGAGGCGAGATGAGCCCTTCATAAGGACGAGACCGCCGTCATCGGGTCCGGCGCGAGAAAGGTTGATGATGCCTTGCACGCAGGAGAGGCCCTTGCGTTCAGGTGCCTGGTCGACGTGAGGCCATGGCGACCAAGCCACGTCCTTTCGGTTAGGGAAGGTGACGTTGATGGTGTCAAAAGAGACGGTGAGCTCCTTGGTGCCCCAAATCTTCTCAAAAGCACCCAGAACGCCGGGCTCCTGCCGGGCGTCCCAGACATACTTTTCGTGCGCGGCGCAGTAGTTCAGGTACATGCCCGCCTTGAAACTTTGGGGTAGGTTCGCCTCAACCCAAGTGGAGGGGTCGTCCAGGACCAAACCTTTGGCAAAGCCAGTGATCCAATCTAGCATCTTTTGGCGGTAGGCGAGGGCCCGATCCTTGGGGATGGCATTCTTCAAGACGATGTACCCGTCGCGGAAGAAGTCGTCGCGCCAGTCTCCAAAGGTCTGATCCTGGCAGTCGTCGAGGTTGATAGTTAGACGACTGTTTGTTTGCGTGTTGGTTGCAGTTGTAGCAGACATATTGTAATGAGGTTTTTCGAAAAAGTGACTAGAATGTTCAATGTAGTGTTTTTCACCGAATAATGTAGTCTCAGTTCAAAGTGATATCAAATCGAGGGCGCAAGCTTTAGTTTAGTTTGTAATTTGTAGATGAATTCAAATGTTCCAACATGCACAGTTTAAATATTCATGAATGACAAGAATACCTTCTATTCTCTATTCAGTCCCTGACGTTGGATTCTACTTGACATCACGATGTACCCTTCTCTCACGGGGGCGGGTACAGGGTATGCCGAGATCTTGTCGAGCGGCGAGTGAGTGTCCGCAACCGACTCCCCGTTCCCCGTGGGGAAAAACCAGGCGTAGATGCGATGACGTCTCAGACCTAGGTATCTTTGGATGAGCTCGTCTGATTTGCGAGCAGAAGATGAACAGAGGACGCACATCCGTTCTGCCCAGCCCCGCCCCCTCCCGGATCTCACCTCGGAGGTGGTGGGGGCTAGGGTCCGGTTTCTAACGGCCCGTCCGTCCCCGAGCTCCGTGCCATCCACCCCACGACAGTATAGTTGGATATCATGCTGTACTACAACATAAGAGACGGAGGTCATGTTGCTGAAACTGTTTCATTGCCTTGAATTATTGCTCGTTTCATATTTGAATAGCCAAAATCACAGCTACAATCTCTCTCTAGCAATGCCTCCCAATCAGCCATTTCAAGTTGCAAATTTGCAGATTGCTGAGCCCACAGAAGGACACAATGGATACACCAAGTTCAACCCTCGCACCGAGACGCTCCCAAAGGGATGGAATGGATTCAACTCCAGGCCTCTATCGGAAGACATGATTGTGCAGCATGACCATGGCATCAAGGTCCGCGATGGCTGCGTGCTGTACTGTGATATATATCGACCAGCCAACTCGGCGGAAAAAGTCCCTGGCATCGTCTGCTGGAGCCCCTTTGGGAAAAAACACAATGGTATTGGCATGATGAAGCGCCTTCCGTGGAATTGCGGCATCGCTCAAGGGGATCTCAGCGGCCTAGAGAGATTCGAAGGCCCTGACCCTGCCGAGTATTGCCCTCGTGGATTCGCCATCGTCAATGTAGATGCAAGAGGGGCGGGTGACTCGGACGGTAGCATTGTGATTATGGGAACGCAGGAAGGAGAGGACGGCCACGACGTAATTGAAGCTCTTGCCAGCCAAGATTGGTGCAATGGAAACATTGGACTAGCTGGCAATTCGCACTTGGGGATCGTGCAATGGTTCATCGCAGCGACTCGGCCGCCTTCTTTGAAGGCCATCGCTCCCTGGGAGGCTTGTGGCGACCTGTATCGAGAGCAATTTGTGCGAGGAGGTGCTTGGGACAACGGACTCTTTGACCTCATAACACGTCAGGTCATCCGGGGTCGCCATGGTCTAGAAGACTTTCGCGAGATGTATCGTCGTTGCCAGACCATGAATCCCTACTGGAAGGACAAACGAGCCAACATTAAGAACATCAACATCCCCACCTATGTCGTGGCCTCGTACTCGACATTTGTTCACACCATGGGCTCTGTTCGCGGCTGGCTCGATGTCCAAACAGATGAAAAATGGTTGCGGTGGGACCCGTATCAAGAATGGTACGACCTTTGGTGTGTGGACGAGTCCAAAGAAGAGCTTGCGCAATTTTTTGGTTATTACCTCAAAGGTCTCAAGGATAATGGATGGGACAAAACCCCAAAGGTCCGGATGAGTAGTCTCAAATTTGGCGATGCAGAACCAATATACCCCATCATTGAGGAAGATTTCCCCATACCCCGGACACAATACAAGCAACTATTCTTCTCGGATGACGGCATACTGGAGTCCGAGGCTCCAGAGACAGAGAGCTTTGTTACATATGACAATGAGAAGACGGACCCGATTGATATAGTGCGCTTCAAGCATACATTTACCAGCAAGACTCGTCTGATGGGTCTTCCGAAGGCAGTTGTCTACATGTCCTGCGACGACCTGGACGACATGGTTGTTTATGTTCTCATACGAAAATTGGACGCCCAAGGCAACGAAATGTTGAATCTCAACATTCCATGGAAGGCTGCCCCCCATAAGAAATTTGATGACATCCCAACGAATGAGCTTAGCAACTTGCTATTATACTTTGGTCCACTTGGCGTGCTCCGGGCGAGCCATCGTGAGATAGATTCTGAACAATCTATTCACCCCCAGTATCCATTCCACACGCACTCTAATGTTCAGAAAGTCACACCAGGACAGATTGTTGAGTTGGAAATTGGTCTCTGGTCAATGGGAATTGACTTTGACGAAGGCGAAAGCCTCTCAGTTCAGGTTTCAGGACAATCTCCGCTGATCCCGGAATACAAGGAGGCTAAAGGTGCGCCCATTGAAGAGCGGAATAGAGGAATTCACAAAGTTCATATTGGAGGATCTCATGCAAGTAGCGTTATCTTGCCATTTGTTTAAGCAGAGATGCTCATCGGTTGATTCAATGCCGTATTGTGAACTATCCGCTACTGTCAAGCCTAAATCGTATTAAAAGTAACGTGCTGCCGCTTTCGATTCTAATATCTCACCTAGTGAATACTTCTTGAGGGGAAATGATGTAACTTTGGAATCCCATACTTACCTTGATATATAGGTTATGGCCGTGGTTGAGATGGGGACTAAAATTCTGTAATTCATATTTCGGACATCCAAGTCTATTTGGTTAAAAGATTTTACGACGATATGTGAGCATCTTGTTGCAGCGGTCTACTATATCATTGAAAGGCCTTTGTGAGCCCGCGCCACGGACTCAGCCAAATTTAAGCCCAAGGGCACTCAAGGGCCTATAATCTAGAGTCGGACGCCCTTTTAGCCCCTTGCACTTGCACCTTCTTATCACCGAAGAATTCATGCCGAGTTAGTGGAGTTAAAAGCCGTAAATCATTACTCTAAATCATTTTCCCCCAGAAAAATGAATGAACTTCAGGAGCTGGGCCCCCATTTACCAAAAACTCTCACTACTAGCAAATATGGCTCATTTCCGTCCAAATAGTATAAGGGTAAGTGAGGTTTTCCAGGCTGTGTCGTCTTATAACCAACTTCATAAGGTGAATAATTCCTAGAGCCGTAAGCGACCAGGACTCAATGCAGACGTTAAAATAAGCCGGGATATGATGTAGTCAAGCGGAGGAAGCAGTGTGATGCAGAATGTCATTTAAGATTAGGCAAGAATAGGCAAGCTGAATAGAGATTTAATGAAAGATTTTACGGTGGGAGAGGACTTGTTGAAGTGAGGGTTCCACTACTGTTTGTATCTAATAGAGAAGCTGAATCTTTTACGTACCATACATAGGGTTGAAAACATGAGGGGAAGCGTGCTGATTCCTCACATTCGCAAACTACAGCAAATTTACAACTGAACGGCTAGCATTAAAAGCTGGAGGAAAGAATAGCTTAGCGATTTAGGTTAATGTCCAGATTAATACAATGTCCAAAGATATCTGGCCGTTTGAAATATAACCCATCCCGCAACCGTAACTGTGGGTAAAACAAAGGCGATCAGGCCAGTCATGATGCCTTGATCAAAGAAACCCGAGCCAGTTCCCGAATTCTGATTGATCGTGGGCAAAGGTTTCAGTGCGATTTCCCTGAAAGAGGAGACACCCGCTTTTCCCGCAACTCTCATTCCACGAGTGCCAAAATCGCTTGCCTGAGTTAGAATGGAGCTTGTCTCAATAGACGTAGATATTGAGACGGGACTTGGTTTTGACATGTATGCCAAATCATAGCAGCCATCGGCATAGACAGTATTGAGCGCTGTGTCTGGGCGGGCAGGGCCAACTGAGATTTCCATGCTCAGAATATATCACAGCTCGTGGATAGGGGCCAGACTTACTAAGGATACCAACAGGTATATTATTTATAAACGCTGACTTGCTTTCGATTGATTGTTGGAGAAACTTGCATGCTCCATTACTTCCAAAGTAGTAGCCTGCTAGCAGTGTACCACTTTTCAATGTCAGAAATTGACAGCTGTAAGAGCTATGGGTATATCTTACTATTGTGATGCCGTCGTGACTGCTCCTACCAAACTCGTACTCGACAAGACACGCATCGCACTTCGCGGTTCCTTTTGGATTTTCGCTCTGTTCGGCATTGTGTCAGCAGAAGATCCCAACTTCTCACTACGAGAAGACATACCCTGACGCATCAAGTGCAATCTCGAAAGCACCATCGCTGTAAAGAGTTGTATTTCCGTGCGCCTGAGCTTTACCGGGCTTAGGCATCGTGTCGGTTTCTCGAATAAGTGAGTCACCCCTTATTTCTCGGATGCAGGCTCGAATGAAAGGTTCCAATACCCATTCATTGACAATGACCACGTCCGGGGCGTACGGAGACTTGCCTTTGAATGAGAATCGTGCCGCACACAGAGCTTGAGCCGCCAATGATAGGTCTGCGGTCCTGTCAACTATCGCCACCGTGTATGATGGAGTCAGACGCAATGCTGCTGAGGAGCCTGCAGGAGGTGGTAGATCAATTTGGTCAATTACGAAGCATTTTGAGAGGAAATTTGGATTTGGATTTGGCCGAACGAAGGAAAAAAGGTCAGGATCCAAGACGGTAAACTCTTCAATGAGGAAGGTGATCAGAGGACTGTCGGTATTGACCCCCTGTGTAAAATACCTAAGTGTTAATAGAAATGAAGAGGTGGTCGGACCATGCTTTATCGTGGAGAACTTGCCTCAATGGCAACGCAATTACCTGCTGCCAAAGCTGTAGCAACAGCGGCGAAGATTGAATAGAAGATTGTGTGGTTGCCGGGTCTAACGAGGACAATTCCATGAGGAACTCGATTAGTGGTGTTACTCTGGTTCCGACTGATCGCATACTCGCGCTTTAGGGCGTCTTCAAAGTCCAGTTGATGAAACAGTTTACTGATTGTGGCGAGAGTCGCGGAGAACTCGTACCACGTCTCTTCGTCGGTGGATTCCGACTCTTTGGTGATCAATTCGCAGAGCTTGGTCGCATATTGGCGTAGAAAGCCATGGAGAAGATGGAGCTGTCTCTGCCTGTAACGCACGTTGCGTGCTCTCTGATCTTCTGAACACGCAAGTAATTTGTCTTGCGCATCATCGCTAAGATTGCGGGCGAGGGACGGCATGGCCCGTAATAGTATGTTGAGTGTCCAGTAGGCCAGGTTCAGGATGCTGCCTGTGGCTATTCATGTTGCATGATGGCCTGACAAGTTATATCGTATATAATCAGGGAGAAGCTAGGAGCTGACCGCAAGATTTCCAAGATCTTGGATCAGGCTATCTCCGCGACACACCCGACGGGGACTTTATGGGTTCGGAACTACGGTGGGGGTGGGGGTGGGCATCGACTCCGGATGTGATGATGGTGGAAGCCGAGACGTCGGAACTCAGAATTTGCAACAGTCTCCAAGAATAGGCAGTTTGATAGTCTCTTGTTGGAATTTTTTCTTCTCTTGCATCCAAGTCAACGCATCTCACACCTTGTCCAGCCTCAACGAATTCAACCAACATGTCAACAACGATTCAACAGCAAGTAACTCAGCGACATGGCACTGTTGAAGAAATTCTTCAGGACTACCGCCTCTCTCTGACGGGGCAAGGGGAAACAAGCGACTCCAGTCCGCCTGCGCAATGGGCGGATTCTCCAGACAACTGGCCCACTCAGTATAGGCGCATTCCACCTTACAGGCCGATCAACAGGAACCTGGATCTTACTGAACGACCCAACGGCTCCAGTCGTGGAGAGCTGGTCTTTGTGACCGTCATGTTGAATGGTGTTCGACTACAATCAGTACGAGATGCGTTCCATCGACCAGGCTTGTCGCAAGTAACAACTAATAATCTGTTCGCAGGGGCTGGTTCGAGCTTGGGAATTCACCGGGGGGCGTTGGTACCCAGGGTTGACTCGCTATCGCATTGGAGGCGAATGGTGAACGGGATAGGAGTCTATGTGAGAACTTTTTAGATTCCGGGTTAGTAGCCCGCAGTTGCCCTGGTCTGAGTTTTGGCAGTGGTTCTCGTCTGGATAAATAGGCGATTAATCTCATTCATCTACCAAATTTGTCTGATTCGATTGTGACTCCGTATTCTAACTTGGTTCTAAAACCAACCACTCGCTGTTTAAGATCTTGAGAAGCTTTAGATAATGAACATCCCAAGTGCCGCGTAGCACCAGTTGACCGCAAAGATGCTATCAGAACGTATACAAGTTGTAGGTATCCATAACGCTTGCTACCTACGCATAATTGATTATCCACAACTGAAGATGGCGTGCGTTCTTAGGATCCTCCAGTATCTCAATTCCGAAGCATGCATATTCCGGTCGGCTACCCCCGCCGGAACTTTGGGAAACATGCTCTGGACCTATAAAGCAGTGCTAATGATCTCAATCCGAAGCTATAAACGGTTGAGTACCCAAGTGAGTTATAAACTTTATACACATTGGCATTAAATTTCTTCATCCAATCTTCGCAGTTTAGATACACATTAGCAGGGATTCTAACCTCGTTGCCCATTATGCCTAATCAAATTCAGGATCTACATCAAGTCATTATGGACGAGGAAAATAATCTCATCTTCGAAAAAAACGTCAGCATTCCTCTCAAAGGCTCCGATCTTCCCATTCGCTGCAACGTTTATCGGAGTATCGACTCCGACAACGGCCAGAAGTATCCTGTACTTGTGACTTATGGGCCGTACGGGAAGGACATATGGTACGGAGAGTAAGTTTCGTTATATTCTCTCTGTTAATCACAACATCCATCCAAGTCGCGCCTAACCACCGGTCCCAGTTTCCATGCTAAATCATACAAGGAGGTCCCAGAGGAACACAAATCCAAATACGCGGCTTGGGAGACTCCCGAGCCTACGTATTGGACCAAACATGGCTATGTGATAGTCCGTGCTGATGAGAGAGGTTTAGGCCAGTCGCCTGGTCTACTAGATACTATGTCTCGCGGTACCAGTGAGTGCTTTTTTGATGTAGTAGAGTGGGCTGCATCCCAGTCTTGGTCATCTGGGAAGGTCGGACTTTTGGGCATTAGCTATTATGCAGGTGAGAGAGTGAATCAGAGAATCATGCGCCAATGGGATATCAGAGAGCTCACATGAAACAGGCAGTCAATGGCGGGTTGCAGCCCGCCGACCGAAAGGGCTAGCTGCGATCATCCCTTGGGAAGGCATGTCTGATTACTATCGGGATCGCTGTCGACATGGGGGCATCTTCTCCAACGAATTCATTAGCTTCTGGTGGAACCGTCAAGTCATAACAAACCAGTATGGACGTCCTGGGCGAGCTGCCAGCAAGTGGGGCGAAGACACAATCGAAGGAGACTTGACCCAAGAAGAACTGTAAGTGCCAACCGTCACTGGAGCGACTGTCAACTAACGGTTGCCACAACACCAGTCTCAAGAATTGCCAGGATCAGAACATTGATAATGAGCGAAACCGGTTCCGCGATGACGAGTACTATGCGTCCAAGGATTTTAACCTTGAAGACATCCAAGTTCCCGTTCTCTCTGTTGCAAACTGGGGTGGCATTCTCCTACACCTGCGTGGAAACGTACAGGGTTATCTTTGGTCAGGATCAAAATATAAATTCCTCCGATTTATTGCAGGTCGTCATGATCTACCGTTCTACTATCCTGAGGAGGTTGAGGTTCAAAAGAGCTTTCTCAATGCTTTCTTGAAAGATCAAGATGAAGATGGCTGGAAGACAGGCAAGGTCCCAGCCGTCAGTCTCCGTGTGCGGAAAGGAGATGTGGGCTTCAACAACCCTACAGGGGAGAAGCAGTTTCCCATTCGCACGGAAAGTGCTTGGCCAATTGAGCGGACAGAGTATACCAAGTACTACTTGGATTCAGACAACAGCTTGAAGGCTTTGTCGGCAGCTCCCAAGACGAATGCGACAGTATCATACCTAGCTCTTGGATCCTTGAAGAGCCCTCAATTGGTACAATTCACAACACCCGCTTTCGAGACGCAAAAGGAAATCATGGGTCACATTGTGGCCCATTTGAACATCACGGTCGAGTCGTCCAATGCCAAGCCGGACATTGATGTCTTCGTTACGCTACGTCACATCTCACCTACGGGCAACGAAGTGTTTTACACTGGGTCATCTGGCGACAATGTCCCCATATGCAAGGGGTGGCTCCGAGTGAGTCTCCGGAAGATTGACGAGCTGCACCCAAAGAATAAACCATGGCTGCCTTGGCGTGAATACTTGTCTACGGACGTCCAGACAGTCGAGAGCGGAGTTGTTTATCCAGTAGCTATAGAGCTCTGGCCTACCAATGTCGTTGTTGAGAAAGGGGGCAAATTAGTTTTTGAGGTCAGCTCCGGAGATACACAAGGGTGCGGCAAGTTCCAACACACAAATTCCGTTGACAGGTAAGCAGTTTCTTAAGTGTGATAGGACCAAGCGACGGATAACTGACTTATGGGGTAGATCTCCCGCTATTTTCGAGGGAGTGAACACGATTCACTTCGGACATGGCTATGAAAACTATGTAGTATTCCCAATTATTCCTTGAGGATTTGGTATTCTTATACATAGATGAATATATCATTCTTAAAGGGGTTGGAACTATGCGCTGTCTTCTCGATGCTCCGCACCACGAGGGCATTTGAGCTTACCATTCAAACCCTAAAATAAGTGAATGTTTCTCAGGTCAATTCTAAGCAATAGCTTGTGGCACGGCTGGCCTGCGGCTTCAATGTGATACAGAAAACGCCAATCCTAGATTCGATAGAATCCCAGATGAACGTAATTCGAGTCACATCGTAAGCTTACTGCCAACATATGGAGAGCTATCCTACCCTGATATCGTAGCTCATCTTGGGCAGTTCTCTCACCAACCAGCTCCTGGTTTCGAAGAGTCCCCCGAGCTGGTTACCGATATTGACGGGATTGATTGGCTTTAGGCAACAGAGTTCCCCAACTTATATGTCCCTACGTAGGTGATGCGTAACAGCAGCCTGGGCCGGGGCCGCCCATGAATAACGGCGTTCACCCGAGTGATTTCAGCTGTTGATGTCCACTCCTTCCATAACAACAACAAACGATGAGGTGCCAATATGTCTATACTAAGCAGCCTAGGCGAGTGGCGTCCATCCTTCCAAGGGGTTATCTCGAGGAGCAGACGCACTAACCCTTTGTGACCCTTCCCTGCAGTCCACGCTCGCGCCGTCATGCTATGTTTGTCCCTGGCGCGCATATCTTCCCGGACTTCTTTTGTTAGGACGGCCACCACTTCGTCACGTCTGTAAGTTGCCACTGCTGGGAACGAAGAAGTTCCGGTTTCGTCGAGGCGAATGATGTCGATTGCTGGAGCCGCCAGAAGGCGCCCGACAGTTGAAATGTGTCCCTGCCGCCGCAATATAGAGTGGCGCTCGACCCGATTCATCGCTGGGGGTTCAGCTCGTGGTATGAATAATTCGACTGCCTTGATGTCTTGTGGAGTGCGACACTGTCAGGCTGCCGAAAGGCCGCTCTGGGCCAATCCATCCAAATACTCCAAGCACTGCCGAGGTATTCATCAATTGCTCGCACCATATAGCTCGGCTTACTCTGCCACCACCACCTGCTCTTTGCTTCGGATACAACGGAGCCAGCCGCAGCATAAAAGTAGGCCAAAAGGATCAAAGCGATTGGATCATGAGTCTGGACCAGCGTGACGAATTCAGCAGGACAGAAAGCCTGCCATTCCAGGAAGCACAACAACAACTCTAGTGCTTCTTCTCTGGGCCCATCCTGCTCCTCGGCTAGAGAGAGGTATGGGACGAGAGACTTGATACATTCTTCGTATACCTCTCTGTTTTCGAGAAAGCGGGAAAATGGGGGTAAATCATTGAGGAGATTTATAAAATGTTCACAAGGCCCTGCGGATGGTACTTCTCGAGGAATGGATCTTTGCGTCAACATAGGAGGTGACACTAAACACTTGAAGATACCCCTATCGGCAGCGTGATGGTGGCTGGCAACGATTGACCGGATACCACGGAGAAAAGTGAGCGAGCTATCCTGTAAAGGAGTCGTGAGTGGATTCATGTGAACCGTAGAGCAAGCGTGGAAACAGAGCAAGAATGATGTTGCGAGTGCTGCGTCTTGATTTGCCGAAATGCTACTCTGAAACTGCTTGTTGAAGCTTGAAAGAGCATTTTTCAGGTGGTGTGCTTCAAGAAGTCCATAGTTATAAAGCGAAGGACTATTAGCATAGCGGTGGATCTCCTGAAGATGTCGGGCGGAGAGTACGAGTATCGCATGCATAACGAAATCATACTGAGGTATGTAGTTAGTATTTATACGAGTTTGTCGCCCATTTTCGGGGTTTTACCTACTTGCAGGGCGAGTTGCAACACGCCCTCAACCCAAATGGATTGATTGCCAATAAGATTAATACTCGTAGTGGACATGAAATGTGTTAAGAGGAAGACATCCGGAGTGCCGAAAACCAGAGCATCATCTGCAATCACCCATGAAATCTGATGTCCACGCGATAATGACGTATGTGACGAGATGGAAGATGCTTTCTTGGGTTGGGCGGAAGGGCGAACAGCGTTATCTTCACAGTCGGCTTTTGAGACCACGGCAGTCGACGAACGGAATGTGGTGACATGACTATTCCAGCTTGGCCCTGCAACGAGTGGATAGACACAGACATTTGAACCGATCTTGCACCGGGAGCAAGGACGCAACTCATCACACTAGCTATAGTCAGCTTCTAGTCCGTCTCTAGCGGCATGATTCGAATCAAACCAAGTTGACAAACACAAGTGGATGATTTAATATTTAGGTACAAGGGTCCTTCACCTGAACTCAATGTGGACTGACTGACCTTCACTCTTCGCTCCTTGCATCTTAAACAACCTGACCGAGATCTTCCTTTTGATGCTCTGGTTCTGGCAACAGGATTACCACTTATGGTATTGGACAATTTTGGTACTGACATGCTTGGAGTCTTGATTTGGTAAGCGGTGTAGAATGAGCGAGAATAGTGCTGTTGCTCTATCTTCCAATAATCGAGGTTGTAGTGTAGATTGCGGTCGAATGTGGGAATTTACGTTGATATAGACGAGCCAGAAGCCCGGCTAAGGCCAGATTTGTGGACTTGATGCATGGTGGCGCAGCAGGCCTTGGCGTTAATTATTCTAAAAGGGAAAGTTACGACTTTTGATCTACAGTTTAAGGGTTTCAAGGGTTGATCTAACACACTTCCAGGGATCCCTTGCAATCGTATCCGTAGTTCTCCTCCAATTAAACAATCACACGCTTGAATTCCAGACCGGCGCTGTGCACGTAACCATAGAAGCGGATACCCTGCTTAAACGAGTTGCATCGGCCATGTTGCCAGATTACGGATGTCTCGGGGACGCAAGTCGGCATGCATTCACTTCGCTGACTGAGAAATATCTCGTATGCTTCCCGAAAGAAACAGAGGCATTGCTCCTGAAAATTTAGCAACTAAAAGAGATCACGATGACATCCAAAATGAGTAATTTACGAGGATACAGCGACTCTGTCTGCCCGTCAATACGTAACGGCGAAGGCAGTGCCTGGCTCTTAAGCTAGAGGTTCGCCTTCATGACTATTTAAAAGCTCTGTCTTGACATTGTTTGAGTTATCCAATTCCTCGGACATCGACACTCTTTCTACAAACACATCATTTAACTTCATCTTCACTCAACTCCTTGCAAATCGCAGTTGCAATGCTTCTACTCATCACTTTTCTGGCATCGGCAGTGACTGCTACGAGTCTCGCCAAGCTGGGCTGCACTACCGACACCCGACATGCCGGGGTCTACACCAACGACACAATTCATATGAATGAAAATCCACTACTACCCTTTGATTATCCGATGACGGATGGATTTAACCTCACCACTGGAGAGGAGTGGTCATTTGAAGGGGTGTCCGCAGATGGGGCATCCGGGATAGCCTACATGCTCAGTCGCGGCACAATCGCCGGACACCTCTTGGCACAACGCACTTTCATCGCTATTACCTGGCCCAACGGGACAAGGTACATGGAGTCTGGATTCGCAGACGTATCTACGATTCAGATGTGTCAGAATTCGACAAGTGGGACATGGTCCAATGAAACCTCGGGTCTGAACTGGAGTTTCGAGTCATCCAACGACTACTCGCACACAGTTGTCAAGATCGACTCAGCTACCATCAAAGGAACAATTACATTAGATTCACTGGCTCCGGCTGTCTATCCGAATGGCCTTGTATACCCTGATAGCTGTGGAAATGTCCGGTTTGCACCCCATATTTACTGGGCTGAGACTGTGCCTGTTGCGACCACCGAGGTCGATCTTATCGTCAAGGGAACCCCATACACCATCAGAGGTATTGGGGGAAGAGAGCGCAACTGGAATTCCTTTGCTTGGGCCAATTTAAGCTTGCATTGGAACATGCTTAGAGCGACTGCTGGCCCATATACTGTTATGGCTTGGATTTATACATCAAGAGTCGATGGGCAGACGTACTTCACCAGCATGATTATGAAAGGGGACGAAGTGGTGTTCCATACTAAGGAACGACAGGCATCGGCAACCAACACATTCGGCTCGTTCGACTTGGCATACGGCGGGCCTGTTCATTTGACATCGGACCCAAGCGGGACACCTTTGCCTCCTTCAAAGCACACGGGATATGTAATGGAAATGGTGGATCCAAAGGCTGGACAACATTGGAAGTTCGAGATTGATTACACACAAACTGTGTATTTATTTCCGTCCAGCAATACTACAAGGGTTGGCGGATTTGTTGGCGCACTTAGAGGAGGTTTGGTTGGCGGACCTCAGTACTCGGGACGGGCCAGTGGAAATTTGCAGGATGTGATTTAAGGCGGCAGGGCTGAGGCACTGCTGCGGCACCACTGCCAAATCCACTAACTCTAGTTTTTCATCTGTTTTACAGTTTTCTAGAGTACCTGTTAGCTGGTTATAGTGTTACATTATAAATCATAAGTTCATACGATGCCTCGGTTCAACAAAAGGGATTATTAAGGTGGCTTCATTAAGATCAGGGTCAATCCTCCAGCACTCGTCTCTTCTATCCCAAACTGGGAGACAATTCGTTTTAAGACCGTTGGGTACCCTTGACAGAAAGGGGGCGACTGAAATGCTTCTGAATGGTTTCCATGAAATAGCTAGCATAGGGCGGGCGGGAAGAAGGCCAATCTTAACACTGCGACATTAACGGCGCAAATCCGTTGAATGGATCACTATCTCAGTCTTAAGCCGATGCCGGTTAGGGACATGGATCTCTTTCATTACAAGGCACCCTGGCCCGGAGTCGGCAAATCCTGGTAGTCCGCGCGCGCGACGGAGAAATATCACGGCGACAAAGCTCTCTTCGGCATGTGGGCAGCGGGCTTGAGCCAGATCAGCTCGCAGTTTACTGATCATCATCCGGATCTTGTCGATGACTAATTTTGGAAAGGAGATATCGATAAACTGCGACGAGAGTCAAGGACGAGGATATTGAAATACTGTTGTTGTTTTGCAAATATGCCTTCCTCACCGAGTTATCAATTCACCCCCTTATCCGTGCCCAATTGAAGCTGTTCAGATCCTTTAAAAAGAGATTTAATTAATTTACGATTTAAAATCTTAACAAGAAGCTCGAGAAGATCAAGAGAAAAATAAGATATATGCTAAATTGAAGCTCTTGAATAGGGATTGAGTGCGAAACGCTGCGTGTCGTGAGGTTCCATGAGAACTCTACCGGCCGCATCCCTATCAGATCTAGCGCCTTTCTTGCGCCTTTTAGATCTATCGCTCCTCTTGGACAATTCCGACATCTCCCAAATAGATCTTTCGTCACAGCTTAGGAGACAGCCGGACTTTGGCACATATCCTTTTCCGCGCTTGTGCCGACTGCTCGGTCTGGTTGGACTTCTCGCGGCATTGAAAAGTCCATAGGCACAGGATGGTCTTGGGTGTAACACTGCCACGCCTTCGTCAAAGGTGCCGCAGCATACACCAACTACACGTGTTCAGAATGCCACCCTAACACCAGTAACCACGATGGTCCTTCTGAAATTATGCGCTGTGAGATTTGGTATTACTTAGACTGTCAGGATCATCAGGCAAACATGGAAATAAGAAATTAAGAGAAGCATCAAGATTCTGTTGCAGGGATTGGGAAAATGCTCGCAGGTCCCAGACAAGTTGAGGATATTTCCACTACGACATATCACGGAAAACCACAAATCAAGTCCCCGGAGATTTTTAGGCAACCGAGTCCGCCCTAGATCATCCCGGTCCGTGCTTGCCAGAAGTCTCAGGACACTGCAGTAGGATTGACGCCCTAGTCTGGAAGTGAACGAGACCGAACACTGTCAAGCATGCAACAGTGGGACTCGGCAAGGGCTCTCTTGACCTCTGATCACGTTGCTCCACTGACTCTCGCTTTTGGTCCACTGCATCGCGGCCATTACGCTTGTATGGGACGCTTCCTCAAGATGTACGCCTGTCGCCGGATCCTACCGGCCATGGCTATCGTGTAGCCCATCGCATTAGAGGTTCCTCCCGGCCGCAGGCTGCCCTAGTCAGCGGGATGATGGCAAAACACCCCTCTCCCAGAACCGACGACACTTGGTGCATTGAGAAATTTCGAAGGAATATATCCTCTTTCCCTTCTCTTGATTATGGGCCACCCCACGCCGCTAGCCAGAGACGCGCAGGATGGCATCCCCGAGAGCACTCAGGTAAAGGGCTCTGGGGCGAAACAAGTTGATCGAAACCAACCCCGACTCCGCAGGCTTCCACACCTTCCGAAAGGAAGTCATACGATGTGAGGTGGGAACTTGATGTGGAAACTCGAGTTGGGAGTTGCATACCATAGAAGCAAGATAGCAGAGCTATCGCGTAGGATCTGAGGATAAAAGGAGGGCCTCGCGCCGTCTTCGCAGTCTTCTGCACAGTTGAATCTCAACTTCCATTCCTCACAGGTACTTCTTGTTGCTTTCCCAGCCTTTTATTTCATTATTATTTAGATGGTACCGATTACGAGACTTGATAGCCCCAGACAAACCGGAGACCGTTGTCTTTGATTCCCATCTACCTATACACGATACCTAAAACGAAAATGGTTGAGCCAATTGCCGTCATTGGCCTGGATGCCAAATATCCATGTGACGGAAACACTCCTGAGAAGTTTTACGACTTTCTCGTCGCTGGAAGATCCGCCAGAGCTCCCATCCCGGCGGACAGATACAAAAGTGATGCTTTCTGGCATCCCGATAACCACCGAGATGGAATTGTATGGTTGCCCCGCTCTTTGCCTGCCCATTTGACTTCACTGACCTTGACAATGTAGATCGGTGGTAAGGAGGGGCACTTCATACAGGAAAACGTTAGGGCTTTTGACGCTCCCTTCTTTTCCATTACCCCTGCCGAGGCAGCAAGCATGGACCCTCAACAACGCTTGCTCCTCGAGTGTGTCTACACCGCTCTGGAGAACTCTGGTCTCACCATGGATGCCGTATCAGGCACCCAGACAGGAACCTACGTGGGAGCTTTCATCTGGGATTACCGAGATGTTTTGATCAAGGATATCGACGCCCCCATGATGTACACTGGTTCAGGTACAATTGCAAGCACCTTGGCCGGTCGTGTCAACTGGTTCTATGACCTTCAGGGTCCTGCAATGAGTCTGGATACGGCGTGCTCGAGTAGTATGGTGGCACTTCACCAAGCTGTCATTGGCTTGAAGTCGGGGGATTGTGACATGGTAAGTCCCTGCCCTCGTTTACCTGGAGTTGCAGTTGCTGACAGCATTACCATGCAGGCTATCGCATGCGGAGCCAACTTGATCCTCTCCCCTGAAATGGGTCTCGAGCTCAATGCTCTTGGTGTACTGAACCCTGACAGTTGCTCATATAGTTTCGATGATAGGGCAAGCGGATACGGACGAAGTGAAGGTATTGGTGCCGTTGTTCTGAAGCGTATGTCAGACGCCCTCAGAGACGGCGATAGTAAGTCACACATCATCCTTCAAGAGGGGGGCTTACACTGATCGCTACTCATTAGCCATTCGTGCTGTAATCCGCAACACAGGGTGCAACCATGATGGCCACTCCCCTGGTCTCACCGCACCCGCGCAAGAATCTCAGGCAGAACTCATGCGAAGAACCTATGCCCAAGCTGGCATTGACCCATCACACACCCGCTTCTTTGAGGCCCACGGAACCGGCACACCGGTTGGTGACCCAATCGAAGCGGGCGCGATCAGCGAGATGTTCAACAAGTATCGATCAGCCGAGGAGCCCCTTATCGTGGGCGCGGTCAAAAGTAACATTGGCCACTCTGAAGGAGCTTCCGGCATTGGTTCCGTCGTCAAGAGTATCCTCACTCTAGAGAGAGGTATTATACCTGCCAATGTCTGGTTCGAAAACAAGAACCCCAAGATTCCTGACGACTGGCACCTCTTCTTCCCAACGACTGCTTGCCACTGGCCCCAGATCGAGGGAGGCATCCGCCGCCTGTCAATCAATTCATTTGGTGTTTCGGGTACCAACGCTCACGTTGTGATGGATGACGCCCTCAGTTTTCTCAAGGCAAACGGCTACAATGCTCCCCACAAGACCATCGAGTCTCCTCAGCTACCAGGCTCAGCACCCCTTCCTACCATCACGAATGGAGTCGATTCTACCAGCCCTCAACTCTACGTACTAAGCTCTCATGACCAAGATGGCATCTCCAGATTGTGCAATGTGTACAAGGAGTACCTGCCATCTTTGGACGACACTCTGCACAACTTCAGCTACACCTTGGCAGCTAAGAGAAGTCAGTTCAATTGGCGCACTGCTATTGTCGCCAACTCAAAGGAATCTCTCCTCCAGGCTCTTTCTGAGAAGCAGCCTACTACCCGTGTTGCTGCTGATGCTGGTCTCGGATTTGTTTTCACTGGACAAGGAGCTCAGTGGGCCCAGATGGGAGTTGAGTTGATGCACTACCCGGTCTTCCGCGCTTCTGTTGAAGCATCTGATGCCTATCTCAAGACTTTGGGGTGCTCTTGGTCTGTAATTGGTATGCTGCACAACCCCGTTGACAAGTGAACTATGAACAGTGTTGTCCTACACATGGTAAATTCTTAGCTGACTTGACATGATAGACGAGTTCATGAAGGCCGCTGATTCTTCCCGCGTTAACGAAGCCGAATTCTCACAGCCTCTTTGCACAACCTTGCAAGTCGCTCTGGTGGACCTTTTGACTTCTTGGGGGGTTTCAGCCAAGGCCGTTGCTGGTCACTCTTCTGGTGAGATTGCCGCCGCCTACGCTGTAGGGGCCATCTCCAAGGCGTCTGCGTGGAGAATTTCCTACTGGCGTGGTAAGTTAGGTCTCTCATGTGATGATCAGCTCCCCTTTTTTTACTAACCCTATTCTTCTTCACAGGGCACATGTCAGCCAAGCTGGCTCGTTCCGGAGAGCAGCCAAGCACCACCATGGCTGCTGTTGGGCTGGACTTCAACAAGTCCACCGAGGCTATCGACAGAGTCAACAAGCTTGGCTTTGAGAGCGGCGGGAAGCTGACCGTTGCTTGCATTAACAGCAAGGAGAGCCACACCATTAGCGGCGACACGGCCCAGATCGAGGCGCTCGTCGACATGCTGCAGGCTGAGAAGGTCTTTGCTCGCAAGCTGACCGTCGAGATGGCCTACCACTCAAAGTACATGGAGCCCATGTCGGCAGAGTACACAAAGATGCTCGACAACATTGAGAGAGGCAACTGGTCGTCGGTTGCTCCCCAGCCTCAATTCTTCTCTTCAACCTACGGAACTCTCATTGATCCTACGAAGTTGCAGGAGGCAGCCTACTGGACCACCAACTTGGTGTCTCCTGTTAGGTTCCATGAGTCCTTGTCTTGCATGTTCAAAGCCATGTCCAAGACTGAGACTGGTGAGACTCATCTGGTCACGGATGTTCTCGAGATTGGGCCCCATGCCGCCCTCAAGGGTCCTCTGCGCAACATTACTGAAGAGGTCAGGGGCAACGGTGCCGTCAAGTACCACAATGTTCTCAAGCGTGGTGAACCCGATGTTCAAAGCGCCATGCAAGGCGCAGGCTCTCTGTTCAACCGCGGCTTCTCGGTCGACCTAGTTGCCGTGAACAAGGTTGAGGGCGAGGAGCCATCTATGATGATTGGACTGCCCAGGTATCCTTTCAACCACTCCAAGGAGTACTGGTATGAGAGCAGGCTAAGTAGGAACTTCCGCAACCGCGCGCACGTGCGTCACGAGTTGCTTGGTGCCCCCGTCAATGACTGGGATGGCAAGCACGATGCCATCTGGCGCAACTGGATCCGGCTGTCTGAGAACCCTTGGGTTGAGCACCACACCGTCTCAGGAGCGGTGCTGTACCCCGCTGCTGGTATGCTCGTGATGGCCATCGAGGGCTGCCGTCAACTTGCTGATGCATCGAACCCTGGAAAGGCAATCAAGGGATTCCGGTTCAGAGAAGTGTCTTTCCACCAAGCGCTGCATGTTCCCGACGACGCCATGGGCATCGAGTCTCATTTGTACCTTCGACCTGTCAAGCAGGCTGCCGTCGAGAGCAAGGCTTCACCATGGCGTGAGTTCCAGATCTGCACCGCTCAGGATGACGATGAGTGGCGTGAGCACTGCCGTGGTCAGGTCTTGGTCGAGTACGCAAATATCAAGAATGTTGTGGACGTGGAAGATGAGGTACTGAAAGAGAGCTGCGCCAAGATCATTGATGATGCCAAGGAGAAATGCACAACTCTAGTGGAAGCCAAGAAGATCTATGATGCATGGACTGACGTCGGTCTGGTTTTCGGCCCAACATTCCAGACCGTGTCTGACCCCAATGTCGACCACAGGACAGGAAAGGCTTTCGCCAACGTCAACTCCACCGTCCCTATTCTCAAGAAGCTGATGCCCCACGAATACGTTCAGCCGCACCTGATCCACCCCACAACCCTCGATGGAGCGCTCCAAGTGTGTTTGGCTCCTCTCATTTCAAACCCGGAGCGCAAACAAAAGAACGCCATCGTTCTCACTTTCGTCGACGAGCTTTGGGTTTCCGGCTCTGAGCACTCTGACGAGGGCTACCTGGTTTGCGCAGACACTAAGCCTCATGGCCGCAAGGAGTACGAGATGACTTGCACTGCTGTTGACCCCACCACCAAGGATCCCAAGGTTCTGGTGTCTGGTCTGATTGTTACTGAAGTCGAGAGCGATGAGGATATCTCAACCCAGGTAGATGATCTCAAGCATAAGGCTTGGAACATTCACTGGGTTATTGACCCTGACTTGTTAAGTTTCGAAGAAGCCAGTAAAAACTTCGGGGTGTCTGGAGGGTTGCAAAAGTACCTCAACACTCTGGCTCACAAGAACCCTGGGATGAAGTATCTCGAGGTGGCTGCGGGAACTGGAGTTGTAACTAAAGAGATTGTCGCCACTCTAGGGCAGCGATTTACGCAATATGATGTGACCGATGCCACTCCCCGATCTGCCGATAAGTCTCAAGAGAGCCTCTCCGACGAGCGTCTTCGATCCCGGGTCCTGGATGTAAAGCAAAACCCAACGGTTCAGGGGTTCGAAGCCCATGAATACGACGTTGCCGTTATTTCCGCTGGACTTAGACTCGACGACAACGCTGAGGCTATTTTGGGTAACATCCACGCGCTTCTCAAGAAAGGCGGCAGGCTCGTCCTTTTCGTTACCGAAGGAGCAGATAATATCGAATCTTGGAGCAAGCATCTCATCAAATCCGGCTTCACTGGTGTTGATGCCGTGTTCTGCGACCAAGTCTCCTCCATCATTGTATCCAACGTGCCGATAACCGGCTCAGACACAGGCTCCCTATCATCTGCAACCAGCAACTACTATGTCATCGCCGACTCCAACTCCAGATTGCAATCAGAGGTAGCAGACAGGCTGTGCGCCTCGATGCCAGTTAACCATGCCACCCAACGCGTCTCCATGGACGAGTATGCAGATATTTGCGCAAACAACGACCTTTCCAACAGCACGTGCATTCTCCTCCCTGAGATCGAGACTGGGGTGCTCACCCATGTCACCGAGGGTAGCCTCAACGCGCTGAAGGGCATGATGGACGGCAAGAGACTTATTTGGGTGAACAAGGACGATTGCCAGGATACTGACCTCGTTACCGGGTTCGCTACATGTATTCGTCTGGAGCGTCCAGAACTCGACTTTGTCATTCTCACCTTCCAGGGTGAGCCCATCGTTGATACCATCGTGAACAAGATTATAGAGATTGACAACGCCGTCAAGAAGACTCAGGGGTCGATTGAAACCTCTTACAAGGTGATTGAGGGCCTGGTCACTATCCCTCGACTGGTCGAGTCCACTGCTGTTACCACCCATGTCAAGAAGCAGACTTCAGCTGCCGAGGTCGCTGACGTCGCCTTTGGCGCGGATCCCACAAGGTCCCTGAAGCTCAAGATTAGAGACATTGGTCTTCTCGACTCGCTATGCTTCAACGACGACCCTCTCTACGCTTCCCCACTCGCCGAGACAGATGTCGAGTTCCAAACCATGGCCACCGCTGTCAACTTCAAGGATCTAGCCGTGATGCTGGGCAAGATCAATGAGACTCCGGTCGGGCTTGAGGCCGCAGGCATTGTCACACGGGTCGGTCCCCAGGTCAATCGCTTCAAACCCGGTGACCGCGTGTTTGGTTTCGCTTTCAAAGGTGCCTTTTCCACCCATGTCCGAGCTCTGGAGGGCACGCTCGCTCACATCCCCGAGACCCTTTCCTTCGACGAGGCAGCAGTCATTCCTATCGTGTACACCACAGCATACGCGTGTCTGTACGATATTGGAGACCTCGGAAAGCGCACTGCCCGCGGCAAGAAGTCAGCCGTGCTCATCCACGCTGCTGCCGGTGGTGTTGGTCAAGCTGTCATCCAGTTTGCCCAGCGCGAAGGCGCCGAGATCTTTGCCACAGTCGGCAGTCTTGAAAAGCGCGAGTTCCTTGAGAAGACCTACGGACTGCCTCGTGACCACATTTTCTCCAGCCGAGACGTCTCCTTCAAGGCCGGTGTCATGCGCATGACCAATGGCCGTGGTGTTGACATTGTCATCAACAGTCTGGCCGGAGACATTCTCCGAGCTACTTGGGAATGCGTTGCCCCCTTCGGGCGATTCGCTGAAATTGGTCTCTCCGACATTGAGTCAAGGGCTCGCATCTCAATGGGTACATTTGCCCGGGGCGCTCGATTCGAGGCCATTGAGCTGAACTACATGCAAAACACTGACATGGACAGAATCGAGGACCTCTTTGGGCGTGTCATGGACAGCGTTCTTCGCCAGGGTCTGAAGCGTGAAACTCCCATTACCAAGTATTCCCTTTCCCAGATTCAAGACGCCCTGCGCCACATGCAGTCCGGCAAACACATTGGAAAGCTCGTCATTGTCCCCAGTGAGAATGACGTTGTTGCCGTGGTTCAACCTCCCAAGCCTGCTGCCAAGTTCAACTCGGAAGCCACATATGTTGTTTCTGGTGGATTTGGAGGTCTTGGGCAAGAAATCATTCGGTGGATGGTCAGTCAGGGAGTGAAGAGCCTGATCGTCACATCCAGAAGAGGAGCGGTTGATGAATCTGCCAAAGCACTTGTTGCTGAATTGCAGAGCCGAGGCGTGACCATTGCCACCCCTGCTTGCGATATCACCAGCAAGGACACCTTGGAGAGCGTCATCTCTTCCTCCCTGGCGCAGATGCCACCTATACGAGGATGCATCCAGGCTTCCACTATTCTCAGCGTAAGTTTATTCACTCGCCTCACTCCCAATTACTTGAAGTTGTAAAGTTAACATAGATCATAGGACAACACCTTCAAGGACATGAGCCTTGACGAGTGGCAGCGTACTCTTAGTGTTAAGGTCGCTGGAACCAAGAACTTGTGGGAGACTCTGACCTCAAGGAACGAGGACGGCACACTCGATTTCTTCATCATGCTCTCCTCTATGGCCTCCATTATTGGTAACCCCGGCCAGAGTAACTACGCTGCCGGCAACTCATACCAGGACGTCTTTGCCCGAACCCTCGCCGCAGAGGGCCACAATGTCGTCGCTCTCAATGTTCCCATGATGAACGACGCAGGCATGGTAGCCACCAAGCCGTTGCTGATGGAATATTTGTTCAACATTGGATGGTCCCACATGTCGGCCAAGGAACTCATCGCCGCCATGGACTACTACTCCCGCCCCGTTGGCCCGTACAACAAGGAAGCACTTGCCAAGCAGGCTCAAGTCGTGCCCAGGCTCTGGCTCCCCAAGTACTCTGCTGCAGAGGGCGCCAGTCAACCCGAGTGGCAGCACGAGCCACGATTCAACCACATGATCCTACACAACGGCGAGGATGGGGGAAACTCCGGGAAGCAAGGATCCGGAAAGGGATCGGCCGCTTCCGCTCTCTGCGCTGCCAAGAAACAGCCAGAGGCTGAACAGATTGTTCTCAACGCCCTTCTAGAGAAGCTCTCCAAAGTTCTAAGCGTCGATCTTGCTGAGCTTGACCCTGCTCGACCTATGCACACTTATGGCGTCGATTCGCTCGTGGCGGTGGAACTGCGTACTTGGATGACAAAGGAGATCGGCTCGGATGTATCCGTCTTTGAAATCGTTGGTGGCCAACGTATTGGACAGTTGGCTGCCAAGGCAGCTGCAATTTCGAGGTTTGTTTCTCTGTCATAGGGGATTGATTATCCGCAAATATGTAAATAGTCGTTTGTTAAGTACATGACGTCACAATATTTTAGCCCAAGTGTTTCTCATCGTAGACTTCGAGAATGATAAGGAATTTCCAGCCGTAAATATCCATCTCGATTTCACGTGTTCAGACACAGGCAATGAAAGTTACATTTGCCAAGCCTGAGTGGTATATTTGTCGACAACACAATCGGCGTTTCTCGATCCGTATTGCCCATATTTTAGATCAAATCTATCAGGCATTGCCAGAAATTCTAATTACAGATCCCCGATGGTCTGGCTTGACGGTGTGTACACACCAATCCCACGTCTTCGGCCTTCAGCTACTATAAGCCAACCAGAATCAGGGTGGAGGGTGGCGTGTGTGCCTGCTGCATTGCATTGTATACGGATGAGAGAGTTCGAGTGCAAAGTAGAACCGCAATCAAGATGCCAGACCTGACATCTCAATACAATGAATAGCGTGCGTTGTACTGTATGTAGATTCCCCTGTGGCTGCCTAGATACTCTGATTCCACCATATGGCATCTTTTGAGCTCTGGGTCCCGTTTTCACCACCAGACATGGCCCAATATTCGTTAGTTGTGATGAAGAATGCCAAGACCTCTAAGCTGTCAGGGAAAATGGTCATAAACTCGGCGGAGAAGACGCTCTTGGAGTCTTTGGAAGCTACCTCATCTGCAAAAATTTCCGCATCGTTCAACTCGATGTTACAACTCGGAGATGATGAAAATGGCCGATATAAGAAGGTGTGTAAATTGAAAAAGGAAAGCCGCTCAGGCTGTGCGAGTTCTAAACCAGCAGTTCTCGAGAGAGAACAAACTGGGGCTAGTCTCCAGAGTCTACGGCTCTCGAAATAACTTTACCCAACCACGCCAGACTTGTATGCTCATCATCAAGCCTTTTAGGAAACCTTAGCTCTCGAAGTTGAGGTAGGGACGTGATTAGAAACATCTTGACATAGCCGTCGTCGTCACACGCAGTCATCGCTAGCTTCTTCAGTGTACAGGCAGGACACACGTTGCGCAAAGAGAGTAGAGTCGAGAATCTGCATGACCTCTTCTCCCGCCGGTCGCTTCTTGCAGTGTCGCGCTTTGGGTCTTGGGTTACTCACATTCCAGTCTCTCCAATCTGACCACAATAGCCGACTACCCCAGATTTCAAGCTCGCGCACATGCCATGCTTCAATTCCTTCAGCGCCGCATGATGGTTTTGATAGATGTAGAAGCTCGAGAACTCTTTCGGGGGAGATGTCTGACGCTAGCCCCCCATTGTCGTAGCCGGCGCGATGAAGCCAAAGACGGGTTGAGAATGCTTGTAGATGTGTTCAATTGCGGGTCAAAGCAAGCGCAAAGTGCGAGGAAGGGTGCGTGCTGTGTGGATCACAATCTGGATAAATTCGGGAGCAAGCTTTATTCCCAGTGGAGAGGACAAAGTGGGTGACAGGAGAAATGAGACACCTAATGGAGGAGTTAGTTGTAAACAGACTACTATCTATAATTAATAGAGAAGTTTAGTTATATAAAATGAAACTAAGTAACAATATCCACTATATTATCTCTGAGGTATGCATTATTAGCACTTAATAGTCTAACAATACCGGTCGCAGACTTGAAAATAAGCAGCTTAATGTTTGAGTGTCTCAATTTCAATGTCACCCACTTGAGGACATTGTCCGCAGCCGGGACCGGAATAACGATTTGGCGATACCGCCTCAAACAAACGAAAAGGCACGAAGGTATTCTCCACAAGCCGAAACTGAGGAAGATTGCTGACATAAGCGAGAGTCAAGCTACCCTAAACCTGCCTGAGTTGATCAACAAGTCAGCCTCAGAACAACCATGTGATTGGAGGTTATATGCGGCATGTCATTAGTGAGAGATTCGTCATTACATGTAATTTTTGAGAGGATATCTATCACTTCTTCTGTAGGAATCGGCTCCATGGTATCGGACCGTTTTGCAGAAACGTATACAGTCATTACCACTTCCATTCCCCTGACCACCGGGGCTGAATCCAACAAAAGTAACTTGAAGCTTAACACTCATGGACGAATACCGTACATGAGCGACAGAGTTTAGTTTGGCCGACGTATTTCCAATGGCTATTAATCGAAGAAATACAAACCGGCTTAAGGGCTGTAGGGTAAGTAATCGCAAAGTGAAGGCCTGGGGATACGTATCTGAATAAGAGACGGTCTCCGAGTGGAGCTCGTGCGGGTCAATCGTTGAGCTTGGGGCAAGGGACAAAGGTGGCTCTAGCTCCACAATTTGACCGAGCGGGAGAACCAGGGCTTCCCTGCGCATTGGAAGAACTGTGGATGAATATCTGCTGGACGGGATGAGAGAACATCTCCACTCAGAGAGCATAAGAGGGTAAGTTTACCGCGTCGGAGCTCTGGGAGAGAGGCTTGTCTCAAGTTTCTATTCATTGTGTTGAACTTCATGAGCTGAGCACCTAGATCTCTCGGTACCCAGACTACTAGGATTGAGTCCTGAATAATGTATTTGTGTGATAAGCTGGTGGCCGATACGTTTACCAAATGCAGCATGTGTTGATGGAGACAAATGGCGACGTGGAAAGTGAATTGTATTCAGGGGAAACTTGGGAGCACATAAAGTCAGATGACGCATCTCTGATTTAAAACATACTTTGATAAGGGTTAATTGGAGAGTAATTTGGTTGTCGACTGCTCAAAATAAGTGAACCAACAAAACGCCTCTCAAAAGTTAGAGGCTGAGTCTAGCATCTTGTATATACATCAAGTCCATCAAGTATCTATGTTCTTGATCCAGCACTTTCTTCGTATCACTTTTCTCGCCCCGGCCTGTATTTGCTAAACTTGCTCACATTAGCTGCGAAACATTTTAAATCGATTTATATCAAATATAGTTTGCAGCGTTTATATTTCAGAGAGCAATGAAGACCAGCTTTATTTTAGAGCATCTACTACGTCTTGAACTCAAGAGTCAGAGAAAGGCGGCGTTTTCTATGCCGAGCTCCTGTCGGGTTATTGATTATCTCGCTTCAATGAGGACGATGCGACTCTAAGTCGACACTACTCAGAGTCTTAACGGTTGAAAACATTCAAATAAAGTATCAGTACTTTCTCACGCGCTGTCGCGTGATCTTAGCAACGAGTCAATTTCCAAGACCGTATCGAGCAGAACCTGCAGTCCCAGGCCACTGTCAAGTCAAGTTAGTATGTCGAGGAGCCGCAGAGAAAGAATACTGGGTATTAATCTTACCATTCCTCTTCGCTGGTAAATTCTTCAGGGGCATGGCTTATTCCATCCTTGCTCGGGACGAAAATCATAGCCGTTGGGATTCTAAGCGCCGTCAAAGCGCTATCATGACCCGCCAGAGAGATGGTATCCATCGACAAATCTTCGCCGACAACGCGGTGCGCTGCTTTTCTTATACATGATATCACAGATCGATCTAATTGAACCGCCGGACTGTGCCAGATCCTCTCCATGGTCGAATTGAGCCTGGCAATTTCAGCCCCTAGCTTGTCCAATTCACCTCTGATACTGGATTCAAACTCCTCCAAGGCGGATTCTGATTGATGTCGTAAATCTAGAGAGAACGTAGCCACCCCTGGAACAGTGTTGGAGGATGGCCTATCAAGTGTCAAGACACCAACTGTGGCCACGGCTCCAATCTCTCGCGCTCTCTTGTTGACGAATAGTACAACCGATGCAGCGGCAACAAGCGCGTCAGCACGCTGGGCCATAGGAGTTGATCCTGCATGTGCTCTCTTTCCGACTATAGATATCTGGTACCAGCGAATACCTTGAATGGCTGTAACAATGCCAATCTTGCGCCCGGTGTCCTGCAGAACTCGTCGCTGTTCGATGTGGAGTTCAACGTGGGCACTAAGCTTGTTCACTTGGTGGCTCGCTTCTATGCTTCCAGAGTATCCGATTCGGTCCAGCTCTTCGCGCATTGTGCAATTTGTCGTCGAATCGATGAGATTGTGGAACTGGGAGACGGGCATGTGCGCTGCCCAAACCGCAGAGCCGCTGCAGCCCGGTGTAAAACGTGCCCCTTCCCTATTTCGATCAGCATCATGCATTAAGAGAGTTGGTATTTCCATGTCCATTCGATAGTCGATCCTTACTCATTGGTCCAATTGATTGCGGCCAGCGGAGCATACGTCTTTGCGCCTGAATTCTTAACCGTCCTTAAGACCTCAAGCGCACTCAAAACGCCAAGTATCCCGTCGTATCTACCGCCTACAACCAAATAAGCTTGAGTCAGCTGGCAGATCGAGGAGTTGATTCGCCTACCTGCAGGCTGGGTGTCAAGATGACTGCCCATGCCGATTGGGGGAACGCTGTTGTTGTATCCGGGGAGAATTGCAAAAATGTTTCCCATCTCATCGACCTTGACGTTGCACCCAATACTCCTCGCTTCACTCACGAAGTAGTCTCGGACATTCTTATCGTCATCCGACAGAGTGAGTCTTGCCATCCCAGTGCTGTTGGGGATGGCTCCCCACTGGGCTGTGTAGTGAATGTCTTTCCATAGACGATTGGTGTCGGCAATGCATCTTCGGGCGATGTCTTCGTTGGATTGATCGATTGTTGGGACAGATTTTGAGTGATAGGGAGGATAATGCGGATGGGAGTGATCAGGGTGAAAGGTTCCTGCGTCAATTGGAAACAGGGCCTTTCCCCGGCTTCCGGCAATGTGGACAGACATCACGGTGCACTTGATTGAAGTTGTGCTTGTGATAGCAAAAGGCCAGCATGAGTGTGTGTTATCCACCTATATCAACTGGAGGAGGCAACCCATGATATCATAACCTGGAACAGCCAAAGGAACTTCTGACCGCGCGTCTAGCAGCCCATCCTACCCCTTACCGAAAGAGCAATTTGTCGAGGTTCAGATGACCTTGCGGCCAGCCAAAGAGCACACGTCATACCCTCACATAACCCTTTTGGTTTGACCAACTCGGGACGTGGCAAGGATGACAATATGCTCTTGGATGTTACGTCAAGGTTCGAGTGACGTGTTTTCTCTTACTCATGGCGTATGTATAGCATCTCGCATTCTAACCAATTTAATCATACATTTTCATCTTTATGGAGTTTCCGGACCTGCAGATGCGTTTGCCATAGAAATCAATACGGGGGATTCTGTGGACTTGAAGGTGAAGCGTGGGAGGAAAACTACAATGCGGTCACAAGCTGCGGACAGGTGCATGGCACGAATGTTTTTCGCTTCTCATCAGATCTACTAGGGGTTCTTGATATCTACAACCTAAGAAATTTGGATGATGTATTTCTTCATACGTAAGAGAGAGAGAATAAAGTTCAACAGCAATGGAAGCTTCCAGAGCCCGATAACTCAACACAATGAATACGGATGTATTTCTTCATCAAGTCCGAAATCGATCAAGTAGGAATATATGGATATATCAACTATATGTAATGCTAGACTGTGGCAAAAAAAGAGAAACAGTTACCCTCTGCGCCGACTCAGGCTCCCAATTATCTTTGTGTAAATCAATCAAGTCCCCCCCTCGAAATCTCCCCGATCACCTGGCAAAGCCCTTCGTGTATTTTCTCCACCATGGCCCGTTCCATGTAGTTTGAATTAACGGCAATTGAAACATTAACGCCCGCACGCCCAGGGAAAGCACCCAAAGCCAGACTCCAAGGGAATGGATCCGCCGTTTCTGGCTCCCACACGTTTGCGCTGAAAGCGCCGTCCAGCTCGCTCTCGGATCCCTCCTCCAAGTTCAAGTGCTGTGTTATGATGGGAAAGGTTGCCATTGACGTAGACCAGTCCGTACATTCGCGAATGATATCATCAAGGCCAAACGCCTCGTGAGAAATCGACTTGATGGATTGTTCATGAATTTGCTCAAATACATGCGATGCTTCTGTCTGATAACCTTGAGGGAACCGTACACGCAAGGGAACCAGGTTTGCGCAAGGGCCAACCAACTCTTGGAACTTGGCGTCGAGGCCGCCACGACCCGAAGCGAAGCGACAAAAGGTGACATCAGACGCGTTTGTCAAGGTTTGGACAAGTATGGCGCAGGCGGCGTTGAAAAAGGTAGCTGAGGTGATCCCTTCTAATTTACGGAATGGTGGGATCGTCTTCTCGACACGAATTACTGTGCCCTTGGCAGTGGCATTCTGCTTAATATTCAGCACACTGGTAGGGTGACTTCCAAGAAGAAGATTTCTCCAAAAGTCACTGCTTTGTGCGCGATTCCGCCCCGCTTGTTGGATGAATTCTGCGTAATCAAGAGAATTTGCGGAATAATTTGGATCGTGGTAAAGGTTAGCCAATGTTTTGACAAAGCTGACACGGCTGAAGCCGTCAAACTGTGCATGAGACAAGCGCATCAACAGACGGCATCTTGTCGGGGTCTGGATAATTGCAAAGCGAAGGAATGCCCCCCCCAGAGGTGGAAGCAACCCAATGTCCCGATGAAAGATGGTCTCCATAAGGGTCGTGATATCTTCCGTCTCTTCGTAGGAATAATCGATCTTGGGTTCATATGACTTGAGAACAATTTGAACGAATTCGTCTCCATGTTGGACGAAAATGGTGCGGAGAATAGAGTAGTGTTTGACTAGGTTGGCACACGTGTTCCGAAGCTTACCGACATCGACATCGTGAGGAAGCTCAAAATAGTAGTGCGTCCAGTGTCTTGGAGGGTCATCCAAGTGTCCTTGAAGTGCAAAGCGTTGGAATGGCGAAGTGGGAAGCATGTCTTGAACATTCTCTGGCGCTTGACGGCCGAGACTGGGCAAACATTCGTGTAAAATTGTGCTGAGAGCGTCGTGGCTAACGTTGAGAAGAGGGAAATCACTTGGTGTGAATGTGAATGGGATACTTGGAAGCTTGCTTGCTGCTTGCGTGAGAAGATTCTTGTAAGTGTCTATCCATTGCTGGACACGGCCAAGATGTGCCATTTTCTTGTGGATGAAAAAGGTAACCTGTAAAGCCCCATCGGAGATGTTGATTTCGACATCGATCATGGCCCATCGGCGAGCACGCGGATCAGCATCAGAGATTTTTTCCTTCACGCGCGTCTCCATGGCCAAAACGGAGTCTCGAGACTCAAGTTGCTGAAATGCGCCCGAGTAATTGATGAGAAGTTCTGCGGGATCATGCTGAGAATATTTCTCAGCGCCCCCTGCTGCCAAATGTCTGGAAACGAAGTAAGGGAGACCATTTCGGGGCACTCTTCTACGCAAGTCTTTGACTCGACGGATGGATTCAACTACCGTCGTATCGGGCTCTAAAGGGATGTGGACTGGATGCATTGTTGTGAACCACCCAACGACTTGTGATGCCTCGACGGCACCATCGGCAAGAGCCTCACGCCCGTGGTGCTCGATAAATACCGAAGGATTGTCTCTCTCCGGGAAAAGTTTCCGAAACGATAGTAATAGTGGTCCAAGCATGATCTCTAGCGGCGTAGTTGACATGGCCTTGTTGCCTTGGTTGAGGATCATATCCGTCGTGGCAGTGGGAAGATCAAAGCGGACTTCCGAGGAATGTTTGAAGACATTTTCGTCCACGGGCACCTGCCAAAACCCGTAGTTGCTTGGTGGAATTCGTAGAGCCAATTCGTCCTCGGGTGGGTGGGTGATTTCCGACTTCAGAATCTGAGCCCACCTCTGGAAGGTCAAATTGGGCTGGCTCAGTTCCGTGACGCCTTTGATGATTTCTTCAAGCTCACCTAGTATTATTTGCCAGGATACAATGTCTATGACCAAATGATGGGCTGCGAGGAAGACCACTCCATCCTGGCTGAGAATGTTGAATATATCCACGGAGAACACAGGACCGTCAACAATGTCCACGGTAGATGAGCTTTGCCGAGCGATTTCAACGATGGATTGTTCGTTCAAGTCATCAAATTGGTACGAAGCGAACCGGTAACTGTTGTTGTTCCTTGCGCTTATCTTTTGCTGCCACGTACCATCTTGGATCTCGAATCTAGCTCGTAGCATTCCGTGGCGAGATACAATGAGGTCGAAGGCTGCCCTTAGTGTCTCAGTCGTCACGTCTCTCTTGAGGCGAAGCATTAAACTCTGATTATATTGAATGCGGCCATCCTTCGACTCTTGCTCGAAGTACCGCTTCTGGATAGGTGTTAGGTCGAACCAGGTGTCTTGGGGCGCGTTATCGAGTGCAGTATTAGACAAGCCATTCATATCCCTTTCACAATGAGGGGCAATAGCCGCAATTGTTTTCTTTTGCAAGATAGCAGACACTGGGAGCTTGAGATGGGCCTTTCGGCAAAGAGCCACCACACGCATCGCAGTAATTGAATCTCCTCCAATTGACATGAAGCTGTCATGAATGCCGATCTTTTCTGCGGGGACATTGAGTACCTTGACCCAAATATTTTGTAGTTCTTGCTCGACTTCATTTGTTGGTTGTTGCTTGGCCAAGGCAGTGTCCTGCATAAATGCTGCTTCTATTGTGAGGCCCAGAGCGAATTCTCTCAACAGCTTCTTATCTGTCTTAGCGGATGGAGTAATAGGTATGCGGGAGACGGGGATGTAAGCAGAAGGAACCATGTACTGAGGTAGAACACTGGCCAGTGCTTGCTTGAGCTGCTCAACAGTGCCCCGGAACTCTTGTTGATGTTTTGCATCATTGACCTTCAGATTTGGTGAATCCGTGCCCTTGACAGAAAAGACTTCGAGTTTGATAAATGCCGATAGAACCGACTTCTTCGTATAAACTCCGACGGCACACATGTCAATGATCACCTCGCTACCACTGGGCAAGCGTGTTGCGACCTGATGCTTGATCTCTCCCAACTCTACCCGCTGGCCGTGGATTTTGACCTGGTTATCGGCACGCCCAGTAATTGTGATCGATCCATCTGGATTGAACCGACCCAAATCACCAGTTCGGTAGAACTTTCTGCCAGATCCTTCAGCCCAACCGAGTCCTGTCACAAAGGCAGCTGCCGTGGCCTCAGGTCTGTTGATGTAGCCTCGGCCAAGCATGGGACCTTCGACGAGGAGCTCTCCGACGCACCCAATGGGTGCCAGTTTGTGAGGATTGTGATGGATAGTGATCCAAACATTGCAGCCGCTTGCCGGACCAATGTTCATTGGGTCAGAGCCAGTTGAAATGTGTTTATTGAGACAGCCAGAGTTGGAGCATTCGGACGGACCCCAGTAGTTTATGAGGTGAACATGACCCTGCCAGATCTCGACAGCTTTCTTGCTCAGAGGCTCACCGCCGAAGACGAGTGTATCCAAGGTGGGCACAGCAGTTGGAGAGAAGAGCTGGGCCACCGTTGGCGTCAGCATGATCCAGTTGGCTTTTCGAGCATTGATAACGCCAGCCAAGTCGTCCATTCGCTCGCCGTCGGAAGCGATACAAAGACACGCTCCCACGATCAATGGGGCGAAAATCTCGCAAATGCTCGCGTCAAAAGTATATGCTGCAAACTGCATGACTCGCGAAGTTGGCATGATCCTCATCGCCTCGGCATTTACAATCTGGCTCTTTGAGACTGAGTGGTGCTCCAGGATGCAGCCCTTTGGCTTTCCTGTGCTTCCCGACGTGTAGACAATAAAGGCCGCATTTTCGGGCTTCACGACGGGTTGTGCCCATGTAGGCGGTACTTGAAGCTGCGACAAGGCGTGTTTATTGAGCGTAATTACATATGGCACATGGCCTAGGAAGCGAGCAGCATTGGCCTCATCGCAGACAACTACGGTCGCTTCAACGTCTTGCAATGTCAAAGAGACGAGCGTCAGGATGGTCTGGGTTGGTGGAGACGCAGACACCACCCGCCTTCAGAATAGAAAGCATGGCGATGATGGGCCAAGTTGACTTGGCAAAGCACAGCACTACCCGCGTCTCAGTGCCCACTCCGAGACAACCGAGGTGATACGCAAATTTGTTGGCGGCACTGTTTAGCTCAGAGTAGGTGTAGTCGCCATCGAAGCCGCTGGTGGCGATCTTGCCAGGAGTATCAAGCACCTGTTGCTCGACCAGCCCGTGAAGTGTCTGGCTGACCTTCTCTGGCCGTCGGTTCCAATGTTTGGCCAGTCGATCATCATTCTTGCCAATGAGGTCAATTGAGAGGATCGGTGCATCGTTGGATCTTAGAAGGCTTCGAATGACTGTCTCCAGAGATCCTGCTATGCTGGCCGCAAGTGCTGGGGAAACAATACTCTTCTGGTACGACATGCCTACCTCGGCACCCTCTTGCCCGACAGAAGCGTCCAAAGCAATCGCAAACTAATATGGCCATGTCAAAATTTAGTAGCTACAAGCACTGATTGGGAATTACGGTATTACATACCTCTGTCTTTTCGGCGCCTTCAAGGACAGTGACCAAATCGCCCACCCTCGAGGCAGCCGCTTTGCCGAGGAACCTGCGAATCGTCAGACAGGTATTGAAAAGTGGGAGGCCGTTTAGGCCCAATATGCTTTGGATCTTAGCCAGAGAGCAATTGCGGTGCTTAAGTCCAGCGATCACGCCGTCATTAATGCCTGTCAGCAGAGTTCCGGTCAAGCCCCGAAGGTGGACTCTGCAGACCTGCATGCTGATGTAGAGGCCAATGCTCTGTTCAATACCATCCAGGGGGGCATCTCTTCCCGAAGCTAGATAACCAAAGCAAACCTCTTCTTGGCCCGTAAATGCCCCAAGGACCATGGCCCAGGCTGCTTGAATCACCACGGCTTGTGTGATGCCATGATCCCGCGAGAATCCTCCCAGACCTTCGGCGGTATCTTCTGGCAGTTTGATATAGCAATACTCCACCTCCGAGTCAACGGATTTCCCAACAGGTATGTGGCATGGCTGGGCGCCCTTCAGATACTCTGCCCAGTAGCCCACGTCGTCCTCTGATTTTATCCCTTGCTCATAGGCGACGTACTTGCCAAAATCGTGGATATCGGGAGATTCAGTATAATCAAGGGTGAGATTAATGAGTTGCTCCATGAGAAGGTCCAGAGATGTCCCATCTATCAACGCATGACTCAATTTAAGACCACAAGCCACTTTCCCGGCTTTAGTATTGTAGATGGTCAACTGAGGCAAATGTTCCCAAAATGCATGCGTCTCTGCTTCTACGATACCAGAAATAGCATGAACTCCTTCCATCACTCTCTGCGATAGCACAAACTGAGATGGAGGGAGCTCTTTCAATACGACTTGCACAAAGTGCCCATCATGCGATGCATATTCCACTATGGCAGTCCTCAGGCTTGAGTGCCTTGAAGCTAGGAGCTTCCAGGCCTTCTCGACTTTCGATATGACATCTCCGCCAATTGCGGAGCTATCCTTGAATTCCCACACGTGCTTGAGCTGATAGACCTGACTACTCGTTTGCTGACTGAGAAGGATCCCTTCCTGCATGGCGGTGCAAGGATAAATATCCTCAATCAGAGAAACATAGTGCTCAAATTCCCTCCGAGGGAGAGACTTTTGGACAAGATCCTCAAGCTCGTCGTGGGAAAGCCGTAAGCGTGGGAAGTCAGCCAAAGTGAAGGTTGGTGGTGCAATTCCAAGCTGCCGGAGACTTTCTGCCAACAATACTTGGAACAGCTCGATGCAAGAGCGGAAACGATCTTGGTGGGCCATGTTCTTGTGAGTAATGAAGGAGAATTCCATGACACCGCATGAGACTCCAACTTCAAGATCGATCATGGCAAACCGGCGAGACTTGGCATCAGTCTCCTCGATGTTGTTGATTGAAACTCGAGATTCCAACTGCAAAATGCTTTGATTCGTTTCCAATTGCTGAAAGATTCCTGAATAATTCACGAGAACCTCTGCGTTGGTATAATGCTTGAAATCTTTGACTCCAGGTGTCAAGGAGCTGAAATTGAAAAACGATTGCCCACTGTTGGGCACCGACAGTCGCGTGTCCTTGGCCAGGCGGATGGCGTCCTTTGGAGAGCTGGACGCAACAACAGGCACATGAAGTGGGCAAAGAGACGTGAGCCAGCCAACAGTCCTGGAAGCGTCGTCATCCCCAGCATCACCCGGCGATTCGCGTCCGTGACTCTCCACGAGAACTGTCGGGACAGCACGCTCAGGAAATGTTTGTTGAAAGCATTTCAAGAAGACGCCAATCACGATGTCCATCGGGGCTGTTCGCATACTGTCGTTTGCTTTACCAAGAATGAGAGTGCTGTCCTCGGGCGATAGGCTGAATGACGTTTCAACAGAATGCTCCAGGATGTTGTCTCTTCCCGGGACAGACCAGAAGCCATAATGACTCGCGGGGAGGCTCGACAGGTACGTTTTGGCGGCTGATATTGCCTGTTCGCCTTCAACCATTTTCCGTTGAAGGGCAACCCAACTACTAAAGTGCATCGCTGGTGAGAGACCGGTCGCGTTATGGCGCAGAATGTCTTCAATATCACGCCAAATAATTCTCCATGACACGAGATCAATGACCAAGTGATGGGCGGCCATGTAAACCGTGCTATCGCCATTCTCGACATTGAAAAAATCAACAGAAAAGACAGGACCGTTGACAATATCGATTGCAGCGAGACTTTCTTGACAACATGCTTCGACACCAGCTCTGGAGACAGCATCCGCTCTGTTATCATTTACAACCTCGTCAAGGGTGTGGGACCTAAAGCGATGTGCTCCTTTTGAATTGGCCCCGACGGTATATTGAACCCATCCATCTGCAGTGCGGCTAAATCGCGCTCGCAGCATTGCGTGGTGGTTGGTAACAATGTCAATCGCACGTTGGAAGTCTCTCGCGGATACACCTTGCTTGACTCTGCAGAGAAAGCTTTGGCTGAATCGTCTCCAATTCTGATCCTCGTGTTCAAAATAAAAGCTCTGTACCGCCGAAAGATCAAACCGTTCACCATCAGCCGCCGCACGAACATGAGCCGGGGCAGACTGCACCTTGGTGGTGCAAAGAGGAGCAATGGCCTTGATCGTCTTCTTCTCCAGAATGCTGGCAACTTGGAGCTTGACGCCGTGTTTCCGGCACTCTGAAACGACCTGCATGGCTGTAATGGAATCTCCACCGAGAGACGTGAAGTTCTCATTAATCCCAATCTCGTCTGGCCTCAAGTTGAGCACTTGGGACCAGATAAGATGAAGAGTTGATTCGATGCCGCTTCTTGGCTGCTCTTTAGTAACATGGTTTTCACTGCTCAAGTAAGCCTCTATAGCAGGATTCTGCGCATATTCCCTCAAGCGCTTTCTTTCCACCTTTGTAGAGGCCGAGGTTGGGATGAATGCGATAGGTATAAATGCAGAAGGAATCATGTACTGTGGAAGCTTCTCTGGCAAACGCGTCTCTATCGAGCGAATGAGATTGCGGAAGTTGGCAAGATCCTCTTCCGAGGCGACCTCCAAAGATTGGGCCGCCCTTTCTTTGAAGGATGGCAATCGTATGAATGCAATCATTGAAGCGGTGCTGCGGAAATCGCAAATCTCAACCACAACCTCCGATCCGATGGGGAGAAGCTGAGCAACTTCATACTCTACTTCTGCCAGCTCGACGCGTTGGCCGTTGATTTTAACTTGCCTGTCTGCTCGACCGATAAATCTCACACTTCCATCCGGCTGGAAGCAGCCCATATCTCCAGTCCTATAGAATCGCCTGGGGGGATCTTGAGGACTCCCGGTTTGAGACCAGGCGGGTCCAATGATGAAGGCGCTCTCAGTTGCGTCTGGGCGATTCCAGTATTCCCTGGCCAGTACGGAACCCTCTACCAAGATTTCTCCGCTGCATCCAACAGGAGCGAGACGGTCTGGGTTGTTACGTTGAGTGATCCATACGCCGCAAGCCCAAGCACCGCCGATATTTGCAGGATCCTTCTCGTCTCCCAGCCTAAAGTTGAAAGTTGCCAGGTTAGATGTTTCTGCTGGTGCGTAGTGTTGAATGACTCTAATAGGCCGTGATGTGGACGACCATATTTCAATAGACCGTTTTGTCAATGGCTCAGCGCCTAGAGCAATAGTATCGATACTAGTGACATCGTCTGGGTTGACAAGCTGGGCCACCGTAGGGGTGAAGAGAACGCGATTTGCCCTGCGGTCGTTGATGGCCTGCGTAAGATTGTTCATACGCTCTTCCTCGGAGATCACGCAGACGCATCCTCCGTGGATCAGCGTACCAAATATCTCGAGAATGTGGGCGTCGAAGGAGTAAGCAGCGAACTGAAGAAACCTTGTGTCTTCGGCCACGTCGAAGGCAGTCGCATACGTTTTCAAAGAGAAGCTTATGGAGTGGTGCTCCAGTACGCACCCCTTGGGCTTTCCAGTGCTGCCAGAAGTATATATGATGAAAGCTGCGTTGCTAGGGAGAACCTTTGGCTTCGCCCAATCCGGCGAGGTCTGCTTGAGGCCAGTGGAGATGAGATCCGAGTCAACAACAACCACATGGGGGACATGATCAGAGAAAAAACTTGCTTGATCGGAGTCGCAAAGCACGGCGTCGGCCGCCACATCTTGACATAGATCCAGACGTCGACTCAGGGGGTGGTCGATGTTGAGTGAGACGCATACACCTCCGCTTTTCAGAACCGCCAAGATGGCAATAATGGGCAAGGTGGCTTTACGGAAACACAAGACAACGTGATTTTCAGGGCCAATGCCGAAATTTACCAGTTTAGCAGCCAAATAGTTTGCAGCGTTATCAACTTGTTGAAAGGTGTATTCTCCATCGTACCCGCTAGTTGCGATGGCATCGGGTGTTGCCTGAGCCTGGGTTTCAAATAGCTCATGCAACGTTGAATCCATATACGTTCCAATGTTGCTATTCCAAGAAGCGAGAGCCTTCAAGTCGTTGGGAGATGAGAGCTCAATATCGCACAACTTGAGCGACAAAGAATCTCGGATGAGAACAGTCACAATCCACTCCAGTTGGTGTATCATGAAGTCGACTTGTTTGGCAGCCACAACATTCTCGTCGTAATTGATGAGGAGTTTCAAAGTCCCAGGCCCAATGGTACATTCAGCAGTAAGTGCTAAATCAAGGAATTCTTCCATTTCGTTCCTCTCTGGCTGTAACCCAAGTTCACCCAGCGGCGATGTGATCTCAGCATCTCCCATCGTGTGAACAACGAGCAAGTTCTGATACTCGACCGCGGCGCTTGCCTCTGGACTCAGACGACGGATCCTCTGAAGGCCGGCATGCTGATACTTTCTGACATCGGCGATTTTGCTCTGCATCTCCTCCAGAATCTGGGCTATCGTTCTGGACCGGTCAATGTGGGCTCGAAATGGGACAGTCGCAATTGTCGGTCCGATTACATCCTCGATTCCCTCCACAGGGGCATCTCGACCAGAGAGCATTAAGCCAAAGATGACATCCTCGCTGTCGCTATAGCTTGACATGAGGATTGCCCAGGCTGTGTGAATGACTGTTGCAGAAGTAATTCCAGAATTTGGTCTTTGAGCAAAATCCATGCTGCACGTCTTGCTTCCTTTTGGTTGAGGGAGGTACTCGATATTAGGAAGTTGAGGATAGCTCTTGATAGAAGTTGGAAACTCTCGCCTCCAAAAATCATCCATCTCGGCTTCATCAACGGTGCTGAAAAGTTCAAAGAATCTCGTGTATGGAACGAGGGGCCGGGGACGCTCGCCTTTAAAGATGGAACTGAATATTTGGTATGTTCTCATCAATGACCAGCCATCATAAAGTGAGTGATGCAGTGTTCCCACAAAGATCCTTTCACCTTGGTGCTGGAGAATAGCAAATTTGCATAACGGGGTGCCATACTCTACAAGAAGGGCACCGTTCTCATCCAGATATTCAGACAATGGCACCCCGCCTATGAATTGCCAACTGACTTTTGTGCGTAGAGCAACCTGCAGGGATCCAACGCCCCTGCGGAATATGATTCTAGTTCTGAAGATTGCCCGATCACTGACCATTTTCTCCCAAGTTGACTGAAACAAACCAATGTCCATTGAGGTTGGTATTTTGAGAATTACTTGATACGTGTAGGCCTTGGGCCGATGAGACGAGACGGCCATTAGGGCCTCTTGTGTCGGGGTAGAAGGGTAGATGTCCTCAATCATGTCTAGCGAGACGTTACAGTCCTCGGCAGCTTGCTTGATACAATCATCCACGCTCGCCTTGTCTTTGAGCAAAGAAAACGGCTCATACGGTACTTTTCCGCTGAGCCCGGCGTCTTGGATCTCATATCTGTCAGATACCGATTCAGCCAGATCTTGTAGAACAGGCGTTTTGAAAACCTCAGCAACGGTCATTGACAGACCTTCGGCACGGGCATCGGCAATCAGCCGCATTGACAGCACAGAATCACCACCAAGGCGGAAGAAGTTATCTTCGGCGTGAATAGTGTTTAATGGGATCTCCAAGACTTTTGCCCAAAGACTTTGCAGGTGCTTCTCACTTTTCGTTTCGGGCTCTCGTAGACTTGTCCGATCAGAAAGATAATATTGGCCCAACTGGACAGCGGACAGAGCGGACACCCAGTTCCGGAGAGTGTCCCTCTCTAGCTTGCCAGAGGCATTAAACGGGAGGTGGGTGACAGGAATGAATAACGAGGGCACCATGTAGCTAGGGAGCGCTTCCATCAAGTTTGCTTGGGCAGCCCTGAACTGTTGTTCCGAAGCCTCGTCAAGATCCAGAATTGGACTGGCTGATTCAATGAGCCGGGCAGTCTTCTGGCCTTCTTGGCCAGCGGCATAGAATACCACCAACGCCGTGGCTCCTCCTCTGCTCGACATCTTGACAGTGTCAACTGCGCTGGCAACAAAGGCCGGACTGCAGCGCCGCAGCTGATCCTCAATCTCCCCCAGCTCTACACGCTGACCGTGAATTTTGACTTGGTTGTCAACTCGGCCAAGGAAGGTTATGCTTCCATCAGCATTCATTCTTGCGAGATCTCCAGAGCGGTAGAATCTTCTTGTACGCCCGGATCCATCCCTGGACCAGGAGGGATCAGCGAAGAAGGAAGCGGCATTTTCTCTAGGCCTGTTGATATAGCCTCGACCGACTATGGGACCCTCAACGGTTAATTCACCAACACGTCCGATTGGGACAAGTCTGTCTCGCCGGCGGTGATCAGTGATCCAGATACTGCAGGCCAGAGGGTGGCCAATGTTTGCGGGATCGTCATCCCTTGCGACTCTATCACGGGTCAAGCAAACCAATGGTGTGCACTCGGACGGTCCCAATCCGTTGAACAATTTGACACGTTCTGCCCACCGCCAGTAATCTTGACGGCCGTTTGCCTCGCCACTCAGGATCAAGGACTTGAGTGTGGGTAGCTTCTCCGGGTCCAAAAGCCTTGAAACTGTTTTTGTAAGCAGCGCAAAGTTGACCTGACGCTCATTCATCACTTCTGAGAGGCGGTTCATTCTCTCGGAATCAGATATCACGCAGACACAGCCCCCCCTGAGGAGGGTTCCGAAAATCTCCAGGATATGGGCGTCAAATGTGTACGAAGAGAATTGAAGTGTTCTGCTCCTAGCATCAAGCCCAATTCTTTCACCGACGGCATCCATATCCGTGGCAAGGGATCGATGCTCTAGTAGTGATCCTTTTGGCTTGCCCGTGCTACCTGATGTGAAGACGACAAAAGATGCATTGCTAGGAGCTACGTGCGGTAGTTTAGGCTCGCCAGGTATGACAGTCATGTTGAGCTTTGCAATAAAAGACTCCGACACTCCAACCACATGCGTCGCATGATCTTTGAAACGATCCACGCTGCCTTGGTCGCAAAGGACAACATTCGCCTCAGCATCGTGAATCATTTCGACCAAGCGAGGAGTCGGGTGCTCTGGATTGATGGAAACACAGACGCCTCCGCTTTTAAGAACTGCCAGCATCGAAATGATTGGAATCTTTGATTTGCCAAAACAGAGGATGACCCGCGACTCCAGGTCGACGCCGACTTGATTGTGCAAGTAGTGTCCCAACTGAGCCGATTGCGCGTCTAGCTCCTCGTAGGTCAATCTACTATCGAAGCCATCAAGAGCAATGGCAGTCGGAGTAGCAGCTGCTCGTTCTTGGAATTGCCCATGCAGTGTCTGCTCAACCGCAACGGGGACATGGCCGTTCCACTGTGCTAGTAGATCCAAATCGTGGGCTGACATCCTGTCCAGGTCGTGGAGGGATACCTCGTCGGACTCAGCTGCAAGATGAATGGCCAGGTGTTTGAATTGGTGAAGCAAGCAATGCATCAGCTTGCGCCCCAAAATGCTCTCGTCGTAGTGAGCTTTGACATGCACGGATCCGTCGGCATTTCCAATCGTACACTTGACTGTCAGGGCATACTGGTCTGTGTCTCTTTCCTCCCTCTTGATAAGTCTAAGCCCGAGATCCTCAAGGGCTTTGTGATCCTCCGCCTCATCCACTGGCTGGACAACGAGGAGATTCTCAAACCTGGTTGCGGAGCGGGCTTCAGGGCTCAGACGCTGGATTCGCTGGAGGCCGACATGTTGGTGGTTCTTTATGGTTGAGACGTATTGTTGAACTTCTTGCAAGTATTCCACGATGGTGCTAGTGTTATCAAACACGATCCGCACCGGCACAGTGGTGATCGTCACGCCCATTGTCTCCGTTATGCCGGGGACGGGAGCATCTCGGCCAGACAATGTCAAGCCGAATACGGCCTCGTCCAGGTTTGAGTATGTACCGAGTACAAGAGCCCACGCTGCTTGCAAGACGGTGGCCATAGTAATCTGGGATTTCTCCCGGCGGCCAAGGCTGAAACTTATATCTCCCGAGGCCTCTGCCCTCGGTGTATAGCCTGGTGCAGGCAATTTGGGAAATTGCTCGACCGAGTCCGGGAACTGTTCTCTCCAGAAGCCGTCGGATTCATCCAGATCCAGCCGGGAGACATGTTTGATAAACGAAGTGAACGGAACTTGAGGATGAGCGGTTCCATGTTCGTAAATGTGCCGCAACTCATCAAACATTGCCGGCCGCGACCAGCCATCTGAAATGGAATGGTGGCCACTCCAAACAAAGTGTGTGACATTCTGTTCCGCTCGAACTAGGGCGTATCTGCAGAGCGCTGAACCATATGAAAACGGGGTGATTGAATCAAAGTGTACCATATCATCCAAGGTTTCAAACTCGTGCCATTTGATCTTGGACCGGAGCACAACCTGAACAGCTCCAACATCGGGCAGAGTAAGGATGGCAGTTCGGAAGATAGAATGCTCTGCAACTAGCTTCTCGCAGGCTTGTTGAAAACGGCCAATGTCCAGCGTTTCAGGGACACTAAAGATCGTCCTGTGCGTATAAGCTTCTGCCTTCTGTGCAGAAATGGCCATCAGAGCCTCCTGCAACGGTGTCGTGGGATAAATGTCCTCGATAGCATCTGTGCCAACTTCGCATGCATGCGCCACCTGCTGGATAGCGTTATCGCGGCCACCTGGAAATAGTTCAAATGGCTTAGTTGTGCAATCCTTATCGGTCTCATCCATTTCAACCAGATGCTCGGCCATCTCTTGCATATTGGGGTGTTGGAATACCTCCGCGACAGTGATTTTCTTGCCCTGCTCTCGCAACGCAGCTAGCAGCTCTATAACCTTGACAGAATCGCCGCCGGCTTGGAAGAAGTTGTCCCGAGTCCCGAACGAAGACTCAGGTGCTCGAAGCACTCTAGCCCAAACCCTGTGAAGCAGCTTTTCCGCAGAGGTTTCAGGAGCTGCTTCCGCAGAACTAGTCCGGAGCTGGTAGTCGGAAATTTGCTCCTCTGTCAGAGCTGCTCCCCATTGAAGTAAGGTGATACGGTCTCTCTTCCCAGCTGCGTTCTTGGGTATATCATTCACCGGGATAAATAGAGAGGGGACCATGTACTGGGGGAGGAATTCAACAAGTTTTGACTGCACATCGATAAACAAGGCTTTGGTTTCTTCATCCAGCGGCAAGATTGAAGGGCCAGACGCATCTAAATCTCCGGCAGGCCGTTTGCAAAAAGCCGCCAGCGTCTGGGTATCACCACGGCTTTGCAAAGTGATGGCCTCAACGGCAACTTGGCCTAGGCTTGGCTCGGCATTCAAAAGACAAAATGCAATTTCCCCAAGCTCGACGCGCTGGCCGCGGATTTTGACTTGAGTATCAGCTCGGCCCAAGTATAATGTTGTGCCGTCAGGATTCTTGATCCCGTAGTCCCCAGACCGATAGCATCGATGATCATCTCGCTCCCCTCTATATGCCTTGAGCCATGATGGTGCCTGTATGAACCGCTCTGCAGTCTTTTGGGGGTCTCCCATATAACCCCTAGCGAGCAACGGACCTTCTATGACGATCTCTCCCACCGCACCAAAGGGTAAGAGTTTCTCTGGGTCATGGATACTAGTGACCCATACGCAAGGCCCCTTTGCCAAGCCGATGCTGCGGTAGTCGGATGCGAGGTTCTCTGGGCTGGCGAAGCTGTCATAGATGATGGACTCGGCAATTCCGTAGGCTGATATCATATGGACATACGGGCGCCAGCGAACCGTGTTTTCTTTGGATATGGCCTCCCCTACAGCAATCATGTATCGAAGGTGGGTGAGTTTCTCGGGATTCAGTTGTGACATGACAGTGCTCGTGAGAGCAGCATGCGTCGCCTGACACTTCTCCAGAACAAACTGTAGGTTGCTCAGCCGGTCTTCCTCCGAGGGAACGTAGATGCAGCCACCTTTAAACATGGTTGAAAATATGTCGCCCATGCTAATGTCAGAAACAAATGATGCGAACTGAAACGACTTGGAAGATTGCTCTAGGTAGAGCTCGCGGGCAATTTCGACTGTCGACCCGTACAACGGGCCATGCTCGACAGTCACGGCCTTGGGGAAGCCTGTGCTTCCTGAAGTAAACAGAATGAAGGCCACCGTTTGCGGGGTGACTGGCGGCCTGTCTGTGACGGACTCGAACCTGTTGCTGCCTGCCAGCGTATCTGCATTGCAGCGAATGATGCCAGTCTCGATTCCCTCTAGGCCGGGGGCTGTCCAGTCGTCTGCAATCACGAAACGAGCTTCAACTCTTGCAAGGAGCGCGCTGGTTCTTTTCTTTGGATTCCTCACATCCAGGGGGACTCCTGTAATCCCGGCAAGAAGGAGTCCCCAAAATGTGATGATAGACCATTTGCTCTTCTTCATGCATATACCAACTCGCTCTTCAAAGCCAACACCGGCCTGAATGAGAACCTGCCCTAATTTTGTTGCCGATTCATGAAGCTCAGAGTAGGTCAGCTCTCCATCCCACGCCTCGACGGCAATTTTGTTTGGCAGATTCGCACTCCAATGGTCTAAAATGTCCCGCATGACAGATGGTCCAATGACTGCCGTCTCGGGCGCATCGCGAGCCAGTCGCTTCCAGTTCTCCGGGCCCAGGAATTTCATCTGGCTGAGTGGCAAAGTCCAATTTTCCGCAATCGTCTCGCTCACCAGCTGAATGGTCTCCGCAATGCCACTTAGGAATTCGTCATGAGTCCTGTCTTTAGCGACAAAGTTCCCTCGAACAGTTTTGTTGTCCACTACGATTCTAAGGGTGAACGAGTCCTTTGGGACATGTCAGCATTTTTGACACTGGAAGTGGAGGCAGATAGATTTAATGACCTGATCGGATTCCAGATTCGAGGGGCTACCATCTTGAGACAATATGATCAAAGCAAGTCTCCTAACAAGCAGCGTATAGCTCGGTGCCGACGGGTCCAAGTTCAATGTATTTGGCCGGCCGTTTACATGAACAACTTGGCAGCCATGCTTTGCGATTGCTTCGGGGGACGAATCGTGCTCAAGGAGGAAACTCCGAACAACAGAAGCTGTTCGGCTGTCTGATAGATGTCGGATAAACTTGACCTCATTGTCGTTGGTGTAGATATGGTGAGTTATGGCCCACGCCGTCTCGATCACGGCGTCAAGAGGCACGCCTGTAGCATTAACTCGTGTGAGAGCATCGAGGTTGATAATAGTTGGAGCCCCCATCGAGTCCAGACTCTAACTAACTGGTGGGGTTGAATGAAGTTCTAATCTGAGAGTGCTGCTACGTTCATGCGACGTCGGTAACGTATAGGCACAGTCTCTGCCAGTTGGACAATAGACAACGTGTTTCAGTAGCGTATAAAGAGGGAGAACTTTGTTTTCTACGTGGCTATAGTACCCGACTTGTTTTCTAGGATCACATCGAAGAAAATTGCTAAAAATGAAGGTCATTGAGCCCTTCTCTGGTCAGAGACATTCATTGGGAACTGCATTCGGTGATGTCGCTTAATATTGGCATGACATGTGGTCATTAACTAGAATCCGATTCATAGGCTCTGTCAAGCACAGTCACGGATATCTAATGTTCCCAAACGGGCAGTACTTTTGTTTCACATAATCCCCACATCATGACATAAATTAGTGGGCGTTGAAGCCGTGTTTTGCCACGAAATGACTCCTATATTCCACGTCATTTCTCCGGTTTTTGTTACTAACAGGGCCCATGATTAGAACACACCATCGTTTCGTTCAAATTGAGACTCAAAAACAGACGCAGCAAAGGGGGTTAATGTCCACTCACCACCAATTTCTACGGTAGCATCACACTCCAGTCTATTTCGGCTAATAGAGTGAGTTGTATAGCAAATATCACTCATTCCATGGAAGACTTCCCCACGCTACCATTAAAATGTAACGGCAATCAACCCACCTGCACTATGAGGCATGCCATTGCGTCGCTTTCTCTAGAAGCCTCTCAGCATCGAACTTCCTGTTTCGAGGCTCCTAGGGAAAGTTTATCCGATCCACCACTCAAGACACAAACATCAAGTCAAAGGTCAGCCAATCGACTTGAAGTACCTAAAAATACCATAAACTCCCATGAGTCGCCTTAGTCTCACGGCCCGAAGTGGTTAAATGACTGCCGGCTCACTATAATTGGCCTGAAAGAGTCGGCAGAAGAGAGTGCTCAACGGGTTGGTGGACCCCGAAGACTGTAATGCGCATGATGGGGCGACTTATGTTATCCTTTTTTATGTAAAGGAACCCATTAACTGAGGAGGATCTACAGCCTAGGAAATACAAGAGGTTCGGATCACGAAACAAGTCAGGATAGACTAGGGTCCGTGAGAAGACAAGACAAGGATCACCCTTGAGTCGGACCGGTTTCGTGGCGGCCGCTTTCCGATTAGGGTTTTGCGGCGAGAGGCTAACTGTTGCTTGTATCAGGCGACTGATACTTGGCATGCACCGACACATTTGTCTGCAATATGCATAACATTCCTTAACGGGTAGCTGTTAGCAGAACTCAATGCGTGCCAGACCCATCCCATTGCAGCTTCTTGGACTCTAACCTGCAAGAGACCCGTAAGGGGGTCGGACAATCAATCAGAATAATCCATCAGAATATGTGAGATCAAGGTCTTCTAGCTTAAATCCTTGTTCCAGATACATGTAGCTAATTCTGAACCAGCCAGTGACACCAACAATAAGATCATATAGAAAACTTCCACCTCGGCACTCGTGCTGATTCCGATCTGGCAAGTTTCATTCAAGCAACTTGCCTTAGTTGCAGTAGTACGTCATCGGGCTTGAGGCCGTTGATCTAATTACGTTTTTTTCTCTCGGCCGTTTCTTCGCGCCACCCTCAGCTGCAAGAACGTCTTTAGCACTGCCGTAGTCCCGCGCCCTATTGGGCAATAACCGAGGCGCGTGTGCAGGAATGCGACATTCCTACGACGCAAAGGGTTGAGAGTGGTGGAATATGAACCAACATCCCAGTCCCTGTCGTTCTCCCCCTTGGCCCGGCATACCAAGTGCCATGCACGCCACAGGCAGCAGGATACCCCAGCAAATGTCATTATGATGGCTGATTTTCGAGATCTAGGCGGAACATTGAGTCGGCAGCAGCATGGATTTCGGAGATCCCCGTCCAATAGAGAGCGGCATCTCTTGTTCATCTACCTTGTTGATGATTCGGCCTCGCTCTCTTCTTTCTCCTTTGCTTTTGGCATGCCCGCCTCATTCACAACTAATCCACTTTCATAATGCAAACTCAATCAGATGAAAGTGACGAGTTGTTACGTAGAAGGCAGCGAAACAGGGTTGCCCAGCAGAAATACAGTACGCCCGGCCATTCATCCTGCCTCCTCAACCTTGGTTTTGTATTCAACCACTAATTCGTCCAAAACAAAAAAGGGAAGAGATTGAAATCGCATATCGAAAACTTGGAGAAGAGAGCGGCCGTGGCGGACCGACTCTGCCAAGACAGTGCGCAGCTACCAGAAGATGCAACACCACCATACGACCATCAATTTCCCAACCAGCAGATGGGCGATCAAAATACCACCATCCCTACGGCTCTCAATGTTGGGCAGAACAGATACAAGACTTCCAGTGGATCAAATGGCTCTGAGAATTCACCAATCCCCCAACACTCCAGGGCTATGAGCGTGAATCGGCGCGACAGGTAGGCAAACACTGCAAATTTGGAGCTATTGTGGAACTTGAATCTTGACGAAATATCGATGACTTAGTATCCTAGACGAGATAGACTTTCTCAAAGGTGGGTGTGCCATCCCATGATTCAAAATTTCACACCCCGTGAGCCATTGTAGTAATGAATTGCAACACAACAGCATTTTCTCTTCCTAACGATGATCTCTGTACTCAAAAGATTCGGGGTTTCAATGACCTCGCTATCTTGGATACGCAGGAAGATAATGGGGAATCACTCGAAGCCCTTCGATTCATAGCAGGAAGGTATGTGTATGCCATTAACGAGATGAAAGTCCAATCAGTTGACATCGTGTTCATACAGTCAAGAACTCGATGAAGTTTTCAACCCGTCCAAATCATCAACTTCGAGATCAAGCCAGCTTGACTTCACCCCAAAGTCTGCATTAGATGTTGCTTCTATGCCTGATCCCCCCAGCCTCGAGTCAAGGGTGGATTTTATCCTGCGGTCAATCCAGAGCATGGGTTTTGAAACGCCAGACTCGTTCATGCTAAGCTACTACACGGGCTCTTTTGATGAACGGTCTGCAGCCAAAGTGGCACAGGATGCCAGCCGAAGCACGGGCCTACCAAGAATGCTGAATGAATTACGCTCAAAAACCGAAGATTGGTCAAGGTGGGAATCAAGGAATTATGCCGACTCAGTTGTCCGGTCAGCTGCGAAGCTGATTGCGGAAGAGTTTGACAGTTTGGGCAGGAAGAGATACGCTTGTGAGAGAGAGTTGCAAAAAGGCCTTGCCAGCGGTGCTACTAGCCAGGCGCAAAACAATTCTTCTTCTTCGACTGATGGAAATGCGTCCGTCAGCCAACTATATTTGGCAGCTGCCGAGCTCAAGAAAACTTTGAGAGACGAGGTTTGTCCTAAGCGATGAGACATCCAGCATCCAAGATTTTATCTAACATGCAATAGTTGCCAAATCTTCATGCCCTCGTCGCAAAACTTTCGTCCGAGGAGTCGGCCGTGGAACAAGCCTCACGGGTACAATTACTGCTAGTTACCATAAAACTTATAGCAACCTCGGCGGATGAACCATTGAAGGAAGCAGCCACTTGGATGTATAGCCGTTCCAGTTGATAATTTCTTTTTATTTTTGCGCAGGGGTGAAGATTATGGGCTGTTTTCATTTCTGATCAATGATTCGTCATAAAGAGCGTAAACGTATATCAAATCTGCCAAACGAATTTCATCTGCGCCAAAATTGCCGTGTTACCGGCTTGATAAATTACCGGTCACACAAGAACTCATGAGTCCCGCTCTTGAAAGCCTATTCCTCGGTAGTTCTTTTCCTATGTGCTCGCAGACTTCCTCTAGGATTGCCGCATTTCCCGGACTTAGCTCCCCAGTGCTACGTAACAAGGGATTCGAAACCTGGGGGATCGTCCCACCGGCCGTTCCCCTCGTAAAGCTTCCTCTCTTCCATGATGCCTCTGGAAGAGGAAAGAATCCTTCGGCATCGTCAACGGAAGCCAACCCACTCTCAATGGACGGGAGCATCCGTCTTGAGGGCCACGTGTGATACTAGCTAGGGTCTAATCCATGCTGAAATCTGCAGCACAGGAATAAATCCAATCCTCAAATGGCTATTATCTCCATTCTGGGAAGGTCTTTGATTGATTATTTTCTAAGAAAATTCGCTATTTTTACCTTCAGCTTTTCAACCTACCCTGCTATATTTTATATATCCTAATTAATATAAGCGAGACTAACAGATCTTTCTATTTACTTACAAAATTATATTTAAAATAAAACTTAAATAAATTAATAAAGCCTTCATACGAATCAATCCTAATCGAGCAAATAGACGGTGGGCGCAATAATGGATACCTGTCCTGCCGTTCTCACCCCTCATCTCGCTCTTCGGCCTATCGAACTCCCGGTAAATACTGTGTACCGCCTGGCCTGGTCGAATGACCGCAACCCCAGGAGGTCGCATGCCACTTAATGTCCCGTTTCTCCCCTCCAATGATCGGTCGCCCCTGATGCAAGATATTTTGAAACTCTCCTCTGCGCCACTTGCACACGGAGACAAACCAGAGAAGCCTTTGGAAACCATACGCATCAGAAGGAATAGGCACGTCATCTCTGATTAACACGTGCAGGGGACCCGTGTAGCTTCCCACTCGCACCGAAGGGGACACTAAGCCTAGACGGAGATAGCTCCAAATATGCGGTTAACATCCCGTGTCACCCGTCGGCTAAACTCAAATTTGTCTCACCGCAATAATAGACTGTAACATCCGGCGGCAGCGTCGGGCTAAATGAACTATTATGATGCATTCTCCGGAGCATCTGATGTCCTGCAGGTAGGCATTGCGAACACATATTGTACGGAAACTTTCGGTCATTTCCACTATACGAGGCCTTGGCAAATTAAAAGAATGTAGTCATCCATCCACGGTGCTCGTAAAGTGCATCAGCTGTACGTGCCCGCACGATGTGCGGTAAATCCCCATACTCGTTGCTAGATTTTGAATGAAACACATTTCGTTGAGCTAAACACACTAGAAATTGTATTAGATTCATGCCGCATTTAAAAATACGCGTCATTCTTGCAGTATATACAAGCTTCTAGGCATGCTTCAGTCTTGGCTGAAGCAGATCCAACGGCTATAGGGTAGGTTAGTGATATCGCGGTCCCGTGACGTCGGCACGTAATGAAAACGGAGCGGCAACGTGAGACAACGCTATCCAGAAAAGTAAAAAGCGATCTGACGACAGCGCCCTGCAAGACCGAATATTTGCATAAATATTTACCAAACGAGGCTTTGACCCAACTGGGTTTTGAATGACCTTGGTACGGGTCAGCGTCGGGGGCGCCTCCAACTTATTTGGACTAGCAGTTCTACTCATTTAATTACTTTATGGTTTAATTCATCAAAAGTATCATCCTTGACATTGATTCTTCTACAGCAGTCCTGGTGCAACGGACAGAAGGTCGAATTAAGCCTTTGCTGCAATTTGGTATTAAGGAAAAAACTCCCGTGCGGCCACCTGCAAACGATTGCGGATAATTGATGTAGTCCTGCTCGCTAGAAAGACTATGAACGCCTGCGACCCTCAGGCGGACAATCTCTTTGGTCCCCAGGTCGTCTCGTGCCGGGATGGACTTGATTTCACTCTTCTGTTTGAACAGTGTGTCCTGTCGACTGTGCCATCGGCACTTATTTCGGTAGCTGCGACAGGTCTTATTTGCCATTTACTGGGACAAGATGACAAGACTATACCTGTGACGAATTGGTCGTTCCGGCTTGCCAAACAGGTAGCATTTGACTTCAAAGCCAGTCCGCGTGATTCAGTATTCTAATTCATTTAATGCGAACCACAGATCCCAGGCTTGGCTTTTGTAGCTACTCAAGTTGCGCTCGTCGTTTTATGGTCTTCCCCCGCGAATCATCCGACCAGGTTCTCAATACCCTCAGCTGCCCTCTCCCTATCTGCCGGACTCTTACTATCGGTCTTGTCCTTCTTTGAGCACAGCAGATCTGTCCGGCCTTCGAATCTTCTCAACCTCTACTTGGCCTTTTCCATTCTTCTTGACGTCGCTCAATGCCGCACGCTTTGGTTGAGAGACGGCAATGTGTCCGTTGCTGCTGTTTTCACCGTTGGGGTCGTTCTGAAGCTCGCATTCCTCGGAGTGGAGATGATAGAAAAGCGCAGCATTCTTAAAGCGCCCTACTCTCTTTATCCACCAGAGGCCATCGCAGGACTCCTTAATAGGAGCGTCTTTTGGTGGATTAATTCTCTGCTCATCAGTGGATCGTCCTCTACGCTAAGGCTGGATGATTTATTCGTCCTAGACTCCAAGCTGAGATCGGAAAACATTCAGCCGGGTTTCCAACACCAATGGGAATCGAAGAGTAAGGGAAAGCCCTCACCGAACATCCTCCTACTTGCATCGCTGAGATACTTTTGGCAAAAGATTACTATAATCGTTCTGTTTCGTCTTGCGCTCATTGGGTTTAAATTCAGTCAGCCTCTTCTTGTGAATCGAGCTGTCAGGTTATTGCAAGAACCAGAGTCGCTGGAGAAGACGAACACGGGGCGAGCGTTGATCGGCGCGACATCGCTCATCTACATTGGCATTGCGTTGACGACGGGAGCGTTTCGCCACAACATCTATCGCCTAATCACCATGGTTCGTAGCGCAATTGTCGGCGTTGTCTATCGCACAACCCTTGGCATCGATGCGGACGCAGCCAATGACTCGGCTGCGCTCACACTGATGAGCACAGACGTAGAGAATATAGCTTCAGGCTTCGAGGTATTTGATAGCCTGTGGGCGGATCCCATCGAGATTGTCATTGCCGTCTATTTGCTGTACAATGAGATTGGGCTTGCCTTCATTGCGCCAATTGTAACGTCATTGGGTAGGTAAGCTCCATCCTATAGTTGTTTGAAGTTCACTTGCTCACTATGAGTGCTAGTCTTCGTGTTGGTCCCGATTGCCTTGGGCCAAGTTTCCGCCTCTGCGCAAAAGGAGTGGCTGGATGCAATCGAGGGGCGTGTTGCGGCGATTGCTTCCATCTTGTCCAACATGAAGGGCGTCAAAATGATGGGGCTCTCGGATCTGGCCTTCGATAGGCTTCAATTGCTGCGGGTTGCTGAGCTTCGCGTGGCGGGAAAATTCCGCAAGATGCTGGCGCTGTCTATCGTGATTGGGTCCATGTCTCACGTGGCTATTCCTGTCATCGCCCTGATCGCTCATGTGATTATCATACGTGCCCAAGGGGTGATGGACCTCAGCGCGGCCAAGGCATTTACGACGCTGTCACTGGTGTCGCTTCTGGCCTATCCCATCCAGAACATGGCAAAGGCAATCCCCAAGCTTGCTGCCGCGGCTGGATGCTTCCAAAGAATCCAGAAATACATCACCAGTACCCAGGACAAGGCTGAGGACCAGCCGAACGACCAACTTGAACCGAGTACGGATTCCAAGGCCATGCCAACGACCGACATTGATTGCGAAAAGGGGATTATACTATGCGCCAGAAATGCCAGTTTCGTAACCAGGTCTACAAAAATTCCTGTTCTTCTCAATGTTAATTTATCCATTGTCAAGGGAACTTGGACCATCGTGACTGGGCCGGTTGGCTGTGGGAAAAGCTTACTTCTCCTTGCCCTTCTAGATGAGCTCCATCTTGCTAAAGGTTCTATTCACCGTCACGGATTGCTTGATAGTGGCATTGGCTACTGTGCTCAGGACCCCTGGCTGCCGAATCTCACTATACGAGACGTGATATCCTCAAACAATCTCGGAGAGATCGATGAAGCTTGGTATGAGGCTGTGACTGAGGCGTGTGGGCTTAGATCTGACTTTGAACAACTTCTCAAAGGCGACTCTACATCTGTTGGATCCAACGGTGTCAGTTTGAGTGGTGGCCAGAAGCAAAGGGTGAGCCTTGCGCGAGCTGTGTACTCTCGAAAACCACTTCTCATCCTCGATGACGTGTTGAGTGGCTTGGACGCAACAACAGAAGAAAAGCTGGTTCTAGGCGTTTTTGGGAACAACGGGTTGCTCCGTAGAAATGGCACTTCTGTGATTCTTGCCACCCATTCAAGTAAGTAGTCGACGTTGCAAGATCTCGAGGGAACGAATACTAATATGAAAGTGTAGTTCGGCACGTCCCGCGAGCTGACCATGTCATTTTCATGGAGAATGGAGGAAAGATTGTAGAACAAGGTCCTCCGGCTCAATGCGCACACCGCCTGATAGACATTGCCAACGAAGACCGGGCTGCCTCAAAGGAAGCTGGGGAGGTCACCAAGAACCAAGTCGAGCCTTTGCAACAAACCCATCAAGAGAGCGATGAGCTACAAGTGAATCAAGCTGACGACCAAGACATGAATCGCCAAGTAGGTGATTTCCGCCTTTATACATACTATTTCAAGTCTCTTGGATGGCTTAACACCATTTGTATGGCCTCGAGTGTCATGACATTTGCCGTGTTTCAAAAGTTCCCTACGCTTTGGGTTCAGTGGTGGACTGAAGCAGAAGCCAAGGAGCCGGGGAAAAGCACTGGGATGTATGCGGGAATCTACGGGGCATTTTGCGGAATCTGCCTGGCATCCTTTTCGATTTGCATCCTCATGTTGTTTCATTATGGGATCCCACGCTCATCTAACGGTTTGCATGCGACATTGCTCAAAGCCACAATGAATGCACCTTACTGGTTTCTGGTATCAACAGACATCGGTGATATCGTCAACAGATTCAGTCAGGATATGTCTTTAGTATGCATGCAGCTGCCAGCAGCTTTCTTGGATACGTTATTTAACGCGGGAGTTTGCATTGTGGGGGCTGTGCTGATCACAATGGCCTCTAAATGGGCACTCACCGTGTACCCTGTCCTGATGGTCATTCTTTATCTGCTTCAGAGGTTCTATCTCCGCACATCCCGCCAGATGCGCCTGCTAGATCTTGAAGCAAAGGCCCCCATGTACTCTTACGTTCTCGAAACACTTCGTGGCATCGTCACGATCAAGGCTTTTGGTTGGCAGAGTTTTGCTATATCCCAGAATGCTGCACTGCTGGACGGTTCACAAAGGCCATTCTACCTCATGTATAGTATCCAAAGATGGTTGAACCTTGTCCTGGACCTCCTTGTCGCTGGCTTGGCAACCTTAATCATGACTCTCGCAACGCACTTGGAAGACTCCTCCGCCGGAGCGCTTGGTGTTTCGTTGCTGAACATTTTGACTTTTAGCCAAGATTTGACATATCTGATCCGGACTTGGACCGATTTAGAGACTTCATTGGGTGCTATAGCAAGGGTAAGGAGTTTCGAGGCCGAGACGCCTGACGAGCGTTCCTCACAGCAGCCTCTGGAACCTCCCAGTGAATGGCCGTCATATGGAGGGATTGAATTTAGGAGCTTGTCAGCCAGCTACAAGTGAGTGTCATCAGAGCTAGCTCAGTGAAGTCTTGGGGTTCTGACGCACGACAGAGCGGGCGGTAATCGAGTGTTGAACGATGTATCGGTCAAGATTCCACCTGGGAGCAAAGTTGGCATCTGTGGCCGTACTGGGAGGTTCGTGATTTTCTCCCTCTTGCTTGAATCTATTTGCTAAAGTGAATCTAGCGGAAAGAGTACGATGCTACTCACACTGCTGCGGCTGGCTGAGATTGAGGATGGCGATATTTTGATAGATGGCGTATCCATCACAAGCTGCTCTCGGGATACGCTCCGCCAACGTGTAATCACGGTGCCCCAGGATCCGCTTCTCTTACCAGGAACCATCCGATTCAATGCAGACCCGTTGGCTAGACAGCAAGATGACGATATACTTTCTGCGCTAGATGACTTGGGCTTACTGGACCTCGTGCGCTCTACCCCAGGTGGGCTGGACGCGCCGATGGATACTTTGCCACTCTCAAGGGGCCAGCAACAGTTATTTTGTCTAGGACGTGCACTTCTCGGCGGTTCTAGAATCGTGGTTCTAGACGAGATGTCTTCGAGCGTTGATTCGGTCACGGAGGCGAAAATGATGCAACTTGTCCATGACAAGGCCATGGAGAAAACAGTCGTAGCTGTTGCTCATCATCTCCAAACATTACGCCATTTCGATTCAATTCTGGTATTAGAGAAAGGCTATATCGTCGAGAATGGCGCACCGAATGATCTTTTGTCGCGAAAAGGAGTCTTTTACGAACTATGGAATCGTCAGTTGTAGAGGAGGCTTTAAATACTACATAGTTACGCACAAATTACTCTCTGGCGTATTGTATCTACCTACCCAAAGACAATCACCCTCTGGTTACCCGTTTAAACTCAAGAATCCGCAAACCCTATTGTTGGACATGGTCTTTGCATTTAGGCGATTTTAGATTCAAATAACAAATGTTGGGGTTGGGCCTGCGATTTTTGGTTGCAACATGAAACAAATGGCATACTACGTGTTACTGTGCCCGCCGTTTTCTGATATGACTAAACTGTCGTATTGATTGTGACTAGTTACAAGTGCCACGGTGACGTGAAATGTTACGTGTTGATGTTACGTTGGCTCGTCAATCCACTCACACTGCAACAGATACTGACGGTTGCTTGAGAGGCATGATTCCCTGTTCGTCAATGACCTCCTCCGCACCTATTTGTCCAGAATCTTGCAAGAACCAATCCACAGTTTTCTCAAGTCCGTCCCGCAATGCCACACTCGGCTGCCAACCAAGGACCTCTTTGGCCAAGGTGATGTCCGGCTTCCTTCGATACGGGTCATCTGTCCTTGCGGGGAGGAACTGAATAGGGACTTTCCTGGTGCTGCCCATTTTTTCCGCCACAAGGGCTGTAATCATTCTCGCAAGGTCCTCTACTGTCGTCTCAAGATTGGTACCAATATTGACTGGTCGTGTGTATCCACTTTGCATGAGAGACATGAGTCCATCAACGCAATCCGTGACGTACTGGAAACATCGCCCGGCGCTACCATCTCCATATATCGTGATGGGGCGCCCTTCCATGGCTGCCGCAATGAAATTCGGAACGGCTCTCCCGTCCCTTAACTGCATCGACGGTCCGTATGCATTGAAAATCCTGGCAATCCGCACCTCAAGGTTGTGCTTTTGCTGGTACCCATATGCTAGAGCTTCCGTGATACGCTTGCCCTCATCATAACAGGCTCGAGGACCGAAAGAGTTGGTGTTACCCCAATACTCTTCGGATTGCGGAATCACTCGCGGGTCGCCGTAGATTTCTTGCCGCAGCCATCAGTAAGCGTACTTGTCAGGAATGCGTACAATTGAAGGTGAAGCCCTACCTGATGTGCTTGCAATCAAAACTCTTGCGTTGCAGCTAACGGCGAGATCAAGGGAGTTCTGGGTGCCACGAAAGCATGTCTCTAAAATCTCAATGGGGCTTTCTCCAAAATGGTCGGGGCTCGCGGGACAAGCGAGGTGATAAATCTGCTTTGGTGTTTCGCGAATGGGATACTTGTTCCTCACATCCCAACTCGAGTCGGATTAGTCAACTTAACAAGTGGTATGGTCATATCTGATTTATCCCTTACTTTACGAATCTATAGTTTGGATGGTCCTTGAATTTGTTGACATTGGCTATTGAGCCTGTCCAAAGCGAGTCGATAACAAGAACCTTTTGGCCCTCCGCGAGCAGACGCCCAACGAGGCACGAGCCGATGAATCCAGCCCCCTGGTACTGTTAATTACTGCAGCTTGTTTGGAATGTAGAGGCCAAGGCGATAGAAACCTACTCCAGTCACAATGATAGTCATATTCAGTCAATCTCTTCGTGAGAACCATTTAGAGCAGCTATAAGCGAAAATTAGCACTCTTTGGTCAGCATGTGCGTATGAGTCTTAAATAAGTAACTACAGCCGACTACCGCGAGACCATTTCGGTAATCCTACTAAGCGTGATCATACGTCAATTGAGGATGCGTGGCAATCATGGCTGACCATTGAGGATAGTAGTCATGTCCATTATGTCATAGGTCTTCCAGAGACAGCGACGCGTGCTATGAGATAACTTGAGCCGTTTTGAGTTCTATTACCAAGCGTGGCGAAACAGTTCCGGACTTGACATTTTATTCATTGTCAACAAACTTGGTTAGCAATGGCAAGCAACCTTTACGGCATTTATATGCCATCAGCTAAAAATCCATTGGTGTTGGCATTCTCAAAACTCGTCAACAGTTGATATTAATGGGCATGTCATTTGACTCGAATGCGATGCGTTGTCCAACTTTTTCCCTCGCTGTCATTTGACCAATGCAGTGTTCGTACTGTGATTATTCCAATATCAGAGACTTTACGTGGATTGCAAACGAACGTCATTCTGGCCTTTGTTGGACGTCGGAACCAAATTACAACTGTGTGCGCTGAGCAGGAAAAGCATTCGTTCATGTCTCTAAATGGGGTTTGTAACCGAGCTTTATTTGACGGGACAATCATCACTGCATTATAAAATTAATCAGCGCAGTTCTTCAGCCAATATCTGTAGTTCATGATGAAGAAGCACGTCACAAGTCTGTTCTCTAGTGGCACACAGAGCATGTTGATGGAGCCCTAATTACTATTGTTTTTGAGTGCAACATTTAGTCTATTGCTTGCTTTATATGGAAACCCTTGTTAATTTGTACAGTAAATCAATATAGAGGTGAAATAGGAATCATCACGCTCATGATAAGCAAGGCAGTATTCCATTATGACTGGGCGTGAAACCAAAAAAAAAACCGCGACCTTGTTTATAGATTTCTACAAGGGTATTTTTTTTTTCTAATAACATTTCACGTATTCTACTTTCAGATTTCGGGGAATGAATAATGAGAGGCCATCAGATGCTTGTAGTTTTGCTTGTTTGTAAGAACTGCAACCTACCTAAGTTACATAAAAGCAAGCTAATCATCGAATGTTTCCAAGACGCCAGCTACCAAAACCTTCTCCCTAACTGGAGGGAACTTCAGGCCCACAACTGTGCGGTCCTGGGTGTAGTTTGAACTTATGTGTCTCAAATATGAGCCAAAAGTATGGGGCATTGCATCATACTCGTGATACTCTGGTTTGTCCCAGAGATCAGCTAGGGTAGGAACGTCATGGTCCCTCCAGTGATACTGTTTCAGCATGGCCGCATTTGATAACAAGTGGGCAAAGAATTTCTTTGCTTCTTGAAATTCTTTCGAGTTCCGGTCCTGATCATACCGGGTACGAAAGAGCTGCAGTTGTCTCGGTCCAGAATCATTGGTTAACATGGCGCCAGCTGCAAACTCTCTATAGTCGATCAAGAGAACCCGGTTTTTACAGTAACTTGGGCCACTGAATCCATCATGAGGATCTTCAAGGAGCCGAAGACGCTCATATGCCAGGTATCCCTGGAAGTAGTCCAACTTGTCCCCATTGGAGCCTTGAAAGACATGTGTAATATTGCCGTCTCGGACCAAGTGGTGGAACAAAGGATGAGCATGGATCCCCTTGTTATTCATCCTCCCAGACCAAGCTTCAAGTAATATCATCATCCACCTCTTGATGAAGCCGTTGCCCTTGCGACCAGCGATAAAGAAATTCTCCGCAACACCTGACTTCATTGTCGGGTCTGCAGAGGCAACGGCAACTTGAAATTTACTCTTGGGGTCTTTCAACGCGCCCCAGCAGACTTGGTCCAGGTGCATCAAAAGCATAATGCCGACATCCATCCATACCCCTCCGTGCTGGTAGACGCATGGTAGGCGAATGGTATCTGATGTATTTGCACCTGCATACCGCCCCGTTGTTCGTCCGGTATTGAGATGCCTCGGCAGATTCTCCCCATCGAGGAAATTGAAAATGTTGGCTGGCGACTCATGAACTAGGTCAAGAACTCGTACGACCCAACCTGGGCCAAGATTCCGAGCCCAACCTAAGACATTGCGTTTTTGCCAAGGTGGCATGGCATTGTAGCCCTTGTCCCAGAATGCCCATACGTTCTCTTCCGCGGTGACAGGAGGGGGGTTAAGGATGGAATGGATAATATCTTCATCGCTCCGGTTGTCGTTGTGCGACAGCGGGCGAATCTTGAGATCGAGTAGAACAGCGAGGTCTTTTTGCGGGAAAGCCATTCTGGTTCAGAGGCTGGAGTCTTGATACTGAGTGTACTGGCCGCAAGTGTCCATCTTCGTTTCATGGGTGAAGGAGAAAGTGGTGTGTGCCCAAGAATTAGAGATGTCCACCTTACCCCGTTTGGATTTCATGCTTCGTCCGACGTGTAGGTAGCACCTCTCATGTGGGCTCATGGAGAATACATCACAAGTTGCATCATCGACCTGCTGAAACCCCTACAAGAGCTTGTTTAGCATAAAACGCCACGCGCAAAAAATTCGTAATAGATGAAGCTCTAAATTGTTGCAAAAGCCAGTGCGCGGAATTTCATGATGATATTTTGCATCGTCTGTAATTAGTCGTCTCATCTTTGAATTAGTCATAAGGTGCTTATGTGATGTTATAGTAGACACTATTATGTGATTATCAGCGTTATGAGCAGGGATACCTACAAGTACATTTTGGCAGTCCTCTTGATAGGCAGCACGATATACAGTTTACTAGAAGCACCCAAATTTTCCATCTATCTATATTTTCTTAAGGGTGATTTCTAGCTTATTTTAAATTGCGCACTTTAGATATGAAACTATAAAGGGAGTAGTTGGAAAAGACAGCTTCAGGCTAACATACTGCAATGCGGATGAAAGCCTCCTGTAGATGGAAATCTTCACGCCGAGGGAAACTGTATAGACTCACTTTAGCATAATACACGCATCGCTTAGTGTTAGTGAAAGACACGGATTTGACTTTATATCTTAAGTAAGACCTTCTCTCTCATAGATGTAAGATGTACAGGGTTTGACCTTCATGGGAAACTAAACCAGATCAATGCATAATTCTCGTGCCACCGTATACTAGGTACTAAATCCTCATTGTGTCTAAGATATTATCTCAGGTGGTTACGGCATCACTTATTGCCGTCCGCCCAGCCAGCGGTTCCATATGCTTGCAACTCCTTATCAGTCCACTCCCACAAAGCTGTCGATAGAGCATCGTCTCGAGCGAGCTTGCTTTCTTTTCCAGCTTTCCCAATCGGTTCATAGTAACATCCGCTCTTTACATCCTTGCTGAAGCTACACCAGAGCTGTGTCTTGGCGCCCTCTTCGTTGGACACACCTGTCAAAGCAACAACGGGTTTAACAATGGCGTTTGCAATCAGCCAGTTTACATTTTTGTCTCCGTTCCATACGCCGGATTTCACTGTTCCCGGATGCAAAGATGTCGCAGTGATCTGTGGATAGCGCTTTGCAAACTCGTACGCAAATAGTGCCTTAGCGAGCATCGACTGTGCATAGAGCTCAGCCCCTCCGTGGTTTTCCATGTCGGTTTTGAGCTCTCCAGAAATCATGCCTTTGTTTGGAGCAAAGAGCTTATGGCCAATGGAAACAATCCTAACATCAGGACCAGGAATACTGGCGGTTTTGAGCAGCGTTTGGAGCAGTAGTTGAGTAAGAAGCACATGGCCCATATAATTTGTGCCGAATTGAAGCTCATAGCCCTCGAGAGTGGTACCGGCCGGGACCATACCAATACCTCCATTGAGGTGTAGAAGGTCAAGTCGATCCGTTTCCCCGACGACACGGGCTGCGGCAGCTTGTACAGATGCAAACGATGCAAGATCTAGGTCCAAGACCTGAATGTTTGCTTCTGCAGTAGCTGCCGATGTTGCCTTGATGCGAGACACGGCTCCTTCACCCCTGGGGCGCGAGCGAGCTGCAAGATAGATCATTTTTGGATTGTGCTTGGCGAGAGCTGTGACTGTTTTTGCCATTGAGATCTGGGATGTCGGTTTCAGGGTTGAAAATTTGTGAGCCAGCCCAGCAATTATGAGAGTGTTTGGCCATGAGTAGAAGTATAACGATATTCTTTTATGCAAGGTATGGAGATATCACTGAGACTAAGAACTTGCCCGTAGCCATATTGGCTGGAGCAATAGGCTCCTTTTATAGATATTCCAGGCTCCAGTAAAGGTGGCACAGCACGCAGATCCATAGGCCTCTCCCAAAAGCCATATTCGGTTCAACGTAGGGCGGATTGTCGATGGTAAGATGGGAAAACGTGTTTGTACAGTTGCTCAGGGATATCATGACCATCGCCAAAGTCCCAAAGCCATGACGAAGTGGGCCCGTCCATGATAACCATCACGACTTTACCAAAAGAGGCAAACAGTCGGCTCCTTCGCGCCTAAAATCAGGCAAACGTTATGCCATCCTGCAGCAAAACGCCAATCAGAGCTTTACTTATTCGGCCCCTGTCACGGATCCTACATTGTTTTGCGGCTAACCCTTCTCCTCAACTCAGTGAGCAGCAAAACATGTGACTGGAAACCACTGTGTGGACTGTGAACGTCATCTAACGCTCTGACAATCGCATCACAACAGCTGCATAATGGCACGGGCGCATCAGCATTTTGAGTTCATAAACGTGTCACCAAGGGCTCCTGGAAAGCCACAGACAGCTGAACGGAGAAAGATTCGGAGCCACTGCATGCGCGGCAGGAATCGACGAAATCCTTCAGCATGGCTGCCCGAGAATGACATGTTTCCAGACCACCCCGTTGTAGAACCAAATGCGTCGTTACCATCTTCTGAGCAGGAGGGTAGTCAATTCCCTACCGTAACACGTGTGCAGTCGCCGTTACTTTCCCTCCCCTGCTTGGTCGATTTTGCTGTCGAAGTTGATAACGAGTCCTTGAGACTGCTCGCTACTGGTAAAATTCTCCTAGCCGGCCTTGTGGAAGTGAAAAGCCGAAGGCTGAATGCATGCAGTTTTCCCTGGCGCTATGAGCGCCTTTTCCCTCGCTAGGTTTCGCTTACCGTCTCACTTCAAATCATCCCAATGGAGTGATTGGCTATTGTCAGATAGAGCCTACGTGTATTTCATTCTTGCCGTATGCGCAGTTATTCAAGAATTCCTTCTGGCAACTCAGCGATCAAAGCATACAATGCTTTGCATTAGAACGGCCATCTCTCAGCTCAACAAAACACTCTCGATCCACAATACCTCGCTATCAAACGCCAACATCGCCAACGTCATTGCTCTGACCCTTGCGGCTTTAGTGGCAAATGACCATCTCTCTATGTCTATCCATGGAAATGGATTGCGGCGAATGGTATATCTGCGGGGAGGTTTCGAAAGCTTTCGCGGTAATCCGCAGATACTAGTTGTGCTCTCTCGGTAAGATATGTATCTGAAATTGATGGGTTGAGCTTATATTACTTAGAATTGATCTCTGCGTGACACTCAGTTCTGGACAGGGGCCCTATTTTCCTCGTTCTGACCCGGTTGGCCTTCTTCACGACCTGATCAAGCCCCATCCGCAGGCATGTCTGTCACTTTATTCACGGCAACCAGTTATCCATATTTTGGACGCACGACTGGTTCCTATTTTTCTAGACTTACAGTACTTGGCATGGCGCATCAATACGGCGACCAGAGCCCGCTCTGAAGGGATACAGGAGGACGAGGTCCATGCTGGCATCTGTGTGGCGCAGTATAGACTCTGGCAACTGCAGGGAACGATGTCTGATATCCTCGGGGAATGTCTGCGTGTTGCAATGCTCAGCTTTCTCACTACCATGTTTAGCCTCATGAACAAACGCATTGGATACGACCATGCGACGAATCAGTTAAGAGTTCTGTGCTGCGCCATCGAGGTATCAACACAACAGCTCCACCCGGTCATGTTGTGAGTACTGATGGTTGGTACGCTCGCCTTCCTTGACCCGGATGAAGAATGGCTTCGCGAGAAGTGGCGATCGGGGGTGCTTCCGCTTATACAAGAATTACAATGGATGGAAGTGCGAGAATATCTAAAAGACTTTATGTGGATAGACTCTTGCAATGATACTAAGGGCTAAATTCTCTTTGGGAAACTAGGACAATTGATAAAAGCCAAGCAGTATAACGGATAGAGCGTATTTCTCACAATTGAACGAGTAGAGAACTGGCCTTAACAAGTTGAAGCTTCAAAGAATCATTTGAGCACTTAAACCTAATGATATTCTCGAACTTGGCCAGCATTCTATATATTTATCTTCGATGACTTGAGGTGAAGTTGGGATCTGTTAGAAACACGCTCATTGGACTTAACTGCTTTTAGTTTCTGAGCATTAGAAACCATAGTAAGAGGGTGTACAGCGTTATAAAGAGGCGTGAAGCAAATAGAGAATATTCAAACTTAAATAATTAAAGAAGAAAAAATAATAAAAAAATACTAAAGGAATAAATTTTAAAATCTTAATTTAAAATACATTTAACTAAATTAAAATTTTATTTTTATTTTTATTTTCCCCTAAGCATAAGCTAAGATTTCTTATATAATTTCGTCACAGATGAATGAATTAACAAGTATTATACTTTAAGTAAATTTTTTCTATCTAGACCATACTAAGCGAAGGCTTTTGTGATAGAAGCAAGCACCTTCTGAGTCGCTGCGAACCTATCGCCCTGCCTGAACGGGTCATCATGAAAGTTATTGTCTTTTGGCTTATCAAAATCTAGGTCCGACTTAAGGTAACCATGCTTCTTGGCCTCAAGAATTTCGGCTGTGCTATATGTGACATTTGGGTCTAGCGGCTTATCCTTGCCTAGTCTCTTGAGTATAGGAGAGTCATGGAACAGAGCCAGAGCGAAGTCGTCGTCCGGGCGGGAGAAGCAATAAATGCCTACTCGCAGATAGTCAACTTGGTCCTTGGGAGGGGTGACGACCCTATGGATTGTCGCTAGAAAGAGCCCGCCCGTGAGTAGCTCTAGTGCTTGACCAAAGTTGACGATGAGGGTGTAGGGCTTATACTATCGTGGCGTCAGAAACAAAGACTAGTCACCAGATCTGCCGTGACTCATGATACACACCTCAACCCACTTGAAGACGCCAGACTTGTGTAGGATCTGTAGAGCAGAGACTGGCGGCGAGAAGAGGATGGAAAAGGCACCCCAGTCCGCGTGTGCCGGCATGAAGAGACCACGCGCTTTTGCCGTAGCTTCTGGCGTTAAAGGTGCGTAGCTCATCTGAAAACTATGAGCTTCTTTCTTCCAAGGTTTGCTTCACATACGTAACGGCAACACTCGGAGCTCGACTGTCCAGGCGCATGCGTAGCAATGAGTTCATCAGCAGGCATCTCGAGACACATAGCTAGCAGGATGAATAGCTTCTTCTGGGTATCATCGCGGACGTGAAGCATGACCTTTCGGATTTCATCAAGGTACGGAACTAGGTGAGGAGGGTGCTTTCTGTCTGCTTTGCTGTCTTGATAGAGCATATTGTAAAAGTCGATCTTGAGACTGTGAGTGCCTGACTAACGTATTGCAGGGGTGGAGACTGACTCACTTCTTCGTGAAAACTGAGTCCTCCAGCCGTCTTGAAACCCACGTAGATGCCCTGTTTGTCCCCCTCCGGCGAGACTAGATGATGTCAGAAGTATACTTGTTGCGACTGACGAGAAATTTACTTCAAAAGGAACATTTGCTTTGGGATCCATGGTCATTGTGGCGTTGCAGAAGTCCATCTGCTGGTCCCACGTCTCTTTCGAGATGACATGGCCAGAGACAGTGACGAATCCCTCCTGCGTGAAAGCCTCGTAGAACTGCCGCGCGAGCTTCTTCCTTAGATCTCGCCTCTTCTATTATTATTACTTTACTTTATACTTGAACTCTCTTATAGTAAGCAAGATGACTATACTTAAAGATATCCTAGAGGGTATAATTTAGATAGACCAGGGTGTAGATTAGAGTGTGCTGAGTAGTAGCTAAAATAAGCTAAAGGGGGGGCAGTAAAGCCCTTGCTCATCATATTGCTTCCGGCCGTCCACCGTCCGAAATTACGTCCCGGACGGTCGACGGTGATAGATGAAAGAGGAAACCCCCGGACGACTCGGAGATTAGCAGCTCACCTTTCTACGTGTAGTTTCCACTACTAACACAGGACGGAGCATTTAATGCCGTCAAATCGGAAGACCTCAAACTGTAATAGGGGATCCCAAAGCCAGATAGAGATCGGTAGGGTCTAAGTCTAATCCAGCGATTTTCACTACGCCAGCGACACACAACCTCAATTACACGAGTTCTATTTTTAAATTAAACCGCGATAATAGAACTAATGGTCTAATAATAGCCCTCCTTAATTGTATTATTCTAAGTATAAAGAGCCATGAATTTCTTCTAGATCGAAGGAGAATTTAACGACAACAATTACATCGTTGAACATTCTATCTTCATCTTTTCAAAGAACACACTGGCAAGAGCCTATTTATATACACTACCTTGATCACCCTCTAAAAATGCACTTCTCAACTTTTCTTCTCACTTCTGCAGCTGCTCTTGCAACCGCCTCTTATGAAGAGTCGAGCAATGTCGCTCTCCGAGAGATCATTGGGATCAAAGAGCGGGATGGATTGCTGGCTGGTATCGACAGCCTCGGCGAGAGGGGATTCGACTTGGACATGAGGAGCGACAAGGGCAGCGGCCACAGCCACGGCAGTGGCCACGGCGGCAGTAAAGGCCGTAAACACAAGAGAAGTGATGACAAGGGCGGCGGCCACAGCCACGGCAGTGGTCACGGCGGCAGCAAGGTTCGCAAGCACAAGAGAAGTGATGACAAGGGCGGCGGCCACAGCCACGGCAGTGGTCACGGCGGCAGCAAGGTTCGCAAGCACAAGAGAAGTGATGACAAGGGCGGCGGCCACAGCCATGGCAGTGGCCACGGCGGCAGTAAAGGCCGCAAACACAAGAGAAGTGACGACAAGGGCAGCGGCCACAGCCATGGAAGTGGCCACGGCAGCAGCAAGGGCCGCAAGTAAAGGGAGAAGATTGGAAAACAGTGATCGGCTGCCCGCACGTCAGTGCTAGAGCTCTGGCCGAGGGGCTGCTGGGTTGTTGGAAAGGTCTCGTGACCTGAAGAAGCGGTGAAAAGTTTCGAGCTTGGCGTGATAGAGAACATTGGTGTGAAGCTGCGTGATTTAGAACTCCTGCCAGTAAGATAAAAGAGTATATGTTAAATGGAGATTTGATGAGCAGCTTGTTCTAATATAAGATCAAGTTTGAGGTACGAAATAATATCCCTTTCGGGCCATGCTGCCACGGATTTGGTCATCATAGCAAGATTACCAGAAAATCCAATATAATTATATCTTATGCGACTCGCGTCATTTTGTTTGTGGCCGTCGTGAAACTAAAACTCAAGGTAATGTCAGTATCGTTGAACTAGCCAAAACCACCTCAGACGCGAACGCCTTTTATTGACCCCATAAGATTATTCTAAGCACGAATACTTCCCTCCCGATGGGTCGCTGGATATTTTGAAATTGAAATATACACTGACTAAATCCGATTTTTCGAATACACCTCAGCATATAGCTGAGATAACATTGCTAGAGTATTGATATTATATTGACATATTCATTGTGTTGAGATGTCGGGTCCAGCATCTTCTATTGTTAATTAACTTTATACTCGAACTCTCTTCCGTATTATATTGAAATAAACTCTAAAGGATCTTAGGTCGTTTTAGAGATTTTGTGCTATAACATGCTATAGCTTCAATATAACCACAGTGAGGCATAGAATCTAAGAGGTGCAAAAATGAGCAGAAGTCCCTTGTAATTAGCCCTAGAGCCAAGCCATTCTCTGTAAATAACCTTGACCACTTCAACATCTACCGTAGAAAATGGGGCTGCCCGTAAGTCTATCTGGAGCTGAGGGCTATTCAGCTGAGAGCTCTCTTTAAAGTCATATACGTCGCCAGCGGTAAAGGCTTTAGCCGCCCCACTTTGGAGACGTGATACATGCACACGGTGTGAATTAATTCGCGAAAGACGAAGGAACATGTTATTCCGTCTGAGAATACAGACCAATACGTGACCAGAAGAAGCAAGGGGAGCTCTAGACTTGGCGTCTTCCTCTGGGCCGCTACTTGGTCCTCTTGTAGTACGCAATCCTGTAAATGAATATAAATTCCGTCTTGTTCAATTTCGCCACGCGTTCGACTCTAGAAGCTTCCAGTGGTCAAACACGTAGCACTCTCGACAGTCGGTATCATCTGATTTCTTAAGGTAGTCCAAAAAGCCCGATGGCGCAAATAGTCGCGACTGCCCCCACCAGCTCGATGAGACGTACGCAGGGCTTTGACTCGTGCGAGATGTTTCAGGACAAGACCTCAATCTCGCTTTTGGGACTCCCTGGGGCAGGCAAGTCAACTCTAGGGGTGGTTGCTTCTACCACGTTAAAAATGAGACTGGTCGAGACGGACAGGTGCTTCCGAACCAGAATACGTTGTTCATTTCGGTAGACAGTCGTATCTTAACAAATCGTTGGAAATCTTACGACACATTCTAAAAAAGCATTCGAGAAATTGTGTCATTGCTGTATCTGCGAAAATGTCCGATATCCCGGCGTGCCGCACGGAGCTTCAAGAGTGAGTTTGCTGCAAGCCACCCACTTGTTCACATTATAAGGAAAGCCGAGTATATTGTCGAGCATCTCAACAACCATATGAGTCGCGACGATATATTGCTCCTGTACCTGCGGTGTATACCACAATATCGCGCTCTTTGCAATTTCGAATTCTAGAATGGGGGTGGGGGTGAACTAGCTGGACTGCCATCGCATGATACTAACCCCATGCCCTCGTTTTTATCGCTGAAGCACACGTAGGGGGACTTTTTAGGGTTCATATCCCGTATATGGGGATCCTCTCGTCTTCATACGTTTATGCGTGCCCCGGAGGATACGGAATTCTCGAGGATATTGCTCCTACCATTTCTACAAACGACAATCACGACAATTCCCCGGACCCTAGGGCTATTCACGGAATTCACTTGATTCAGCTGCAATTTTCATTGCCACACGTTCCTGAGGCCGATATCACCTCTCTATTAGATCGTATATCCTTCGTATTGGCCAGATTCCGCCGTAACTGTGATTATCCTGTCGCTTTACGTATTCTACCGCTATCGACGCCAGCGGATCGCATAGCTTCAGAACACCCTCATTACTTTCGTGTTCTGCGACATGGAGTTTCTCTAGCCTTTGAGTACTGCTACGTGGGCCTTGGGTTGTCTCACCATACCCTTGCCCAATTTACCCGGCATGCATGAGCCACCAAAATCATCGGAACGTGGCACGACTATGGCGAGGCAAGTTCGCAGAGCTCTTTGCGGGAAGCACGTCGATACCAGGCTATCTTTAGTCTCGCAGTAGATATTGGGTGCTGTGCTGTACAACTGAGCGCACCAGCGGCTACGATGCAAGATAATTACGACGTCATGAAATTCGCAGAGAAAATGAGACAACAGAGAGTTCAGACGAAGCTGCAAATATCCGCTTTCAATACGGGAGAGATCGGAAGACTCTCAGGTATAATAAATCGCACGTTGTCACCAGTCGTTGACAGCCACTTCTTGGCACATAATCACTGCGACGAGGAGCAAACGCTTCACGGGAGACTGGCCAAGTTGGCGGGCATTATCACCGTGGAAGAGTCGCGTAAGGCGCTCGAAGCAGCATTTATAGTACGTAAGCTGCGCTTTTGCAGCTTCGGGTCACTCATCTCTCATTCTATCGCCCCGGCGATGCATAATGCGGCGCTAAGCGCTCTTGGGCTCCCGTATCACTACGGTCTACTGCAGTCAGCGGACGTGACCAAGTCTCTACACCTCATGCGCGCACATAACTTTGGTGGGCTCAGTTGTGCTAACCCTCCTAAGAGAGGGATTTAAGGTATCTCGATCACATATCAGACGCAGCTCGCGACATCATTGCTCTTAATACCGTTTACACAGTTCCATCATCCTCTAGAGGTCGCCTGTTGTGGTAGGGGAGAACACGTATTGGATTGGAGTGACCTCTTGCGTTGACAACTACTTAAGCCCTATAAATACTATTACCTCGAAGACCACAGCACTGGTCCTCGGAGCTGGCGGGATGGCTCATGCTGTTGTTTATGGACTTCTACGTTTGGGTGTTACTCGAATCTTTCTTTGGAATCATACACTATCGAGGGCGGAGGCCTTGAAGAAACACTTCCAGCAGGTTAGCAAGTCACTGCAACGTTATCGCTCTTCCTCTGATTTGTAAGACGATTTACGTAAGAGAATTTGAGTATAAAGTTAAACAATAATAGAAGATGGCAGACGTGACATCTCAACACAATGAATATAAAAGGTTAATATAAGCTTCACTAGCCCAAGACTGCCGTCATACGGAAGGAAAATTCTGTAAACCTTCATACCAATGACTCACTTCCCGTCGGGACGAGCCGCTCGTCGAGTGGCTATAAAGTCTACCCTCTTTCACCTAGCTTCCTTTCTATACTCGTAGAACAATCCAAACGCTTCAACCAAGCTCGAGGCAACCAACCCAGTGAGTACCAGTAGCCCTTTGGCAAGAGCACTTACACTGACTCATCCGCAGCCTTCGCTGTTTATCCTGACGATAAGGATCAAGAGAATCTTGGTGCTGTGGGTACGAGCAGAATCCCTCCTCCTAACCTTTCTAATACGGATTTGGGAGTTCAATAAATGTATACTTTCTTTATTCATTGTGTTGAGTTGTCAGGCTCTGGCAGCTTCCATTGCTATTAAACTTTAATCTCTTTCTCTTAGGTATGCTTTCTTCTTCCTCTGTCAGCCCTTTCTTTCCTGATTATCGATTAGTTGGGTGTATTGTGGCTTGAAACTGGGATTAGGGTGGCTTAGGGTAGGTAGCCAAACGAGCCAGAAGTCCGGTAGCATCCCAACGAGGTGTTCGAACTGGTCGTACTCGTGAGTATTGCCAGTTTAAATCATTGTTCTATTTCCCGGACCGTCTTACTTTTATTCATTATCCAGCCCTCTCTTCTCAAACAAACATTTTGACATTTTCTCTGAGGCCCCCAAGAAGTTGCGATAAGACTTTTTATGCGCATTGTGGTGGCGGTGCGGGGTTCAAGACAATCTAG